ATCTTGAGGCTGTCATTCTCGAGGGCATCACGGCATCCCTTTACGGGCGCTACAAGGTATTCATCCTTCCAGATGAAGCCTGGTTGAACATGGTACCCCAGAAAGATGCCTTCCTCTCCGGTTGGTGCAAACTTAGAGCTACCTGTAGCATTTTGCTTCGGATTATTCCAATAGATGATTCTAGCGCCAAACGGTATGGCGAGGCCACTGAATTCCTCATCAAAACGATCTACCCAAGGAACAGTCTCAGTGTCGAATCGCTTCGAGGTGTTCAGGGCCATGGTGTGATGCTGCGCGGCCAAAGGCCACATTTTATCAGGAAGCCCCGCCTGGAGAAGGTTAGCACGAGTGCCTTCGAGGACAGTCCTGATCTCTCTCTCGATGACAGCCTTGTTTTGATCAACATAGGCCCGAGAGGTATTGTGCCTGCAGCCAATCCGCTTAACAGCATTTTCAAGCTCAAACGCATTATCGGAGTACACTATACCGACACTATCCTCAACTTGAAGAAAGTGCAGCAAGTTTTCGTAGCACTCCTCAGCGTTCTTGGAAACGGCCGGGTAAACATACCTGAAGTTGGACCAGACATCCTTAACCACGAATGCAACCTTTTCCCCCTCGAACCCAAAGTCTCGGAAGTCCTTCGTGATGACATGGTCGATCGTGATGTGGTCCCCGAATTTCTTGGATGCGATAGTGCTCGATCCTCCCTTCTTTCGTGCATGAGGGGCCATCATTTTTGCCCTCTGGCACACTTTACAGAAAGGATTCTTGGGTCGATGGGTGAATTTGTGGGCAGCAGTCTCGGCTTCCAGCCTAAGTTTTTCGGAACCTCCTACGTCATCGGGCGCTTCATCGTGATCACTATCAGGTTCAGGTTCGGGATTGTCAGGTGGTCTTTCGAAGATCGAAATTGAGAGGATGGTCGGCTCTTCGAACTTAGCAACCTTTTGCGGAAGTTCTCTCACGTCGGCCTTGTTCTCGATCTTGGACCATTCGCCTCCCCTGAAAACCCAAGTTGTCCTGATCACGAAGCTAGGATGTCTCGACGCAGGAGTCCTGAAGGCTTTGGGTCTGTGTCCGATGATTACCTTGCGGTGTTCTTCAGTTGCAGTCCAACCTGTTTTGCTTAGCTGTTCTTTGGAAATGGCGATCGGCGGCACCTTGGAAATTGCATCGCGGACCTCAGGATCAAGGTGCTTACCTGGGTCCTCGTCTTGTTCGTCTTCACCGGCGGGATGTTCATGCGCAGCACCGGCGAGCCCGCAAGGGCCGCTATCTACTGAAAAAGCGAGCTGCCCCCCTGGCTGAACACCGGGGAGACAATGTTACTCTCCTCTTCGATAGCTGGAGTGGCAACAGAGCCTTCTGCGATCACAGGGACCCTGCCTTTGAGTTTGCACTTCAGCTTCCTGCCGTCGGGAGTGACAAAGAAAGGGACCTTCCCCGCATGCCAGTGGAAGTCATAACCCTCATCCATGCATCTGCGCCCGACAGAGCAGACAGGAGGAGTGCTTTCTAGTAGATAACACTCAACTGGGAGGCTCAGTTCAGGGATATCGACTTTGACAGATTGATCCCCGAGTACTGGGCCATTTGCTGTGATTAGACTCACAGGCCTTGATGCAGTTTTGACCTCGACGCTCGGGTAGTGAATCCTCAGATCCTCCTTGCTAATGAGGTCTTCCTCGCTACCAGTGTCAGCTAGGAACTCTAGGCCGGGCACTATGCCTGAGCAGGCAGGTGCGGGGGTGCGTTCGCATGACTCACATGTCAGGTCTTCACACATGTAACCACACTTGGTAGGTACATCGTTCGTCATGCTGATCACCAATGCCTCAAGTTGCTTAGCTTCGATCCTGGCACGATTCTGTTCTTTCATGCTCGGCTTGGGGCAGTCCTCGGCGGTGGCGTAAGCCACGCTGAAACGACGTTTCCTCCTGATGTGCCTGAAGCCATCACCTTCCACAGGAATGGCCTTCATGACAGGTTCATCACAGAAGGTTACCTTCAGCGGCTCTATCTTGAAAGTAGACTTGCCTACCCAAGCCCTAGAGGAGGGTTCCGGCGCAGTCTTCCTCCAGTTCCATGCCACTGCAGCAAAGCGAGGGTACTCTGGGAAGGTTTTCTCTACCCTAACCTTGCTCTTAAGTCGCCGGACATTGATCGGGCAGTCGCTGCCTGGTGCAAACCAGCCTGTTCTCTCCACGCGATGGTGTCTGATTAACACTCCACCCTTGAAGTCGACCTCCCATGTGTCCTCCAAGGGGCTTGGTTGCACAGCAGGTGCTGCGAGGCAACACGCTGCTGCCTTATCCCTGCTCTTAGACCTACCTCGGCTTTTCGGTCTCCTAGGAGCGGGCGAGGGGGATCTAGGCTTAGGATTAGTGGGATCAGGGGTGGCAGCAGCCGCCTTAGCTTTCGCAGCTGCGGCTGGCTTCTCCTGGTGGAGAAAACGACAGTTCTCGCCCTTGTTGCACTTCCCTTTCTTCCAGAAAGTACAGACACGCTGAATTCTACCTCCGATCTTTGGGGCTTTGTCAGGCTTCTTCGAGTTCGGTGACTGGGACCTAGTCTTGTGTAGGAAACTGCATTTGTCACCACGAGTACAGGTACCTTTCAGGAAGTCGTAGCACACTCCCTTCGGGCTGTTTGACCTCTTTGGGGAGCTGGCATTGCTACTTCGCGAGCGGCTCGTGCTCCTAGATGGCGATCTACCTCTCTCACGGCCACCTCGGCTTGAGGGGCGAGACGGGCGCGTCGGGGCAGGAGCCCCAAACTTGTCCCCGTGGGACTTGGCGATCCTGTCTCGGTTTTTCCTGACCCTTTCCCTGGTAAGCAAGTCCCTAATCGACTGCAAAAGGAAGGAGTAGGTGTGAGAGGTAGATCCCTCCTTGGCACGGTCGTAAATCTCTAAGTCATACTTCATACGACTTGACTTCCTAATCTGTCTGAGCAGAATATCTCGTAGTACCATTTCCTCAGGGACATGGCTCATTCCTGCAATGACACTCTCCCAGTTGTGAAGAAAAGATGTGAGGTCATCTCCAACCATGTTAACCTTCAAAAGGTCCTCAACTGAGTAGAGTGAGCCCACTTCTTCGTTGGTTTTGAAGTGTTGTTCGAAGAGGTAAAGAACCTGACGACCCCTCACGGATCTCTTTTGGGCGGCCTCGGTTTCCTTGAAGTTCAGGATGTGTCTACCGAGGTCTCCCTTTGCGACCTTACTGAGTGCAGCGAGCAGCTTCGTGTCGAGAGTCACAAACTTTCCTGGCTCTCTTAGCTTTTCGTGTGATGCGTTCTTGTCGTAGACTTCAAGGATCCACTCGAAAGCATCATCGGGTCTATCGCTGGCCGCACGAATAGCTTCACGGGTCGCAGTCTTCCATGACCTGTACGTTTCGGGATTTGGGAAGTCTGGCAACCTAATGCTCTCGGCTTCCTTCACCTTTGGTTTGTCGTCTTCAGTCCTCTCACCTTTCATGAGGCGGAGGTTTTCGAGGATTGCTGCCTGCGTTGCGAGCAGAGTCTCTGAGGTCAGACCAGTGGCCGGCATCCCGGTAACGGGTGCTGCAGGATTTCCTAGACCCGGAGGGGTCGTCAAGGGTCCTGCAGTGGTTCCTGCAGGCTGAGCTGAGCCAGCCGCATTCGCACTGACCGGTCCACCGATCGTCTGTCCTTCTGAGGGCGCTGCAGTTGCACCAGCTTGGGGCTGTTGTGCAGTTGTGTTACCTGGATTCATCTGGGCCAGGAGTCCTCGCATGCTAGAGCTCAACATGTTTGGCGTTACCACGTTCGGTGCAGAAGGTGCACTAGGAAACACAGGGGCTTGTTGTTGTTGCGACTCTTCTGCGAACCTAAGTGCCCTTTCAGTGGCCAACAGCTTGTCCTCAATTTCATCTTGCTGTTCTTTCGCAGCATCCAACATCGCATCGAATTCTTCCCTTTCGGTTCTTTGGTAGACCTGGAAGTTTTCTTCGAACTCCGAGAGGAGGAACTGCGATTGTTGTGCAGCAAAACTGTTGAGTTGTTGATGATACTGCTCTTGCATCCTTTGGGCGAGGAGCGCCTCTGATTGTGAAACGTTTTGCTCAATGCTTGTAAATCGGGCTTGCATTTCGTCAAGCTCTTCGATTAATCCAAGTTCCCTGGTGGCTGACCGTTGTTCGAACCTCGCGAATCGCTCTTCGCACGATGCCATTCGAGTAGCATGTACTCTTTCGGCGAGTTCCTCAAGGTTCGAAACACCTTGTTCATTTGCACGGGCCTGTTCTTCCATGGCCAGTGTGTGCCTTCTCTCCGCTTCAATCTCTAAGAAACTTAGCTCCGTCCTAAGACGTGCTCGGTTCTCATCATGAACATGAAACACATTCGTCTGCGAAAAGAAGTTCGCCGCCATGCTGAGGTTCCGACCATCATGCATGGACATGTTAGCGAAGTTCACTGCTTGAGGGTACGACTGTTGACCTAGGTGCGTCTCTGGTGCCCCTGCTCGGCTTCCCGTTGCCGGGAGCAGCAGAGGTAGTCCTGTACGTTCTGTAGCTACTTCTTCGGCAGGTACAAGTTCAGGTGAAGCATTCTCCAGGTTCGCATCCGCAAGCATTGTAGGCTATACGGCTGATAACCTATAGTTATCAGGGAAACTCCAAGGTGTAATCACAAGCACTGAGTTGATAATACCGTTAAGCCATGCAGGAGCGAACGCTCTATTTTCTACTGCAGAGGGCTTGCGAGGTAATGCAACGGGACGATATGCACATGATGTTAAAATGCAAGGGTTATCGCAATGCAAAATTACACATGAGGCTTCCTCTCGGACTTCCGCAACTTATGCGCGCTAAGTAAAAAAACACGCACGAAGCCATGCCCTGTTTACGCTAGGCCCACCGGAAATAGAGCCACAACAGAAGGGGGTGTAGAATGACCTCCAGGTAGTTATGTATGTATGACATATGTACATTTGTCTACAACTGAGTACCTCATGCACTCCCTGATGCTGCCTGTACGTTCCACGGGTCTTCTCACGGTCACCACACACAGTGTCGTAAGGCCCCTCGATGCAGGAATGCACAAGTGCCTGAGCTCTTGATCGAAATCTCAACGAAGATGCAACGGCATCGACTCTTGACTCTTGACTGACTTTCAGTCAACACTGCCCGAGGACAATACTTCAGGGTCAGGCTCCACCTCGTCAGTATAGTGCACTTGCCCACCGAGAACTCGACAAACCAACACCTCTAGTGTAGCAATGCAATCATGCGCAAACTCTCGCAGGTAGTTGCAGGTGCTTGACCGAAAGCCTCCATGGCAAAGGCGAGTGATGCAACAACCGGCGTGTGCCACCCTTGTCCAGCTTCGGCTCGGAGCTATGTAAGGGCACAGGTATGATCACACTAATCACACGCCTGCCTTCTGCTACTGGTGGAAATGTTGCACTCTCTTCTTGTTGGGGCCCCCCTCCATAGTGTCAAGTTTCAGGGCTTCATCAGCATCCGGTCAGTGTTTGGGGTCCGGAATGGTGTTTGACACTTTCAGTGGTTCGGCTGAGATCAACATGCAGGCCAGGTCCCTGAAATCAGCCCGGCCTACCACGAGGCCGGGTGGGCCTGAAGGGCCTCTCGTCTCATTGGGTTAGCGGGCATGCAGCCGGGGGGCTCGAAAGCAGCCAGAGTGCTTAGTGTTGTTTCAGAAGAAAATGGAGGACCCACTAATGCAAGCACCGTGAGCTCGATTAGGTGACCACGAAACAAGCTCTTCCCGTGCTTGGGTGTCGCATGGGGCTTTTTCACCGGTTTCATCCGCAGATGCATCGTTGATGTCGCGCTCTCTTGCCTTGCTTGAATGCTGGAACCTGTTTTGTTAAGGGTCCTGTATAAAGGCAAGCTGGTTTTGTGTGACAGCTTCAGCATCAGGTTCAACTGCCGGGGGGGGGGGGGGGGGGTGGGATGGATGGTCTCGCAAATCGTTCCCAAATATGCTAGCATTGCCAAACTGAAGCAGCCTGAGCCTCGGAAGGGTGGGAAGCACACTCCGTGCCGCAAGATTCCAGCCAGCTCTAACCGGGGTTGAGAGGCTGCATGTTGAACCAGCCTCATCGGCTTCTTCAAATCCGGAACTTCAATTTGCTACAGGGCACCATCGTGGTCTTTTGTCTGCGAAAAGACGGCTGCTGCTACTTGGTGCTTCGAGTACTGCAACGTGGTGGGCGCGAAAGGGTCTTCCAGATTCTGGCAAGCTGCAGTCTGCAGCTAGGCTCGTGCTGGCAGGGCGTAAGTTTTGGAGACAAGAGCTTGGGATCCTCGCTGCATAAAGGCCCTCCTCGTTCGGCTTTGCGTACTCGTCGGCCTGCGACAGCGCGGCACAGAATGCCGCTGGTCAGGAATCCTTTAGGCAAAACCAAAGAGCGCAAGCAAGGCTGATTTTGCCTTGGTGATGGACTCAGCGAAATAGAGTCCTATGTCAGTAAGGGTCTTTCGAAAGACGGCAGTGCGCAGCACATCGAGTGCACGCCGCTCCTTTACCATACAGGGTGCCAGTACTGGACCCAGCCCGGCTGACTTTGAAGTCAGTTTGGCCTCCGCTTGCGGAACTAAGTTTTCTATATGTATACAGTCCTGATCCAACTACTAGTAAGACTCTGGCAAATAGCTTCAGCTGCCGAAGGATTTGTCCCGTGGAAAAGGTACCACTCGTTGCCTCCAAGACTTCTTGCTGAGCGGAACGGAACAGACAGACTGCAGCGTTTGCACAAGCACCGCTGTGTTGAAGTAACAGCTGCTGCTTAGCTACACAGAGCTGCGGACTGTTAGCTAGTACTAGGAGGATCAGGCTGACAAGAACGACTGGTCAGGACCCTGACTGCACTGCTGCAGGCATGGATGAATCACGATCACAATAATGGTCGGTGGTGGTGGATTAATTTCACCAAGTTGCACTCTGCGTGCAAGCGGCTTGCCTGCATTGTGCAAAGCTCTCTTAGGTGCAGGAGGCTCTTGTGGGCACGAGCTTCTTACATCACACTGCGCTCTGCAAGAAGCTGAACTGCAACAGTCTTCCTTCTTAGGAGGACATTCAAGGACATTCAATGGACATTGAGCGTGGAGTCTAAGCAAGACATGGGCCGACAATCCCGCCCCCCGACCACAGGGCGAGCAATGGCAACCCCATCGGTTGCGAAGTGACACGTGATGGTTGGCTTGGGGTTGTGCTTTCCTTGGCAAGGTCTAAGTGACCTGGCTCGAACTATACAAAGACATGTACACGGTGCCTTGGCTCCTCCAATCTTTTCCATTGCCACGCTTGTCTTGACATCCGGAAACGGTGCCTTGGACACGTTCTCGGCTGGACTTCTCTGGACTTCTCCCTTCCCCCGATCATGACAGCACTCTGATGCGTCCATGGCTCTGGTGGCTCCTCCCTTTCCAGCAAATCGCCACGCCGGCACGCGTACTCCTGGACACAGGCTCACGGGGCACCGGAGATATACAATCAAGACCAGTTGGCTCTGACAGTCCCCTCTTCAACCTCAACACAACACAAGGGTCGCATTCTGGCAAGATCGACCAACACCCAGCAGCTGCTGGGTGTCCTCCCAAGACTTTTTGTTCTCGTTGCGCTTCACATTCACCACCTCAAAACCTGCCGGGACCTCGCAGCACTCCGCCAAAGCAAACAATGCCGAAGACGTGCAGCGCAGCTAGACACCCAGCAGCTCAAAGCTTGGCCGAGCAACTTTCGGGTTCGTTGGATTGTGCTTCCCGCGGTCCTTTGTGTAGGCTTTCCTCGCCGTGCAGTTTGTGCCGAGTTTCTCTTGGGGCGCAAATCAAGTGCAGCCACTGTCGCTGGGTCTGAACATGCATGAGGATGGCAGAAAGTGGGGGCCAAACCTGTAGGTTTCTTTTAACAGCCTCTGCCACTCATCCAGCTTGCCTCTGCAGAGAGCCGGCACATGCCTGAGCCTACACTCCGCAGTATGCTGCTACGATGCACTGCGTTTCATATGTCTCGTAGAGCTTGCAGCTAACAGCGTTGGGCTCCCTTTGGCAAGGGCGCCTGTCATGGGAATCAGCTCGTTGAATTCTCCATCGTGGTTTTTCCAGTAGCCGGGAAACCTGAGAAGCACAGCTCTAAGCTGGCGCTGTTTGTGCTACTGCAACCTGTCAGCAAGGTCTTGAGGCTCGGACGGGACTTCGCCAATCGATGCCCTTGACGTCACATGCAGGCCGCCCTTATGTTTGCAGTCCTGGCAACGCAGTATGTCTACAGCTGACTAAACCAATCTGTTTTCCAACTGCAAGGCAGATCAGAGCTGTAGCATGCGTACGACGTCAGATTTGCACCATCAAGATGGGTGTCCTTGCACTTCTTCTCGTGGCGCTTGTCCTCCACATCGGCACAAACACACACAGAGATTCATGTTAATTCTATTCTTCCAGATGGTTGACGAACTAACCAAGACGAACCCACAAGGAACTGCACAGACTCTCATCTTCATGTGCCCGGAAACATGCCTCATCCCCAACGTAGTTCTCGCAGGGGCAGCCCAATACACCGCAGGGCGAAGATGACATCATCAAGCTTGCAGACCTGTCATGCGGTGGTGAATCTACACCACGGGCCATCCCACCATCCCACTGCGGGGGACAGGGCGGGGGGGGCGGGTGCAGCTCGGGCCGTCTGGGCTGCTGACTTGCCGAGCATCTTTTTCACGCCTGTGAACCCCGTGTAACGAATTAACATTCGATGAGCTCAAAGTGCAGCGGCAGAAGGGCATTCCAGCCTAACTCCAAGCCCAGGCGAGGCCCGGCCCACGACGCAGACTCACCGAAGTTGACAACGCCATTGCCATCCTGGAGAGGTCAGTTCTCGAACCGAACTTCGAGAATGATCGAAACATGCTTTTGAGTCCTCTTTACACTGGCATACACTGGCCTATTTTAAGGTACATTTGAGGTGGAATTCCCTTCTCAAGGCCTCATCGAGGTGGTGCCAGGCCTACCGAGAACAAGAGCGGGCGATCCTTGCTTTCACCCTGGAACACCAGGACCACACTGGGCCTCGTCGGTGATCTCCGGGAGTGAGCCACAGCAGGCCCTTGGATGCGCAGGTGAAGGCTTTTGAAGTGCAATCTCTGACATTTCAAGATGTTTCGAGACCCTCAGGAGCGAGCCTGATCTTCCCCAGGGACCCTTCAAGCTCTTTTCTGGAGAGTTTTCCAGAGCCATCTGCATCACTCCAATCCTGGGAGTACACGTCCAGGGCACCTACTTGTATTCCCTTATGGTCCCTTTATAGTAGTCCCTTATGGTCCCTTTATAATAATACTATACTCATACTAACCCCCAGAACTATATTCTCATTAAGCCCCTTCATGCTGCGCACAAACTTTGCAACGCGTGTTTCGAACACCGGGGCAAGGCACGAACACCACTTTCAGGGTAATCTGCTCGGGCTCGAAGCCCTGCAAGAAGCCGGGGGAAGCTGTGCTGAACATCTTGCTTTAAACTCAGCCTTTTAGGGTTTAGGGTTTAGGGTTTAGGGTTGAGAGCTGGCTCTGGCTGGAATTCAGGAGCTTCGCGCCTTTGTCACAGAGCAAGCGATGGCGTAGTCCTGTATGGGCATGGTTGAGGACGCTGCTCCAGGCCACGTCTGTTCGAGGATCATTAGGAGCTCTTCTGATCCAAATATTACTGATATTATTATAGTATTATCAACTATATATTCATATTCTTAATACTGCTAGTATTATGATGCAACACAGGTCTCTTTTTTCCTTGTTTGCCTTTGACAGGCTTCGCAACTTGCCACTTGCTGTCTTCCTCGTCAACTTTGTTCAGGGAGGCGAGCTCACGCTCACGTTCTTCGATAGCGCAGCGGACGCTGGCGTCATCGGACGCCAGAAGCTCTCTCATGCAAATTGCGCGAGCAGCTAAGACTTGAGCCTCCAGCGCTTCCAGCCTATGCAACATCTCTTGGCGATCTTGAGTGGTGGACGCCGTCAAGCCTGCACTAACCTCAGCCTGCTGGTACTCTCGGACATTCCCCTTCAACGATATCAGCCTGTCAACCGGCAGAGCCCTCCATTTGGAGATCTTGTTGCTTTCGACGGGCCTGTGTCCCTTTGCACAAGCCAGGGTTATGTGTGGAACGCGATTGACAGAAGGGCATCCGATGACCCCGAGAGCGATGACTCCGTCAGCCTTGCCGATGGAGATTGGCTCAACTGTCAGACTTTCTGTAGCCCGCAGGTTCCGTATGGATTCTTGAAGATCACACGAAATCTCGCAGTCGCTTGATCGAGCCTCGGAGAGACTGCCCAAGCAGATTGTCATGTGGTGAGCGAAAACTTGCCAACCGGCAGGCACGTAGCTACCGAAGGCATCAAGCAACTGCTTGCAGGAAGCAGCATCCAACTCCAGTCCGGTAAAAACTGGGCACGCTTTGCTGTTTCTGCTGGCTGAAGCCGGCAACGCCTGCCTGTCCAAATTTAGAGCAGGCCCACTTGGAGTTGGTCTTCTGAAAACATGCAAGCTTGGGATGTCCGAGGCTTCTGTTTGGAGCATGCGACATTCCAGGCCCATCTCTATTGCCATTCTGGACAGGCACACCCTCTGCACGGAGTCCGCAGAATCCAACACCAAGAGCTTTTCCGATGAGGCACCAAATAGCTTCAAGTCTTCCTCCAAGTCTGCGACCGGTCTGACTTCTCTTCTTCCTTCCGTCTCTTTTGTCTCCTTCAGGGCGCTATCCTCATTTGACTCAAGCACCTCATGATCCAGCAGAAAGTTGTAGCCAAGGCGGGTGAGATCCGACCAGGTCTCATCTTCAGAGATGGCCGTCTGCCGTTCATAGAGCTGCACGAAGCCGCGCAGGGTTAGGCCAGAGGGTTCATCTGACTTCCAGTGAAACATGGACTTCATCTCACACAACTCTGCCTCTGTGAACTCCCGATCGTCCTTGTTGGCAACACGGCTAAATCCCTTCAGCTCGGCGTCGCAGAGCAGCCCGTCTTCATCAAGGTCAAAGCGCCTGAAAATCTCGACAAGAACTTCCTTGAATCTTCGGGAGAGGCCTGCGTCAGTCGTGAGAGCCAGTTTGTCTGGTTTGTCGAATTTGTCGGACTCCTTGGAAGACTTCTTGTTCTTCTTGCCCATGGCGCACTACACCCAGAAGATCGGACTGATGCAAGAACGATTCTTACGGTCCAGTCGCCATTTTAAACACGAGCTAAGTGCTCTCGCTACAGTATCTGCCTCGCACACTCCTACTGCACATTAACAAACAAACCACTCGTGAAATCATGAAAAGCCTCGCTAGGTACGATAATGAAGAGCATGTAGGATGGCACATGTGCGTGCCCAAGTCTTTGCGGCATTGGTTTAACCAAGATCATCACAAGCCGGCGAAGAACATGCCAAGCAGGACTGCTGGCGAACGGTCCTCGTCGAGAGGGTGTGCGAGGGCCTGCACCAAGATACTGGACAGCCCGTGCAGCCTTTGCACAGAGGTGAGTTGACCCGGCCTTCAAGTGCTTGTCACTGCGATCTCTGCACCTTGAACCTTTCTCGCATGCCTGCAAGTTGTGCTCTTGCTTGGGTGAGTGGGGAGGGTGATCTCTCGCTATATTCTTTTGTACGGGAACTCGTCTTCTTCAACGACCATCCGCAAATAAATCAGCCTTCCGTGCATCCACAGGAGGTGGCTTCCCTCCACATGTGCCATCGTGGAACCCGCCACCCTGCACGGCCAGAAAGCCAGAAAGCCCGCACATCAACTTGCAGCACCAAGAAACACGCGGTTCGGATTTGCACCTTGTTGAGAGCACACATCCTCCCACTACAATGGTGCAGTCGGTGTCAAACACAAGAGGCATGTTGCATCATTCTGCCGCGTCCTGCAGCACGTGTCGAACGGTCGGCCTCGTCTCGTCTCACCAGGCTGCACGGGCCTCGTCTCGATCGAGATTGAGCCAGAATTCAGACCGGACCCTGAATTTCCTGCGGGAACTTCCTTCTTTTTTAAATTGCTGGCGGCTGGAAGTACTGAAGTACTCAAAGCATGCACACAAGGTTGATAACATGATCGCTGTGTCTATGAACCCATTGAGTCGCAAAAAAACGCTCACGCGTCTGCAGTCACAGTCTGTCGAACCACCGCGAGGCTCTAGAAAGATGCGGCCTTGTTCGACTTTCGGCAAAGCTTGGTACGTCGACCGATTCGAAGCGAAACTGCATGCTGTAGATGTCGGATCTGACTGGTCAAAAACAAAACTTAGTTGCAGTGGGCTCGATTGGTCTGGAAGCTTCAACGGCAGGTTCAGAGCAGCTGCAGCTAAGCGCTGCGACTGTGGCTGTCCCCATCTGGGACCTCCAGGATAACATCCCCCTGGCACACCCTAGGGACACGAAGCTCTACATCTTTGCGAGTGATCCCTAGTACCCTAAGATCCTCTGTGGAAATGGACGCCGTGGGGAGACCCCTGTGTCGATCCTTTTCCCTACAATGCCTCAAACCTTCGGCTTGCCAAAGACTTGCGAGGGTGGGCTTCCTCCCTTTCGCCTCTCTTGCCTCTTGAAAAAGAGCCCTAGCTCTCATGAACTTGGGCACTATGCGGTTGCGCTGTTCGCGTGACATTTAATGATAATTCTATTGTGTCTACGTCTATTTTCCCGTGTGTAGAAACTCAGAAATCATGTGGTAGCCACATTGCTACGAGTTCGTACCTGGTGTCGAAAGCTTGCGCAGTTGCAGCGTGCCACATTTTCTCGGCAGAACTGCCCCAGAATTGACATTAGTTTCCGGACTTGGGTCAGTTTATACTTCTAGGCTTTGCGGCGAAGGACGCACTACATTGTAGATGTCACCACAGAGATTCCACATGTGGACTTCCCGTGCCACGTCTTGTAGTGCATCTCTGCTTGCAGCATCTTGCAGCCATGCTTCTTGCCGCAGGCGAACTTGCAAAGTCTTGCCTGAAATCCGAGCACCCTCAACTTTACAAGCTCCTCATCTTGACTTACGTTGGTGATGCCGACATGTCAAGGTAGTCAAGGTGGCAGAGTCTCACCTCCGGATCAAAGTATTTCATGTCATTGTCGTCCATTTCAGATACCTCAAGCACTTCAGATTCAGCTCTCAAACAGCCAAGATCATAGTCCATGGAGCACAAAAGTACGAGTACCAGGACCGTGTCTGGAGTCCCCGGCGACACGCGACAACGTGCCATCGCCATCGTTCACGACAACTGGCAGTGCAAGAGCGGTTATTCAGAGATTCAGCTCTGCGTGCAGCATGCGGGAGCAACGTCTCACAAGCTTTCAACTTCCAACGTCGGGTTCCTTCGGAATCAACTGCTTCCGGCGATTGACACGCCTCATTGGCTTACTCCGGGACCACTTAACAGGGCCGTGCACAGGAAAGCTCACACATCCGACATGACGCCCTCTTCTTCTTCTCCGTCTTCTTCTAGCCAGCGAAGAGACCCCCCTTGCGGAGAGAAGCCTTTCTCTGTTTATTTCTCTGTCTCTCTCCCTCTCTCGCTCTTTTTCTCGGGGCTTGAGGGGCGAGTCCTGTCTGCAACCAAGTTGCTCCCATCTTGGTGGCTCTCGGGCTCTTCAGATCCCAATAACTCAAGGTCTTGGCCGGCCCCTCAATGTATATTTATAATACAAACTAAACGAAGCGGAACATAGAAGAATGACCATGGTTTACCAACGACACTCCATGTTGGCTGATTGAACATATTCCGGCATGTATCACAGCATGCAAGCCTCACGCACCAGACACCATCAGACCCTACTCCGACTCCAACCGAGTGTGCAAGAGCTGACTTTTGATGACCTTGCGTTCGACGTGGGCAACAGAATACTTTAATGACTCTAGTGGGCTGCTTTCCGTCCTGCCCACACAGAGGTGGCACTGACAGATTCATCAGCGCCTAAAGCTCCACTGCTCGTCTTGCCCACCTTCTAGCCTAGCCGCTTAGCCTCAGCCCCTCAATTCTCTGCATTTGCTCGCTGACTCCGGCAGCAGATGGCAGCAGGGCAATGGACGTTGCGATTGCTATTCAAGGCCTCCGTGCACTGGTACTGAGGCGCATAAGCATATAACACATTGACAACTCTAAGAGCTTGCCCTCAAGAGGCAGCGCAGCGAATTCCACTGGCACTCAGCCTTTCCTCTGACCCACTCGATGCCTTGTCAGCAGGAACTTGGCGCGACTTTTTCAGGGCGGGACACGGAGAACAAGAGCCTGGTCATGAAGGAGTTCCAGGATGCCAAGTAGAAGCCGAAGCTTCGAAACTTGATACACCACCTGGATTCCTCTGTGAACCTCGAGCTGAAGCTTTCACCAAGTTGCTTGGGCCAGGAACCGAGCACCGGGTCCTGGACGAATGGCTGGGTAAGACATCCAACAGAAGGGCTTTGCTGAGGACATTCGGTTCTGCGCCGTGCCTGCAAACCGAAGCACCCTAGCAGCTAGCAGCCGCCCGTCATGCCATAGTCACCCCAACCACCTTCCAAGGATTAAGTCAAAAATGACGCCATGGCACACAAGGAAAACAACTCCCAACCTTGCCCAAGGCCCATGTGGTACCTGTCGGGCCATCGCGCAGACATTTACGCAGAAAGCAACGCACCAAGCACTGGCGCACGCGTGGTGAACCTCATTCATGGCATGCTGCCGCACCTGATTCTTGGCCCAGAGTCCGCGATTGCAACGCATAGGACACACAAACTTCTCGTTGTCCAGCCTTGCGTTCGTGCTGGTGGGGGACTGTGTCATGGAACATGAACGTCGCAACCAGGGACACCTCGGAAGGTGCGACGAAGCGGTCTCGAGAACACGGTGGCGGCCCCATAGGCTGAGAGAAGGACATGATCTGAAGGGCGATTGCTGGAAGGAAGGGCCGTCTCCTTCAAGATGCCATGATCACGCGATGTCACGCGGTGCAGGGCAGAACGAAGGAGGCCTCTCTCAAACTCTGCTCATCGTCCACCTGCGTGACCGCCAGCACCGACAGTGCCTCGAGCAGAGCACGGCGGCATTGGAGGCAGCCTGTTTGTCACTGTTCCATACTGTTCCAGCCTGGTGCGAAAACCACACGTAGTCGAGCGCGCCCTTGAAATCCTACAGTGCAGCATGCTGCACATGCCACAATGTGCCATGCACAAGGTGGAGCATGGAGCTCCGGAGCTCCTCGGTGTAGTTGGTAAAGGTAGCTTCCTGGCCTCGCAGGACAAACATGGAGGCACTCTCTGAGGCACTCTCTGAGGCACTCTCTGACTCTCTGAGGAACTCTGTGCTCTAGCTGCTAGGGCTCACTCCGTTGCAGGTCTGATACGCCGTGGCCAGCTGCAGATTGTGCAGCATGTGATCCCTCAACCTCACACAATCTCACAATGGTTATTTTTTGATCGCTGTTAAACAAGCGGACTTATGTTCTAACAGTTCTTAGTTGCTGAGTTCATAAGCTCCCACAAAAAGTGTACACTTTCAGTTCTGTAGGGGATTAGAGCATCCCAAAAAGTGTGCTCACTCAGCTGCACAATGATGGCAGATGCGCAGCACTCTCGTGGATTTTCTTGGGGCATGCGCCGACCCAGGAGCCCGCAAGGATCATGCTTCAGATCCTGGCACAGCTGCAGTTCCAAGATTTAGGGTTTAGGGTTTAGGGATTTAGGGTTTAGGGCTGCTGGCTTCCGATCATGTAGGGTTTTTGGTGTTGACTTGCAGTCTGCCTCATGGTCGGGAGACACCCCGCCATGCCGCAGGTACTCATAAACCTCACAGAAGATCTCTCCAACGCAAGGCCGTACAGGGTTCTGCTTTGAGGGGCCGATGCAAATCTGCAGACATGGGGATCTGATGTCCCATGACGTCCATAAAGTGGACACATCTTGAAACCCTGCGGCCGCGACTGCTGAGTCAGGAGTGGAGTTGAAGTCTCCAGCCAGGAGGAGTGGCCTCAGCGAACAGCCAAGAGCATACGTGCAACGGCATGCAGCTGCGGCCTCTGGAACTGCCAAGTCTGAGAACATCGGCATGTGATCCCATCGTGTCTGCTTCAGGTTCTGGAGCAGCAAGTGGGTCTGCAGATGTCAGGCAGCTGTGAGCGCCCCATTGTCAAGGCACAACGGCAAGGCAAGCATTCTGGCGCGGGCACCTGCCACAGCTTCACATCTGAAGCGCTTGGATCGCACAAAATGTGGGTGTTCACCTCAAAGCAGAACAGGTATGAATTATTGTTCTGAGATTTCACAAGAACGCATCCATTCCCGCGACTTCTGCGACCATAGTGCCATCGTTCACCATCTCTCCTCTGAGCCTCTGATGAGCCTCTGGGTGCCGGGCCACTACCAGGCTGTGACCGCCGTTGGGTCCGGCCTGCATAAGACTGCAGTGTGGCTGGGACAAAGCTTTTTGGGGGCATCGTGCCGACAATGACTGCGGCGTGGGCCTGGCCGCTGCTTGGATCAGCCTTAATGTGCTGATCTTCCAGCAGTAGTGCGAGAGCGATATTTCCTGACACCGCCGGGGGTGTGAAGCTCACGAAATTGACGCGTCGCAACAGCCCGGGCCTTTGGACAGCCTTTGCATGTTGGAAGCATCTTCCCGGCCAAAGTGTCTTTGCAGCTCCTGCTGGGACATCCGGTCATAGTCAATCACCTGGCGCACACGGCTGAGCCACGGCTGGTACTGCTCATGAGCGGGCACTCCTCAGCTCGATTGCGCCTGCTTGTCGAGACGGCGGAAGCGCGTTGGCTTGTAGAATGTTGCGCAGCCTGCCAGGAGAGGTCTTGACAGTCTTCACAGTCCTGATCTCTTGCAACAGTCTCGCACAATCTCGCACAGGCCTTCAGCTGTGTACTTCCCTCGATGGAATATCGGGTCCTCCAGGGATGGATGTCTTTGCTACAGCTGGCAGCACGAGAGCAGCAGGAGCGCGAGAGCAGGAAATTTAAAAAAACTCGCGTCCCGCTTCTTCTGCTGAAACACACCTTCGTAGCCAGCTTCTTGCAGCCCTGGCCTGCAGTGGAGCAATACGTTAGGGTTCAGGGTTCAGGGCTTAGGGTTCAGGGTTTAGGGTTCACGGTTTAGGGTGTAGGGGCCGCTACACTAGCATGAGCCCAATGCCTGAACCAGTCATCGAAGGCGTCCTTCTGCACCTGAAGAGGAGATTTTAATTCATTTGCCATGTTGAGATGCTCTGAGCTGCTACATGTTTCGCCTCCTGGAGAGTGATGATGTCAGCCGCGCTTTCTTTCAGTTCCTCAGGCATCAAGCTCAAGAAGCTATGTCGCGGGCACGCAGAGCATGGGAAGTTAGCAACAGCTGGCTCGGCCTTCATGATGAGGTGCTTTCTCCAGGTCCAGGACAGCGCCCACTTTTCGCAATAGGGATACACCTGTGCTGCCCAGATCTGCCACATGGTTCGCTCGCTTGAGCAAAGACGTGACAATCTGAATGCAAGGCTGCTGAATGCTAAGATGGAGCACCGACTCTGTGGCGTACAGGTCTGCCAGGACCTTGTTTGTTCATTCTTTGGCTCTTGTTGATAGTTCATGATTACGTCCACTGTGCGAAGGCTAGGGCATTCCAGTTCATGACCTTGAACTGCTTGTTCAGCCACTCTGCCTCAACATGGATGCACTGCGACTGCTTCGATTGTGGGTCGTATTAGTACATGCCCTTATCTGTCAAGGCTAAGGCGTTCAGGTGCTTTCCGTTGGTGACCATTCGCCGAACTCGCACCTCAACAAAAATAATACAAAAATCACAGCACTGCTTTAGGCGAGCATGGCAGCTCCCTGCATCTGATAGCCTCCTTTGGTGTCGGAATGACAGTCCCCGTTGTGATCACCATCTTGCTGGCTTCCGCAACGCGTCCATCCTCTCAACTATGCAATCGTCCATCTTCAAAGATGTCTTAGTATGCCTCATCCCCTTTCGAAACAGCTGAGTCTGCACAGCCAGGAACGCTAAGCTTATGAGCATGACGCAGCTGTCCTTGACCAGCGGAGTGATCTCCAGGCGCAAAGGCCGGTCGATGTCCTATCATGCCCACTGGCAGAATACCACAGCCATGACACGCGCCATCGGATCTTTCCAGTGCCAGCACGCACAACTTGCGCTGTCCTCCTTCTGAGGACAGTAGGAACGCGTTTTCGCCTTCAGGGCAGTACAAAGGACAACACAATGTCCATCAGCAGTTTTTCCTGTTTTTCATTGCTTCGTCGTGCTTTGACTTATGACGACATAGGAAGACACGACATGACTCAAGTGACTCAAGCATGCACGCTTGTCTTGCAACTGTCACAAACAAATCCCCTGAGTCTTCCACCACCTCTACCCACTCTGCAAGCGGCTCCTGCCACACGGAGCATGTGGTGGCAGGCAGTGTCTTCAGGGAATCTCGGCAAGGCACAGCAAACGCCTGCTTCGCATCCTCATCAGCGTCGCCGTACCTCATGCAAGACACTGCAAGCTCCTGTGGGCCCTCAAAAGGCCTTCAAAGGAAGCTTGCCCGTGGGTAGCCAAGCTCCCAGCTTTTCAGGTGGGATGCTGCTCCATCCTTTGAGGAAGCACTCCTCCGAGACCAACTGCGACACAAAGCGGTTCACAGCAACTGCCTAGGAGAACTGTCCTTGGAGCAGTAACACAAACGAGTCTTTGCCTCAGCACACTGGCTAGACGACAGTAGACAGAACTTGTCGTGTGCTAGTGGTAACAATACCTTTGTTCACGTTGGGCTGCTCTCTCCCTTCGCTTGCATGCAGCATATTGCAATCCAAAGCCCACAAGGAGTAACAAGCCACACAACAAGTAACAAGGCGAGAGAGGGCGGGGCGGCGACCAAACAACACCCTTGCAGCTCTGTTCGTGTTGCAAGGGCGGCACGCACCAGCCGGACAATTGGAAGACCACCATCGAGGAGTCGAACTCCACTAGCTACCGGTGAGCAACGCCAATTACATGCAAGAGGCTGAGCATAAGAGAATTTCGTCAAACACACCGAGACTACTCAGCAGACGACGGCGTTTCACTGGATTCAAAGCTCCACGCGACATCTCGGATGAGGGACTGCTTGTGAGGGTGGTAGAAGCATGGCCTGTGGAAGCCAATCTGCCGATGGGGCTTGCTTCAAACTAGGCACCTTTTATGGATGCCTTCTCAGTTGATGCAATGGACCCCAGTACCCTGATTCGAAATTTTGAACAATGACAACCCTCCGATGAACAGCCCCAACATCTGACGACGCTTCAGCTTGGGCCTCACAACTGGGCCGCGAAGCCACCGATAGCTCACGTAGGGACCTCAGTGTCAGCAACATTGTTGACAACGGCTGGGCCTACACCAGAACTGACCTGGCATCGTCGAAGATCCGAGCTCAGGACACGTTCCCTTGTCTTCAAACTGTCGGCCTTGCCTGTCCTTGAGGCCGATGTAAACAGGCACCTTTGGCATTGCCGAAAGATGACGAATCGTACGAACTCACTCTCAGGGCATCTTGGCTTCTAAGGGCCTCTAGGGGGGGTCTCCCAAGCCTCGGAGACAACGACGGGGCGGTGCCCACGAACAAGTTCAGCACGTATGACTGACACCATGGGCTGGTCCTGAGGAGCACTGGCTTTGACTGCCTTACCCGAAACTGCTCCCAAAGTGGCGACATGTCAGGAAACAAGTCCTCATCATCTGAAGCAGATCTGCTGCTGCTGGAGCCTACCCGGCCCAAGCTCTCTCCACAAGGAAAAAGTGTGCTTGCACTCGCGTCGCGATGCATGGCACCTCTTTCTGAGCTTCTTCCAGCAGGTGCCATGTTCGATCCTGACTATGTTCAGCGGCTTTATTTTTGAAGCACAAGCAGTGCCACGACCACAAGCAGCTGCACTAAAACGAGGGCGGCACTAGGGCGTCAACGTCCAGGCACCAAGGCGAGCTGTAAACAGATTCTCAGTTTAAACAACTGTACGTCCACGGATGGGCCGCTGTCATGGGGTAGACTGGATGTGACCGGGAATTGATGGCACAACTCCGTGTTATCCTTGAGGCTGTGTACTGCGACGCAGCTCATGACAGACACTCCAACTACAAGTGCAATGTGGGACTGGCGGCTGAAACTTTGGTCTGAACCTCAAGGAGATGCAGTATGGCTCAATATGGTTGAGGCCTTCTTTCCATGTAGCCCAGTTCCAAGTCATCGAAGCTCGGGTGGCCTCTTCTTCTTTGCACTTTGCTCGGAGGTGGCAGGCGCAGGCTTCTGCTGGGCCCACTTCTTGATGAGCGCTGCCCATTGCACGCCATCTGCCTGGATCTCTTTAGGGACACTGGCTTCCACAAGTGACTTTATCCAGCATCCCTTGACCCACTCCAGCGAAAGCTTGCGCTCAAGAATTGTGTTGCCGGATTCGCTGTCCGTGGTAAACGTATCACACTTGATGACGTTGAAGCACGTGCCATAGGGTACGTCCAGGGTCATGATCACACTTTCCAGCAGGCACCTATCATCCTCGCTCACCACATGCCATGTGCACGCGCAGCGAGACTCTTTCGGACACATTGGTGCTGGAGGAACAGGAACTCGCATGGACATGGAGCGGAGCTTCCCTGCGACTTTGGAACCTGACGAGGTGCCACTGACCCATGGCCCAAGCTCGATGCTGTGCATGTGAAGGTCCTGAAAATGCATCGACATCAAGTTGTGCTCCCCTTCCCAGTCGTTGCTTTCCAAATCAAGCCGGATTGACTCGAGCGGAATCTTACCCAGGTCTTCAAGCAGGATTTGCTGCGGTGGTGAAACTCCCTTCTCAGCCATCAAAGTGGAGTTTAACCTGTGCCTGTCAAAGGAGACGGACCTTCCAGTACTTCGAGCACTTTCTTCTATCTGAGGCAGCTCGGCAAGGAACGTCGGCTGCCACCTCCTGCGGCGAACATGGGAAAAGCCACGGAGACTATTGCTCCATCGGTTCGGCTCCAGGTAAAAGTCAACTGCGTATTGCCATCCTTCTGAATCCGACGTTTCGTCCACCACAACATCCCACTTGCATGCCCGCTTCCGACCCAGGAACTGAACCTCTTCGATTGGAGGCTCCTCACTCTCAGCTGCCTCGTCCACGTCAATGCTTTCAGGAATGAAGGGATGGGGCAAGTAATGCTCTTGGATAGCCATCCATTTGATGGCCTTCTGGTAGTCATGAGGAAGGAAAGGTGCTCTCCAGTCGCTGTGCCAAATTGTTGTTCGCCTTTGCAGCTCCCAGACAAGGCTCAACTGCTCTAGATCTGCCACCATCGCCTCGGCGGTTATGGTGTGTGCTCGTGCACGCGGCCCCGCCGATAAGGTCTCGCCGATGCCGCTGCCGCCAAGAGGAGTTGGGCAGAGGATGGACGCGCGACGATCGTCCGATGGAACGATGTCGAAGAGACCTGTGCCAACGAAGTACGTGGCGCAGCTATGCATCTGCGCCAACGCACCAACGTCAAAGATCCGCAGGTCGAAGCTATCCACCATGTTGCCATCAACTTCGGCCGATTGCTTGAGTCGAATCCGCACAGGATGCATGGAGTTTGTCTCTCCAGTGATAAGTCGGGCCCATTCGACCATGGACCAGGAAATAACTAAGCGAGCTTCCATACCCAAGACGGAGGAACGAAAACAAAGCCGCTCCGAACTAATATAGAATGTCCCAGGATGCCGAAACGTCTTCGACTGGAGCAGGCAGGGAATTGAGACAATTAGCAACTCACCGGTTCCCACCGCAGTTGCAAAGTGCTCGACGAAGTCTTCCAAATCTTCACCTCCTGCAAGTGAAGTCATACCCAGCTCTGCGGCGAGTTCCTCTGGCTCATGCTGCCGCAAATTGCTCGAGGAAGTGCTGCGCTTTGGCTGGAGCCACCTCTCCACAGCCGCCAGGTGGCGGACAGCTGCTCTTAGGCTCTCCTGTGGAGCCGAGATATCTGCCTTTTCCGCAGCTTCTCGCTGGAGGCGCTGGCATTTCTCGCGTGTCAAGCGAAGGGTGGCAGCCGCCCGTGAGCGATCGTCGAAGAACTTGCCCAAACCGACCCAGTTCAAGCAACAATCAGTGGAACAACATGGCTGCGACGTTCGAGTGCGAGACCCGCAAGGTGCTCGGCACCAGGACAGATCCGCGCAACGCTTCACGCCGAACCATTGCAACATGAACATGGATTCCGATCCTTTGGAGAGGTTGAAACATCAAACCAGAATCTAACCAGAATCAAAGCCCAGACCCTGTACTTATCTGCACATCTGCGTGTGCCTATGCGTGGCATCTCAACACATGACCTGCGAGCTGACCTTCTGTTCCATTATCAGGCAAAGTCAGTCGCAAACTGCGCAAGGGAGCTTCATGCATCTCATGCTGTCCCTGCTACCTCCGACAAAGAGCCCTGAACAGCGATAGCGCAGTCTAAGAGGCGTGTTGTAGGCCTCACAACCGTGGCAGAAGTCATCCGAACAAACGAAGACTTGACGTGACAATGAACTCCTGTTTTGTATCGCAGAACAGTCCCCAAGGTGGGTGAGTCCAGCGATGTCACCTGGTGCCAGTATCCAGCCGGGATATACAGACCTTGGGCAGCATTTCAACAAAAAACACCATCACAGACCTTACACCGATCCAACACCGACAGTTGCCAACTTCAGGCCGTCAATGGCGTTTATTTGCAATCATGCTAAACAGCTGAGCAGCAGTCACCAGAACACAGAGTCACGTTCCAGTGCGGAACTGTGACTGCCTGGCGCGTTGCTTTCTATCTGTCAAATCACGAGTCACATCGAGTCAGGCCCCGAAACCCTTCGTGCAGGTGTCCTGTGTTTCTGTCGTAATCCAAGATCGCCTAGTCAAACGTGGCATGCCCTCAAGCCATGCAAGGCGTGTAGCCGAACAAGTGAGGGCCAGGCCTCTCGTCCACGGTAGAGCTCATGTACTCAGAATAGCGCGGATGGACGATTAGGACCTCAGCCACTCTGTCCGATGCTTGCCCGGTGCGCCCCGCATCACACCAGAACATTGGCTATATTGGCTGCTGGAATCTCAGGACCTCTTCGAAACCTTTTTAGTGCCCTGGACTGGCCATGGCCAGTGTTCCTATTGTTCCTAAAGGCGTAAAAACACTGCGATGCCACCGAGGCTCCCTTTTGCGTCCCGAGCACATTTGAAGAAATCCAGGACTCTGGTCGTAGTGGAAGTTGGTCACAGAGTTCTGGTCCTTAGACATCCCCAAGGTGGAAGTAGCATGCAGACCCTGGCAGACAAGGCACTGAGCAGTACGTCGAAAAGTCGGCAAAGACGTTTGGATCCAGCCCCATGCTCCGAAGGGTTGCGTCGCCTGGTGCAGTGGAAGCATTCTTTCGGGATCTTAGGGCTTGGGGACTTTTTGGGGCTCAATAGCACTTTCGTATGCTCTAGGGCCTCATGTAATCTGGTGATTCGGGTCTCGCGATACAGCCGAGGCACGCTGGTGCGGCGGAAAGCCCTGCCGGAAGTACATCACCGGATCGGTCTCGGTGGTGCTAAACCTCAGATTACACCACCAAATTCTTGTATCCTCCGTCTGCCAACCCTCGGGCACAGCCATAGCCAGTAAAGCCTAGCGTCTGAATGTCGCATGGGCTTTGCCTGCACAAGTGTTCAACCGCCTGGCCAAAACACTCCATTCGATGCACCTGGGCCAACATTCAAGCAGGATAAGGAACCAGCCTTAGGCCTCATCACACGGGGTGCAGCACAAGGCACGTGAGCCGGACGTTCCCGTGAGCCGTCTGCGAAGCGGAGGCCATCGGCGTGCTGCACAACCTGCGGGGGGGGCGGGGGAGGAGGAGGGGGGGAGGGTGGGGGCACTTTAAGGCCGCAAGGGCTCAAACGCAACAGCCTCAGCAAGAACAGCTCAGCCCGTCGCTTCTCGATCCACGGGATAGGATGAGAAGACCCCGGTCGGCGAATACATCATAAGGGCAGGGTGGTCGCTACAAGGATACCTCCGCCGGGAACTAAAGTAATTGATGTCTGAGAGAAACTGAAAGTGAACAGCTCTTCGCTCATACATCTTAGCAGTGTTCAGAGAACTTCTCTTACTGCTAGCCTATCTGTGCTCTCTCACTGAGATGCTCTATTTGAGGGGATCCTTTTGAGTGGAACAGGCTCTTAGGCCGGAGCCTGTCATCCATCAGGTCCTCGAGCCTTGGGGAATCGTGGCCAAACAAGAGAGCAAAGTGCACAGTTGGGTACGCAGCGGATTGGGGAGCCAGCGACTGGAGGGAGAACGGCACATTGTACCCAGAGACCAGGCACGGCTCGCTGGGTGGGGCTTTCAACTGCGCCAGGTTTACCTTCCAAACTCTCGACGCACTTAAGTCAACGACAAGGATGCCTTTTCGCTGAGCCACTGTCGGCAGCGTGCACCAGATGTCCACAGGCTCGACAGACGGCCAGGTGGGCGAATGGCGTGCCGACGTGCGCCGCAGGAACCTTCAGGAGGAAATGGAACCAGAGGAATCAGAGAAGCTGAGAAAAGACAAGCATCGCAATGACTCCAAAAGTGGTGAGTCTTCGGCTGATCCAAGAGCTCGAAAGCAAGAAATGTCACTACGATGGCCTTGCAAACTCGCGATGGTGCTGTCTTCCATTGGCAGAACACCCAGCAGCCCGTCAAGCCCCCCGCAGACGCCACAGCCAGCAATAGTTGCAGAAGCGTCAGGACCTCCACCTTCGACTGTTGCTCAAGGGATGTTGAGCCAAGGTCTATATCTAAAACATTCTTAAACATCAACATCCGAAAGGCTTATGTTTGACCAGGAGCGCTTTTTGAGCCGTGTTAGAATTATTGAGAGCTTGCTGTGCTTGACAGCGCTTCCTAGCCGACCAGGACCTGGATTTCAAACCCGGCCCGCACTGCTTTCCTGTCGACCCTCCTTTCCACACCCGGCTCCTCTCCTGCCCTCATTCCAAATCGCACCAGGTCACACGCCCACGCCACAAATATCACCACATCTCTCACTCTCTCACCCTCTTTCTGTCTCAGTCTTCCGCTCTCCCTCAAAAATACATTTCGTCGCTCTTCTCGGGCCTTGTGACTGTCACTTCGAAAATCAGAGGCATGCTGCCAGCACTCTCAAATCTGTTAGTTCAAGTGCGCAATGCTGACGCCTACTCTTGCATGAGCGAAGGAACAAAAAAACAACATGCAGCACATCAGTCCCTCGCTTGCGACCTTGTTTTTGCGCGGGTGAAAGGCAAGCCACGTCCAAGTCCACTGTTGACGGGGGCGTCCCGGGGAGACTCCAGGATGGGTGAGACGGGCAAAGGCTTCAACCCTGCTACCCCCGACCCCACGCGGTGTGCTACTTGCTGCAACTGCAGACATCTCTCAAGGGCAACGTCGCGCAGGTCTTGGCCAACGTCAACTATTTCGTCGAATTGCCCTGGCTTCACCAGCCTGTTGTCGAGGCACTCGAACGAAACGCTCTGCTCGATCATCGCCCGCATGTGGGGTGCTTTGCCCATGATTTTGATGGTGCACTCCTGATCACCGGGACCCAGCCCCAGGCGGGGTGCAACGGCGCTCCGGCAAAGGAGCCTGGTCTCCAGGAAACTACAACACACTGGAGGACTTCTGCGCCAAGCTCCGGATGTTCCGCATGAAGCCGCACCAGCTCGTCCCTACTCATAAAGGGCGTGTTTGGATCATGCACTCCAGTGACAGCTTGGTCATGTTCACCGTGCGATCCACTTGCGGAAGCAGGGCTTTGCCGCTGCCGGCTTCAGCGGTCGCTATCTCTGTCACAGCTGGAGGTGCCGCCTCTTCTGGTGCTGCTAGTTGGGCAGGGCACCTTGCTTCGTGAAAGCGGCGAGCCACACTAAGACCGTGCAATCCAAACAAACCGGAACGACCGCAGTGGCGGCAGAAGGCCCTTTGACTGGGCCTTATTTTCACTGCTATGCCCTTGGAGTCCTCTTCCTTGTCTTCAAATAATTGCAGAATCACAAGGCCGACTATCTACACGCTTTTGTGCTAGACTCTGGCCTGGAACTACAAGTGTACAGCAAGATGATTCATGACTCTACCAATGCCCAAATCTCAAATGTAGCTGAAGTGACATGGGAGCCGGCATGGTTGTGGACCACGCCCTTTGTGCTTGACGGGATGATCCATCGCGATCACCAAAATTTTTTGATTGGTTCCGAACATATTTGCTCACCTCTGCCTTGCTGCATCTTCTAAAACATGCACGAACGATACTGGTGCTCAGCTGTATTAATGAATTCAGCAGTTTCGTGGAACCCGCGGCCTGAAAAGCACTTATCGGAAGTGCAGACAAAGCTGCACCTGAAGATGCCTGACAGGATACTTGAGGTCGTTCATGGTATTTCTTGAACGATGCCAGGCACAACTTCAGCACCTTGCAAGCTGGGGGAGCTGCGAGTTCCAAGGACGGCTTCAGGGTGCCACAAGCGTGGCCTAAGCACCAGACGGATAAGGTCAGCAAGCTGAGTTGAATGACTGACTAGCTGAAGCCGTTTCTGCTCAGAACTAGCTGGTATGCGACACCTCCGACATCCTCCGACCATCTCCTGAACTTGCATACCCCCGGTTACAATCGAATCCTGCACAACAGCAAAACCGCAGAGTCTTCTGATACCCTGCAGAAGCATCAGGACACTTCAAGAAATCTCAGCAACTCTTCTCAACACACCTCGCTGAAGATCTGCCTCTACCAATAAGTGCCAGGCCCAGCAGAAATTGCAAGGGGCTCGCTCCGAGGGCTCCCATAGCCTGGCTTTTTTGCACGGTTGGCGCTTCGATTTATACTTTGGGGAACGTGGGACCTCACGATTTCGCGTACCAGTACTAGTCCCCAATCTCCTTTTAAGAGTCAGCAGGTTGATCCATTGATCTATGACTTCTGCCGGGCAACTATCGAAATGGCCCCATCCATTCTAGAGCCAAGGGCAAGCTCGAGCAGCAGGACCAGTCGAAATCCGTCCTCACAACTCAAGCTGAACCAATGGCAAACAGGGAAACCACCTTGCCAGATCTTCTGAGAGAGCCGTCCTCTTCAGCCATCTTACGAGCCTTGGAGCGTGCGCAGCATGGACTATCACGTTTGACCGCCACACCATTCAGACGTCTCAGACGAGTTGCAGAATCAAGGGCACGCATGGCAGCACCGCGTTGGCCTGACGCTGACTGATAGCTTTTTGGGTGTTTTTGCACAGGCCCGTGTTCGACGCAGCCCTGGCACCATGGACCCCGACTTTGGGTGCACAGGTTGCGGAACCTCGGAAGTGAATGGTGCGGCTTAAGACACATCTTCTCCAGCTTCTGCAAAGGCAACCCGAATCCCTCCGGCACTGCAACAGCCGAGGAGCAACAAACGGCCCGCAAAAAAAAACACCAATGCTGCAGCTGTGTCGAAAACGATAGCACAGACGGATCCCAGTAGCACCTCAGCGCATCTCAATAATGGCTTACAGTAGCTTTGCTCTGCTTTCCAAGACCTCGTGGGGAAAAATCAGGTGTTAAGAAACGGGTGCAGACAAGCCGCAGACCCACCAAAGAAATTAGAGGCGACCGCTTGCAGGTCCGAGGTGGGTGGAAAGCCCAAGCTCCAGGGCATCTTGCTCAACAGAAAGCACAAGAAGTACCTCAGAACAGCGATCAGTCCGACAAGTAATGTTTTGCGGGGCTCAGCTGGCATTGCAACTGTTGAAGAGGCACATGTTCTTGCTGCCCCCGTACTCTGTCCTTGGGGGCCCAGGCCGTAGTACTTACACTCTTACAAGAAGATCTGCCATCAATCATCAAGTACTTTCGAACGTAGAGATCGAAGAGAAGGCTCTGAAGCAGCTGAAGCGTGTTCTCAAAGCTTTCCTGGCTCAGAGATGCTTGCCAGTCCTGCAGCACATGAAATCATGGGCTTCATGGATCCAAAGTCACAGAACTCATTCACTAGACGGTGACTAGATGTCCTCAAGCCCCAAAGCGACAGGGAGTACTGCGGCAAGGGGGGTCAAGCTGCACGCTGCAACGCATGCGCATATCATCCCGACGATCAAGCGCCTGCAACGGCACTCGGAAGCGCCCAGCTTCATGGAATGTCTGCGGACCGTGTGCCACACGCAAGATGTATCAAGGTGTCATGCTGCAATGCAGGCCTCATTGACGGATTGCGCCGAAGATTTTGCATGAGGTCCTCCACCGTCAGCATGCTCTTGCTGTTGGCAGCTAGTTGCTGTGCACCTTCTTGTGCCTCCCGAACAGGGAACATGACCGAAGCAAACAGCAAACATCGCGTCTCCCCTCTGCTTCGGCCTCAGCCATCCACTGTCTGAACTGCCGTGGCACTGGATTTTGCTTTGCCTTCCATCGCGAACGTGGAAGTCCTGGCCTCCCATGTTAAGTGGCACTGGCAAGAAGTGCTCCCAGAACTGCGAGATGAACTGCAAGAAGCTACGATAAGCTACTGCGCGACAAATTTGACAAAAGTCCTGTACCACGTGGGCCGCGGTGACAGGCGGGCCTTTCAAGTGTCTCAACGCACACACGTGCGGACATCCAAACATCCAGAAACTGCCTGCCAATGGCATGCGACAAACAGCGCTTCGCTGCAAGGGGTCATGGTTCTAACAGCCTAGCGTGCGTTCAGTGGAAACTTCTGGCGGTGGAAGAGGTCGAACTTGGATCTTCTTCTTCGGGGGATGCAGGTCATGAACCTCGGGCTTAGTCTCTAAAGCTGCGCCATATATCGCCTTATACTCCGAGCCGATGTGGCCACTGGATGCCGCCGTAGATTCGACATCCAATCTCAACATGTTCAACACAGCTTCAGCTTCACGCTGATGTCATATCAGCATGAGCAGACACACCCACACACATGCACTACTGCTTGCCAGATTACAGCAGCATCTTACGTTCTTCAGGAAACTCTCCATACAGAAGTTTTGCCCACACAAAACCGAAAAATGGCTTGAGTGGCAGAGCTATACAAACCCTTCCAAACCTGCTAGTCCGAGCCTTGAAGCCCAGAATCGAAACTCCTCAAAGGTGCTGTCCACACTAGGTGCAACTCCCCAGCCCCGCTGGCAGCAGCAGCAGCAGTATTACCAAAACGAAGGTGAGAGCCTCCTCAGCTACTGCAAACTCCAGAACACAGAACTTTGCAAAATAACCGATGAGCTGGCTGCAAATAACACGCTCCGAGTGAAACTGTAAAACGATCCGCTGTCCGTCCATCAACCTGGGGTCATCTCGTGTCAACGCCACGCAGGCGTCAGGCACAAGCAAGTTGGGACTCGTGGTGCTTCCTGTTGAAAGCTTGCAAAGCTTGCTACGGCGAGCTTTTGGACGAGTTTTTGGAGCCACGCCTCTTGTGAGCCTCCTTCGCCCACAGGGAGACATGCAACAATCATTGCGGGTCAGCCCTCCTTTGCCTGAGCAGCGGCCTTAGTGCCATGAAGCAGCAAGCCAGACCTACAAGAGCACACATGAAGCTTCAAGTGGTCCAAGCAGCATTGTCGCGTCTGTTGTTTGCAAATGCCTGACCCGCGCACAGTCATGGGCAGGCACCGAACAGCCATGCATGCGTGCCAATACAAGATGAACATCACCAAACCTGTTGAAATCGACTTGCATGTGCAGTGTATTGACTTTTGAAAGCCACAAATCTCAACAAACACTCAAACCAGAGCGAAGTGTGCCTCAATGTCGGCATCCATGCTGTAGCAGATTGTTGGGCTGCAGAGGCTTGCGCAGCCTTTCCACGTAAAGCGGCCTTTCAGGCGAAACTTCTGTGAAGATTTGTGTCAGACCCAACAGTGACAAAGCATACTCAGCTGGCACAGTGCATTCATGTTGGGGTCATATTCAACACTTGCACTACCACGATTACTAGTACTGCTGCTGCTACTACTACTACTACTACTACTACTACTACTACTACTACTACTACTACTACTACTACTACTACTACTACGACTACGACTACGACGACGACGACGACGACGACGACGACGACTACTACTACTACTACTACTCTCAGCTCGCTGAACTCTGTGATGTGTGCGCAAAGTGCATAGAAAAAGGGTTTGGCTCTTGCGGAGGTGGGTGGACCAACGCCTGGTGCCATCGACCGGATTGTGCGGCAGCTCTGACTGCAGGGGCCTCCTTGAAAGAGCACATCTGACATGCATGAGAAGGACTCGTGTGCGGCAGCGACTCCTCAAGGCTGGTAGCATCAGGTTCCTCTTCCAGTGTGTCATGATCGGTGTCGTGATCGTCTTGCGTGGTCCAGTCCGCCCCATCAGCGCAGGCGGCACCGTTACTGGAGGCATCGCATGCCCGCTCTGCTTCGAGTTCCTCAGGTGCTATCGCGTATAAGCTGCATGTACTCAAACGACGGCCTCTTGTTTGCGATCCGTTGCCACCAAGATTCCCGGTCAGCTTCATCTGCGGCTACTGCACTTTGTGGATCCTAGATGGGGCGCGCTGCAAAGACACTGCTCGCTGCAGTTTGTTGCACTTGCAGGTCCTCACCTCCTCTTTGTCCGCCGCTGCCACAGCAGCTGTGACTTGTAGCTCCATGCTCCCACGATGTCTCGAATCCAAGTCTTTCCTGGCACTGGGCATGAGTACGTCAGAAGGTGCAGACATGACTCGAGAGAGTCCTCTCTGTCGAAAGGACTGGCCCAGAGGTTTTTGCCTTGGTAAGGAGGTACATTTGTGGTCGAGAAAGGAAACGACTATGACTGCACTAGAGGTTTGCTTCTAGAGCAGCTAGAGATGAATCATTTAATGATGTTGCTTTCACGGGAGCGAACCTGGACGGGCGCACTCTTCCGTTGTGTGGAGGTTCTCCGGGCCTGCACTGAGGATTGGATTTGCGTGCAATGGCTGTATCGCATGCCGAGCGCTAGCACCGCACGGCTTTTGTTAAATCGATTGGCTGTTACGGAGAGCCGACTGCCTCTGGAACGAGGAAAGGAGTCACTAACCTCCTCAAGTCGAGCGCCCGAGGAGGTGTGACTGCAGCCTCCTCTGTACACGGAAGCGCAACGCCGAACTTCAGCGCCACGCTCGCCCTATTAAAAGCTAAGGTGACACCTGTGGGACTCGGCTCATTCCACCCCAAGCCATGCCACGGACCACTGCAACCATGTCCTCCAAACAGCCGCAAGCAAGCACGGATGCTCGTGGATTCCATGGATACCCACATGTCACGCCAGCATCACGCCTGTCAATCTCAAGCTCTGAGGCGCTGGCTCGACAATTGTAAGGGGCAGTAGGAACATGGGAGGACCACCCTGGCACTCTGAAGGGTTTGCGTTAGGTCCCTTAGGTGTGCACTCGAAGCGGTCCAAGAGCAAGTGCTGAAAACTTTCTGCAAACTTGTGCCGGCAAACCCTCAGGACGATCTGGTAGTATATTCCAGCTGCCGCCAAGCCTAACTGAAAGTCTTAAACAAATCAGTCGGGACAATAGCTAGAGGCAGCAAACCTCGCCACTACTCTCTGCCTCCTGAATCTCCTGCGTTAAAAGCAATTATTGACAAAACAAGTGCAAGACTTTATTCAGCATCACGTCCCACATGCCTCATACCAGTGCTGAGACCCGCCCGCTCGGGTCGGGCTCCCTCATCAACTCACGGAAGAGAGGCTTTGAGCCCGTCTCATTCAGTGTGTTCCAAGTCGCGTTGCGCTATGATAAGGGAGCCCGTCCTGGAGGCTTCAAAGTGATGTGACCTTATCATTGGCACTGGGCCTCTAGGATCTCATTGTGCCACGGTGGTGGAGCTCCAGACCTCCGTGTCCTCCGTGTCGCCTTGCCCCCTTTAGTAATGACGCCGTTATCTGCGAGCGGGTGCCATCCTTAAGAGAGCCGGACAACGTGCTACAGCAGTGGGCTTCGTCTGGCTTCGTGCTCCTCTTGAACGTCTTTGCTGTTCTTCGCCAATGCATTCTCTGCTGGCAGGGTTCTCCTAGCAGGCCTCTTCATCGAAGGGGGCCTCTTCGTGATGGTCTTCGCAGTGTGCGTCAAAGGCTACCAAAGAGATGCCTGCACACCCCTCGGCATCTCCGTCTTGGTGCGCCCAGGCTGCTGACCCACAGCAAAGCTTAGCCATAGCAAGCACTGTAGACTCTGTAGACTTGGCCCACATGCTGCTCGGCATCCAGCATTGAAAGTGCCATGGCTTGACAGTCTAAGCACCAGATCTCATGTTTTGCAACTTTGCTTTAAAAAAACCTGGCGCTTAGATTTTGGCAACCCATCTTAACTTAAGCACCGGTTTGGCTGGCGCGTATGTCTCTGAGGCCGAGCTTTGCCAGCTCGAGTTCTTTCGGTTCTTGTGTCTCGGCGGCCGGATCTAATGACCGAGTGGTGCCTCTGGGCAGAGGTTCAGGGGTTTCTGTGGATGACAGGCTTCCTAGCCCAAGAGAGATCTGTCAAGCTTCGACCCAAAACGTCGCTACAATTGAACCACTTCCTGACAAGACTGAGGTCGATGCTCCAGCCGATGAGTTCGTCCACCATGGAGTCCTCAACGATGGAATGAGGCTAGCAACTGCCATATGCAAGGCACATTTTCGCCGGCAAGATGTCTTTGACAGCTAGACAGCTGCTGCAGCAGCTGATGCTGATGATGATGATGATGATGGTGATGATGATGATGATGATGATGATGATGATGATGCCGACAATGATGCAAAACAGCCACCACATCCCACCCACACACCCCCCCACACCACCCCCCCCACACCCCCCCCTCCCCCCCCACATGCTCGGGAGCGCACGGCTGTCTGTGGAGAACATGCTGTGCAAGTTTACGTAAGGATGGAAACCCGGTGAACCAAGACTCTTACTGCCCTTGTTCTTGGTTTCCTGCCTTAGCGCTCGCTTTTGACAGCACTCCACGGCGCTGAAGAACAGGCCTCGCTTTTCGGGAGTTCGCTGTGCGAGGCAATGAATGCACCACTCGCTTTTTTAATTTAGGCTCCGGCAAGAGGGCCGACCAAGCAGTCCTGGGAAACATCCGGGAACTCATGGATAACGTGGTGCACGCCCAAGCGTGCGAGCCCTAGCGATGGCACGTGTCCTGCCAACAAGCAATCCTCCCGCAACACCCGTCTGCACGGAGGAGATGATCTCATCATCATGTCAGTTGTGTCCAAGTTGTGGAAAGCAGTGTTAGAGCCCTGCGGAAGCCGTTGAGGGCCTCTGGCCTATAGCCCAATGAGGCTGACTGAGCCCCCCACTTGCTGCAGTTTCCAAGCAGCAGCGCTGGCAACCACCTCTTTTCTGCACTTTCCCTCTTCTCCGAGCTTGTGAATCTAGGACCTTGCAGCTGAGGTTGATGGTGGGCTCGATCCACTGACGGTACCTCGCAATGAAAGCACCATGGGTTTGGGCAAACTGCCATGCAAAGAGATGACTGAGTCCAGAACTCAGGGGGTGTAACTGCAAGAGCAGCAGGCCTCGGCGTGAAGGTCACAGCTTGAAACCAAGTATATCCTGATGTTGAGATAAGGGGAAATGTGGGGGAAATATGGGAAATTCTATCAAGAACCAAGGGCCGAACGCCAGTGCTTTCGCAGCGAGTGGACGCAAGTGATCGCCTGCCATGGGTGCTTGCAGCATGTTGCAGCGCCGCATAAAGCAAAAGAAAGTTTCTGCTTTTGTGAGCTCAGACTACACTGTCTACACCCGGACGTCTCGCCTATGGAATGAGCAAAGGCAACGGTCCTTGCAGATGCACGTCATGCGCAGTCATGCGCAAAGCTAGCATCGGGTCCTCGCGAATTTGTACTTCAGAGCGAGCACCAGTCCCTGTCAACATCAAGTCAAAACACAAGGCTCAGAAGGCTAGCGACATGTTGCAAACATGCGCTTAAACCACTGTCTGCAGCGGACCATGTAGCCCGTCCAAAGGCATCCCAGAGCATCAGATATGCGCTGTGGATCAACCTCGCTAGCGTGACGCGTGCATCTTCTAGCAGCTGCTTCGTGAGAGCGACTTGGGATGGGACTGTGCACAGCACTAACTGCACCTTCTCCCAAGCTGAAGTGGGGTGTCCCAAATCCTGCGACAGTTTCACAACAGGCTCTCCATATACCACCGCATGCCGGCTCTGCTGCCTTCTCCATGTCGGTATTGGCTTGAAGAACCGCAGCAGCATCTACCTCTCACCATTTTTAAACTCTCACAACAGCGCTGTCATTTGCGATGGGAGAAAGCAAGGCCTGGAGATCCTGAAGGCTTGTGAGCCTAAGTGAAACTGTAAAACAAGTTCTGAAAATACTCTGAGTTCATCTGAAGGGCTGTTGCTTGATTCTTCCCGCTCCCCTAAGGCCTGAGCATCTTATCACCGCCTGCAGACATGAATTAGATTGGCCAATGTCCGTAACGAGAAGGCTGCTGCCACAGTACAGAAGCATCAAGAAATGAACCCGTATCTTCCTTTCGCGGATTTTCACCAAGAAGCTGCATGCCCTTCTGTTCTGCAACGATAAACGGCCGATCTAGTTGTGTGCTTCGATTAGGATTTCACCAGCGTCCATGGCCACAGCTACATGCTTAATGATCACACACTGCGCAAGCAATCGCAATCTTCTCCGGGCACGTAGTTTCTGCAGCAATGACAAGGCGAACACAAGCCATGTTCGCACCTGCTGTCTTGAAAGACTCAGCAGCAGCGAAGAACGCGGTGTAGTGGCCGCCGAAGAAACATTGTCCAAGACCTGTGTGGTTCGAGCTTCCAACGGCGCAATCTTTCAGGTCCAATCTGCACCCGCCAAACCCATCTGAGAAATCAAGATGTGCTTTTGGCATAAGAAAAAGGAGAGTGCAAGTCTGAAATCATAGCCAGTTGGACCCCACAAGCAGGTAGCTCCGTCGCGAGGCAGGGCCTTTCAGCAGGGCACACCCAGGTTCCTAGTTTCCGAGAAGCAAACCCACGTGCTCGCACACACACACACACACACATATATATCTACAAAAATATACACCCGCCTTGTAGAAGCGAAAGAGCCCCGAGTAGAAGCTGTAAACTGGAGGGCCGACAACCTCAGACTTCGCTTCTTACATCGAACAGCTCATGCTGAGCATCACCTTGTAGTACATTACTTCTACCGGCCGGCAGGTCATTACATCAATTACGTTGGTCCGCACGCAGCTGACCTCAAATTGGATCACACTGGAGGGTCCGAACGAACATCGACAAACATCATGCACCTCATCAATCCCATTTGATGCAAAAGCAAAGCTAGAAACCACTCAGGGATCCGCACTTCTTGGCCTCAAATGGCCTACAAAAGTGCTTACCATCTCTGCTGAGAAGCGGAGATGACGCTGCCTGTCGCCTCTATGACAGGTCTGCACACACCCAGGTAGTGTGACAGCCACGGCGGGCCCTGAGATGTAGCAACGAAATTCAGCAAACTTCTCTTGTGCCCCACTGTAGTCGACTGCTCCTGCCTGGGAGTAGCTGATCGTCAAGGCGAGTCGATCCATGCGCATGTGCTCTTGGCGGTCAACTCGCGATCCTACAGATAGCACTGCGTGCGAGTCAGGAGCAAAGTAGTTCGATGAATGCTGCCTCTGCCATTGCTTGCACTGGCCTTGACCACTTTCTGCTCGCTTTCTGAGCATGTGGGTAGCGCTTGCAATGACAGCCTTAGATAGACGAAGGTCTGTGCAAGCCAATGCTCACACCCAGCAAGAATAGGACTCCTGCGGTTGCAGCCTTTGCCACACATTGGGGATCTTGATCCCAGGCTGTGAGTACGGCCCAATGCTCCTTCCGGCTTTCAAGCAAAGGAAGTGTTTGATTCATGGGTTCGGCGTGGTTCAACCCATGCCGTACTCTCACTTCCACTCGCTTGGCCGCCTCTCTGGCAAAGGCTGGCCTTTTGAGAACACCAGCAGGAAGTTCAGAGCCTGCAACGAGTAACTGCCAACTGGACTTCAAGAACTAAGCGCAAAGTCCCGAGTGGGCACAGCCAAGGATGCTGCTGTTTCCCAGTGGAACAACCTCCGGCAAAAAATGCTTTGTGCGTGTGACCAGTGTAAGCGCACAACGAACTGTGCTGATATTGATCTGGCATCATGTGACATGGCGCAAGCATTTATTAGTGCTGCTGCTGTTGCATGCTCTGACGACTCTGCTGATGATGAAAATAAGGTTGCGGCAATTGCCCCACGGGAGTATGCGATGCTTGCCTGCCAGTCGCAGCTGTCAGCAGCGGCTTATTGGCAATGGCACAGACAGCCAGGAGAATACATCACATCTACTGTGTCCTGCCTGCTCAGACACCTCAGGGCCGCCGGCAAATGCAATGTAGATGTCTGCAACTCTGAGTAGCACGGCCCTTGCAGCGCTTAAGCACCAGTGAGACATGGACATGCAGCAAAAGGCAGCAAGCATCATCTAGCCGTACTGCCTTGCACGGCTTACAATTCGAACGGAACAGGGCCGCACTGCTACGGTACGCCAATGTCATGCTGGAACTGTGATGCATCATGTAGTCATGTGCAATCGCGGAAAGTGCCTCATGAGCTGACTTGCCTCTTCTACATGCGCACACTGCCAAAGCAACGCAGCTGGTCCAGCTGAGGCAGCAGACCGTGTTTCTGCCATGTTTCCACCAGCTAGGAGTGTCTTTCCTTGCCAATCGCACCAATCAGGCCAGGCACACTTTTTGCACACTTGTTGTACCTACGCCGCTCCTGTCGGTCTTCTTCAGACCTTTTCAACCTTCGAGCCTGCGAATGCACCACTGAGGTGACTGCCAACACGAAGACTCGACGGCATGCCGGCGGGAAGCAATGTGCAGACCTAGGTCACACCATGTCACACCAATGGTTGCTTTTGGCCCCATGTTAGGCCTCTCGGCCTTCTGGGCACGAGGCCATGGATCCGTCTCCGCAATTATTCGCGAACGTCTCCTCGCATTTTGCTTTGAGAGAAGTGGCGAAATGGAAAGCACTTCACGTGGTACACGCCTGGACGCCAGAGCTGCCAGCGAGAAGGACGACGGCTTGACGCAAGTCCTTGCTGACTTGCAGGGCAACCTGGCAGTGCTCCTATAGTGGTTGCCTTATGGTCCCTTTCTTCTGCTTGCAAAGGCTCTGAATACTTGCCGTATCCATTCATTCGTACGGGTTGCGCTCTGCGCGTGCTGTCTGCTAGTTTGCGAGCCGTCTTCTCTCCTTCCTAAGCGACAGCCCCGGTGAAAAACATCCAGGTATACATGATTCCATTGCCCTGCCTTCTCTGCGAGCTCCTTGGAGCCTGCAGCTGAACAAATCATGGGAGCTCTTCCCCCCAAGGCTGCGAAGAGGACAGCATACCAGCGCTGTGCAGGCCACAGAGCTCCTTTCTTCCGATTGGGCTGGTCTGCATCTCAGGCACCAGAGACATTTGCATCGCGCATGTGTGGCAGCACGCTTTAGGAGGTTACTGCCGTCAAACTTGACCCACGTGCGCCCCCAACCAACATCATGAAAGAGAGACCCATCTGATTCTGGACTGAGAGAGAGATGGTCCCAACTCCCAACATGGTGTCCAAGGGAAAAAGACCCGTCAGTCAATCAGGCATTGGGGGAGCTTAGATGTGATTGCTCTGATGAAGTCTGCCTGATTTGCAGTTGCTTACATGACACCCTCAGCGTCGGCGCCGGCTTCGGCTGCGGCTGCTGCTGCGATCTGGAACCAGGAATTGCAGGCAAGGCGAATCAAGGTGGGGCCTGCGTGGGGTTGTTGCCTTTGGGGATGCGTAAATATACGGCTTGTCTAGTGTGGATTGGAATCCATGTCAGAACATTTCTGAACCCAGCGCTTGCAAGCAACAGCAGGAGTATCCCGCATCAGGCCTCGACGCTCCTTCAAGCAGAGTGTTTCACAAAGCAAGCCGCCGCTGCTTGGATGCTAGCATATTGGATCCGTTGCTAACATCGCGTCAGTCCTTTCTCCCTTTTCCACGGCGACTCTTGTCTCGGTCCTTCGAAGGCAAAGATATACATGCTCATGCCCGAGATCGGGCCCTAGAGCCTGTCCAGGAAGGATGCAATGGGTTCTTGCCAAAGCTCCTTGCGCGACTTGCCTCTGCCTCGATCTCTGCTTCTGCTGCTTCTCCTGGAGCCAACTGCAGTGTAGCAAGCTGTCGTCTTTATCCAACCATGTTCACCCCACCTTCTTTTCTTCACTCCGTTCTCTTTTTGCGACTCGTCCTGGCAAGCAGAGCCACAGTAGTTGAGCAGAGAAAATCTCCTCAAGACTACAATCTCCTTGTTTTTGCTCTTGGACTTTGCTCTGTCAGCATCGCCATTGGCCTGTCAGCAGCTCTTTCAGACAAAGCCAGGCGGAATTCAGAATCTCAACAGCCAGCCTCTTTCTCTTCTTCTTCTGCTACCTTAGAGACTCAGAGCTCCGGCTGGGGTGTGTCTGCAGTGCTGAACAGTGCAGTTTTGCGCTCCGCGAGTCGAAGCAGCGGACTCAACACACAACGTGACAATGTGGCCTTCTTGGCGTATTCCTCATTCTTCTTCTTGCGCTCTTCCTCCTGCACGGAGGTCGGAGGAGCTCATCACAGCACAATCGGTCGTCGCGCTGCAGAATCCACCTTCTTCTCCTTGATGACCTTCTCGCGCTCTGCCTGTGATGAGGAGCAGGATGGAGCAGGTGGGCCCTCTTTTGTGTAGAAAATAGAGAACCCAGGAGCAACAGAAGTTAAAGCAACACCAATGCCTGTTTTGCTTTGAGCTCCTTGAGTCGGGCGCGGATCTCTTCGTAGCTGTTGTGCACCTCAAAGTGACTTCAAGGGCAAGCAAGCTGCAAGCCGCATCATAGCTGTCAAATTCCCGCCTTGTATCTCAGATGTGCTTCATATTCTCCTTCATTATTGCCTCAGAAAAATGCTAGAGAAGGCGTCTGTGGAAGGCTTGTCAGTGTGGTGGAGAAGCTTCGGCTCCAGCTGATGTATGCAGTTCCACACACCTGGCGAAACCAGCTACTGAAGATGCTCGAATCCAATTTCTGACCGGGATAGGAATGTACTGAAACCTGTCGCATTCTTTAGTCAATATAGTGATGAGAGTAGACCCGTGCTTCGTCCGTTACCCGCCTACGTGTGCTGCTCACTGGGCAGTGTTACCGATGCATGTCCAGTGCAAGCAACCCAGCGTGTTCGGCCTCACAAGCAAGGGGACGAAAGTTCGCTTTGACCTTCTCTTCCTCCTCCTGCCCAGACGTACAAAAACATGCTGCGGACAAGATGCAACGTCGTGCCTACTCTCACGTTGCATTGCTCAAGCAGAGCCTACAGAACGATGCCTTAGAAACATCCGTAGACTCCGCCATGTCTGCTCCAATGGTATGCGGGAAGAACCTGACATACCCTGACCTTAGCCACTTTGTTAATCGTCCTTCTCATACTTCTTCGCTTCTTCCAAGAGATCATCGGACTGCTTCATGAGCTCTTCCTGAACTCGAAGTGCGCTGCGCGAAGCCCATACCATCCATGCTCAGCGGCTCAGCGGCTGCATTTAACCGAACCTCAAAAACCCTTAAGAAATGGAAGCAGTGCAGCAGCCCTGCTCACTCGTTCGCACTTTATGACGGGAGCCTCGCCTCAGACATGGTACTTATGAACCAATTCTCACTATACTTCTAACCCGAATTGGAGCCGTGTTAGGGCACCTAAGGGGCTTATAACTGGGTTATAGCTGCATTGCAGAACGGCCCCACCTTCTTGCGGGCCTCGCAGTCCTCCAGAGCAGCCGACCTCAGGGAGGCAAAGGTCTGATGACTGAAGCGACTTCATGGTGCCCATGAGTTTCTGTAGACCCTGAACCCTAAACATCTGTAGCTGTCTGTAGCTTCTTGCAGCAACCTATCCTTGCTGTCTCTAGACTCTATACCATATCTCGCTCTGCTGCTTCAGGTTTCTCAAGGTACGGAGTATGTGCCCGGCTTTTGCGCCAAGTTCGTGCTCTCCCGCTTCATCTGTGAGATTTTCCTGAGAAAGATCAGGCACCGCTGTGGAAAGCACGACGGCACTAACCCAGAAAGGACCCGCACCACATGAGAAATCAGGCAGCACGAAGACTGCATTCCGTGGCAGAGCCGCAGGAAAGAGGCGTCGAGAAGTCTCACCTTTGGAGACCTTTTCCGACTTTCCGGTTGCAGCAAGGCGACTGGTTGACATCAGCGGGCAGCGCCTTGGACCTTTCTGTGGAAAGACATGGGGCTGCGCAGCTCTCATTGGTTCCCGGGCTGCTCGTTTAGTGGTTTAAGTGTGGTTAAAGGGCCAGGCTAGGCTAGGCTATACCCGGACTTCACCCACCCGCCTGTATCGGCCCTTTCTGAGAGCCGTTGTGTGTCCAAATGCCTGGACTAGAGGAAAGCCGTGACGCACTTGAGCAGTTTTGAAGCCCGAAAGTTGTGTAAAAATCCCAGCCGACCTTCTCTGCCTGACTGCTATATTCTGTCCCCGTGTGCCGCAGATTCACACTGGAACCTGGAAAGGGCATCGCATCAAGCAGGCCCTACCTACTGACCTACTGGGCCAAGGTCTATGTTGCCGGCCTGGGTTCTTTCCGCAAGCGCTCCACCTCTCTTCGTCCGTAGGCCTCACTCTGACGGAAGAATGTTGGGTGTAGGCACGTCCGTTTGGGTCACTTGCCTCCTATGCAGGGTAGGGTGGGGGGAGGAAACATCTTAAGTGGCGGTCGGATGACAAAGAAAGTATGGAGTCTGAACAGAGAGCGAGCGTTATTACTCTCGGGTGCATTCTTTCAGAAGTGCCTTGAGTAGAGTGATGTTTTGTCTTTGCCGTGCAATGATCCTGGCGGTAACACGGCATCTAGTCATAGCATCATCGAAGTAGTATACGGGGTTTTCCGAAAGGGTTACCCTTCAGGAAGGGTTCCTCTGATAAGTATGGTAGCCTTTTGGGCTACATGCGGGCACACCCTGTCTTGGAAAATGCCTACATAGCACGTTTCTCATATCAGGTTGCCTTTGTGGCTTTGCATCTTCGCCAGAGGTTCAAGCTTTTGAAGAGCCGGAGGGAGGAATTTATGAGCTCTGCCAAAGTCAGGGCCTAAATCCCGAAATCGCAGGCCCTAAACTGAGGTGCTTGTTTTGGAGCCTCGGACTCCTGGACGGCAAACTCCAAGTCGCGAATCGAGTACTCCTTTCATTGCTGCAGAAATTCGTGGATATCCTCTCTCCTAAACCGAACCGACCAAACCCATGGAAAGCCCCAGAGCATGCCCAGACTTCGACACTTCACCACACGACGGTGTCCTCGTACTTGATTCTCAGATCACTGCCCTCTTTGCCATCTTTGTGGGCTTCGAACTTCTCTCGGATAATCTGCAGCTCACTCTTGGATTTCAAGTCTTTGCAAGCGTAACAGGTGAGCAAGCAAACTCGTGAGATGATTCTCTTGACAGCACACCCTCGAGCCTCCGAGTGGATTTTGTCACAGGGCTCGATCGTCCGCTTGCCGCCCACAACGGACTGCGTGTGCAGAGCTTCAAACCCAGAGACTCCAAAACCCCTTATTTCAGGAATATACCTTAAATCATATTAGGGTTCCTACTATAACTTAAGGTATATTCCTTAATTGAGGGGTTTTGGAGTCTCTGGGAACTTTGCCAGGAAACAACTCTGCTGCTCAAGATGGTGATCGTCATTTCCACAAGCCCTGTGCCTTGTCGAAGGGACAGAAGCCAATAAGAAAGCCTCAGTGAGACGCCCTGGCGTACAGCCCTACGCTTCATCGGCCTGATTGCTAAGGAAATCCCACTTGCAGCTACTTATAACGTACGAGCACGTAGAGTCATAGAGGGTTCTCAGTTCCGGCCAGGCATTTATTTCATTGTCCGCTGCTTTGCCTCCGAGGTGCCTTTGCAGATGCTTTTGTCCTTGCACGTAGGAGTCGCTACATAATAGGATAATATAAGAGATGCCTGCATCGACATGGTATCACATGCGTACCACATCTGCCGAAACCGCAAGCTCTGGCAAGAAGATGCAGCCTTCCAATCTTCCGCATTTTCATCTTTTTTCTGGTCCCGCTGTGGGCCTCAAACTGTCATGCAGACACCACTTCAAGAAACGTCTTGCGTACTGAGGTCCGTTGCTTAGTTTATGGCGTTGGATTGAGTCATCAAAACACATGGCAGAGTCTCAATTCCTCTGGGTGTGCATGCATCAAACGCTTAAAATGCGACCCACGAGTGCCCTGAAAATATCGGCCGTGGAGCTAGTAGACAGGCAAAGTTACACCGTATGACACCTGATGCGCCTCGAACCTGACATGACAGCACCGCACTATCAAGACAGGTCCATCAATAAACAGACTCAGCAGAAACAGCGCAGCTCAGCTTAGAAGGCATGCATGAAAGATCAAAAACTTTCCAAGCCGCTCAACTGCTGAGCGCATCAGACGACTATGTATGACTGCAAGACTGCGCAGGACTGTCTCAGCTAAAGGCCCATGAGGGCATCCAGCATCGCACGTGCCTGCTGCGGATCCGGGACACAGGGCTTTGGTCCGGGCACGTGTCCATGTAGCAAAACTAAGAAGCCAGACGCTGCCTTGTTCATGGCTGCTAGCAGCGCGTCACATCAACGGCACACGCATCGACCGGCGAGAAGGCGCTTCTAGTTGAGTCGGCTTGTCTGATGCTGCTTTTGTGATCTTCGTGCCTAAAGTCTCGACGGTGTGCACGTGTGATCTCTTTCAGCGTGGCTCAAAGCTGAGGCCAAAGGCCAGCAGGTTGGAACGATTCTGCTAGAAGCTTGTTACGAAGTAGACAGCCATCAAGATCCAAGAGCACTCACAGTGATCGCAATGCCTTGCGTCTCTCCAGAAAGAATGCCGATCTTGAGGCCAGGCCCAAGCGCTTGGGAGACTTCTGCCAGGACCTGGGCAAGCTCCCAGGTGAACTTGTATTCCGAGCAACCCCTGAACTCCCTGAAGCCCCTGAATCCAAAACAGCATCAATGCTTCAACATGCTTCAACCATCCACAGCGAGGCAGTTCCCGCTTAGCTGATGGGGGCCTACAGCAGTCAGCAAGATTCCTGTCTGGCCTGTAAGGTGATCAAGTGACCATGGTGACCAAAAATTGACTCCATCAAGGTAGGCAAGCTGCTAGTCAATTCAATCTCTCTTGTTAGCACGCCGCGCAGCCTGAGTCATGCATGCTTGCACTTTGGCACAGCATGGGATCATGCCATGTAGAAGCCACTTCCTTGGATGCTGTCAGCAAGAGTGCTTTCGACTGGCGCTCCTGCACAGACCGGTTGCAACCGTACTCCTGTCGCGAAGGTTTGGTAGTTCATTCAGCACTTGTCAGAAACTGGTCCACACTGTCCATGCATCTGACTATGCATCTTGGCAAGCCCGATGCCCGCGGTCCAAAGACCTCCACGATGTTCTCCATGACCCCACGATCATACGGGCTGCTGCGACGCTCAGCCCAGTTCCGCATGCTTTCTATGGTGGTTTCATTGCGGAGCAGGCCATGCAACTGGGCGAGCAGCAGATCCCACAGCAGTGCAAAGCTTGCACATGCAGAGGCTGCCAGCAGAATCACATAAAGCTGCGCAAAGAGACTACGTGCGGGATCGAACGCTGCAAGCAAAGCACCTGGAACCTGAGGCACGACAGCCAACGCAGCGAAGCCAGAGGCAAACATCGCCAAAGCAACAAAGGACAGGAAGTATGGCTGGTTCCGGAAGCCAACACACGAGTTTGTAAAGATGCAGTGGTGGTCCATCTTGAGTATGCAGCGGTCGCAAACGGAGCAGTGATGACATCTCTCAGGCTTCTGCGCCTTGCAGCGATCACACCAATCGGCGCTCTTGTCTCCACCAGTCGGGCTTCCAGGATCCAGCAGACTTGTACAAGCGAACAACGATAGCAACGAAACCACTAGCACGCCGAATGCACCCTCAGCTGCCACATTCGGCCACTTCGAAAGCTTAAACCAAGGAAGAGCCAACCAATAGAAGCCATGAGCTTGAAGTGTGATGAATGACAGCGTCAGAAACACGAGCAAGCGAGCCAGTAGCCGGTCGCACGTCGAATGTGCCTTTCTCACATGCCGTCTTGGAGGCTCACGCTTCGATTTTTTGGAGTGCGCTGCCGAGTGCTTCGCATACTGCGCAAATGACAGGGAAAGGGATGCCAAGGCTTGAGGCGAGTGTAAGTCCATTGCCTCGTCAGGAAGAGAGTTTGACCACCGGGTCAAACTGTGGCAATCCCGCCTCCATGCTTGCAGCAGTCCGTAACCATCCAGAGTCTTGCTTGAGCCATTGGGCGCCATGAAGCCATGCGGCACGTGACAAGCAAAGAAAGGCCAGCGTCAGACGGTCAAGCAGGCACACTGCAACGACATCATCCTTTTGTGGCTAGGCTATCTTCAGCACACCATTGACGAATCCCAGCTTCATCTTCGATCAGCTTCCCTTGTGCTGGTACCTCCGATGATAGGGAGAGCTTGAGTGAGAACCTGCTAGGAGAATGATTGGCACATTGGTTGAGGAGTTGGCACTGAAAGACGAGCGTGATGGTTGGAGTGTCTAGAGGCACGGACCATGTCTGACACAGCTGCACCGCAAATGATTGTGCCCCCACATTCGCCAGCATAACAGCTCGTAAAAGCAAAAGGAGCTCGCGCCTGCACCAGCTGTGATGGAAGAATCATTGCCTTACTGGAGGTGAGGCAAGAGCCGTCGCGAAGACATTTGGGCGGCCCCGATGAGCTTGCACTTACAGTTTAAAAGGGCAACAAACATGAACTAACTTTACCGGCGAAGATACAGTCAGACTTCCCCCATTGCAGCAGTTCGTGTCCAGCCCAATGGCATGAAGGTACTGCTGCAAACCACGTGGTGCATCCTTGAATTGCCAGCCAAATTTAGAGCTCTGAAAGTCTCAAAGCATTTGTCAAGAAGGAAGCAGCCAGGGAACATGTCCGAACATCACTTGCCTCGGCATGTCTTCTGTCGGCGGGCTGCAAGAAACCTTTGACGGAAGGCACATCCAGCTCTTTCTACAAGATTTACCACCTGGTGATGGTAGCGTGTGATGATAGGCTTAGCATTGCGACAGGCTGATCCCGAGGTTTGTGAGGTTTGTGGAGGAGGAAGCTGTTCAGATCCACGGTTTACAAAGCTTACAAGCCGGAGCCACCAAGCAGCAAAGGAGCTCCAAGCTGCGGCCCACCTCAGGAAAACATCTTGTTACCCGAATGTTGCAACCATGACTGGCAGCGACCAGCAACCTTTGAAAGTGTGCAAGACCGGGCAACAAGCCATGTTTGGACAGACATTCGGCTCAGAAAGACGCATGGCAGAGCTCGAAGTGTGGCAAAGGCACGGTTCGCCCATGCTGGTGTCGTATCTGGCTTGGTAGGTGTACCGCCCTCCGTCTGTTTTCACCAGATTCCCTCAGTGTTGGGCTGAGCCAAACGGAAAGCCATATGTCGTCGAGGTTCGCATGAATCTTGCTGTACAAGAGGCGTAGCATCACCATGTCGGCTGCTGACTGTTCACAGAGCCTGTCAGAAACAAGAGTCGAACGTCGCGACTCCCAATGTCTGCAGCCCGTTTTCAGTCCGACTGCATGCCATGTTGGTTGAAAGATTCTTGCAAGTTGTAGCTGAATAAGAGTGTTGTTAGCTCGTTCAAGCAGCGGTCTGCCAGGCACCAGTCCAGCATGCACCAACAGCACGCCGTGGTCTGGCAGCCGAATTGTCAGGGGCAATTTCCTGATGAAGTCCAGGTCTGCGTCAGTCCTGGGACCAGTCTTAGCCAGCACAACCACAGCCTCAAGCCGCAAGCCGCGTGTAGGCATGTGCAGGCTGCCAGGTGGCCTATGGCTACCATGCCACCAGTAGCACCGGTTCCCATGTCACAATAACAGAATCGAGAGACAGCAGCGGCAACCAGTCCCAGCTTCCGTGCTCGTCGGGTTTGGGAACGACTCCAGTCTGCTTCCATATTTCCCACTTCTGAAGCCTTTGAAGGGGCAGTGTCTCCAAGTTATCAGACGAAGGGTCTCCTAAAGGTGGCACATCGCCACTCTCGGCAGCCAACATCAGGTCTGTGTTCCAAGTAGCGCGATGAACTCATGATTGCCAGCAATGGCATGTAGGCCCTGCTCCCTTGCCAAGCGGATCACTTCTATAGAGTGAGGTCCCTTGTTCACCAAATCGCCAAGCAGGATGACCACCTGTGTCTCTTTCACGGACATTCATACAATGACTTCAACACTTGGCTAGCAGCCCCCTCATGCAGGCCAAGGCACATCACTGCTTCTGGAGTACCCACACTTGGCCTGACAAACTGAGAAGTTGCCGCTGAATTCTGACTATAGCAGAAGATGAAACGGACCTAGCCTTTGCAACGCGGTCTGCCTAGATTCTCTGCAAACGCAGATTCCAAACTCGAGGAAACCCAACAGAGTCAGAGAGCCAGCAACGCGGCAAGCTCGAAAGCGCAACCATGCACATCGCCGATGACGATGACACGTGCAGTGCCTGTCTTACTCTGGTTGAAACATGTTGAAACCAGCTGTGATTCGGTCACTTCGACTCACTGCGACTCACTTGATAGCATGTATGCTGTCCCGGCCTGTGTCAAGGACGTGATGAGTTAGTGCATCAGGATGACGTAGCTCATCGATGCTTGCGAGGCTCATGGCGAAGCAGCATCTTTAACAATTCTGGACAAGTGGAGCCCGCAGCTCTCTTTCGTTCAGAAGTGGTGACTGCAATGCAAAACAAACAACTCACGCGCAGCCGGGTGCACTAGGCTGCACCAGGGTCCAGACAGCTTCAGGCACCATGTCGATACAGGCAAAACTTCCTGTGCCAAGCCGCTAGAGCACAGTGATCTAATGCCTCATCCCTGGTGCCGTGCTTCACGTTAGGACTACAGCTGCCAAGCAAGGTCCGTGGCCTTGTCGCTGGTCGTCTCGGTGATCAGTATCACTGCGACGCGCCGTCGGCAGTGTTTGTGGAAAGTGGATGAAGGTGGGACAGTGGGAAGGCATGGCCTACTTCACAGGAAATACTTTGCAGAGCTGGGTTGGGATTTCCATTCCGGGATTTGAAGAAGATGAAGAAGCGCGTGCTGCTGCTGTTGCTGCTTCTGTTGTTGCTGCTGCCTAACTGCTGTGAAAGAACGGGGCGGGAAGCGCAACCATGCATACAAATAGATGTGTAATATATATATATATATGTATATATGTATCTACACGTAGAATTACACCTCACAAGCCGCTATCACGTGCCAACCTCCGCCAGGACCTCTTCCCAAACCAAGAGACCTGCGTCAAACAGATGCAGCACCGCCCCCACAATCACCAGGCTCCCTGTCGCCCGGCCAAGCCTTGCGACAAAGTGCCCTCAGGCCTGTGAGTCTCGCAGTTGCACTGACGAAGCATCAGCCCACCTATCTTCGTGCCTGTCAAGGAGCTTGCGCTGACCTTGGGGAGATTCCGTGCTATGAGCAACCAAGAGCGTCATACTGTACCAAATAACAACCAGCTCGCCGTATTAAACCGCCTGAAAGTACATGGGCAGGCGAGGCAAAGGTCGCAGCAGGAAGGGTGCGGCGCATTGTGATCATGATTCACTGAGAAGTTGGCGCTTGCCTAGCTTTCGGACGTCCAACCTGAAGCAGGCCTCCCACACAAACCAACAGTCCGGACCATCTGATTCAATTTCATCAGCTGAATCAGATGTGGAGCTTCGCGGCAGTGCGCGGACTGGCCTGGTCGCCCTCTGTCGCCAAGCTTCTCTTCAGGCCAACAGCTTCTAAGAAGTCAGCTGCCTCAACGAATCGGTCTTGCAAGTCGATGCGGTCTCTTGCTGCTTTCGCAAGATGCCTCCGCCGGATGAGCCTTCGGGAGCATGGCCACAACGCAAGTGCAAGTAGGATCCCGCCTGTGCACACAACAGCGCTCAAGCACGTATGTGGATTTGTGCGGGGTACTGAAGTTTGACGTAGTCTGCGGCCCTGGCTTGGCGACTTGCCTGATTGATTTTACCTGTGGATACTCCAGCTCGCCACAAGTATGACGAAATAAGTGGAGGCAACACTAGACTCTAACTGATGACATGCCAGCTTTGCCAAAGCTCGTCCGATGCGTTGTCGCCGACAGGCTGGCACAACGCCAATGTATACGACCTGATTGCGATGAAAAAAGCGCCCTGGAATGAGAAGCAAAAACGAAATCGCGGAACGACAAACTTGCGAAAAGCTACGAAAGCTGGCAGGTACCCAATATGTCGTCGTGCCTGCAACACCTGCCGCTCCGTGCGGTAGAGAGCCATCCCCAGAGCCTGGTCGATGCCGAGAAGTCATGAATTCAAAGCGATGGTACCAATGGCACAGCCTAACCCCGAGGCCTCCCAGTCGCAGCTGGTCCCTTAGAAGCCATGAAGTCAACACCCACAATCCACCAAAACGCATGCTGCTTGAGTCAAGCTGCATCGCAGGCATGCGGATACTCTCAGACCATTCTTCTTTGAAACCACGTCCCACCTGGAACAGCCAAGCAGAACAATGCCTTGGGCCTACTGGGCCTCCTGGCCTAGGGTAACGAAACTAGTGCGACTAGATGTGCGACTACTTTACACTTACTGAACGGAGTTGTCCCTTGTAACATGAGGCTCTAAAGGTTGTTGGGGGGGGGGGGGGGCGGGCCGAAGCAGGCTTGACTTGAAGGATCCTGGCATGAAGATCCGACCATTGCTACTGCCATCGAAACAAGTCAACTGCCTGAAAACGTGGAAATGGTAGTGGTGACACGAGGATTGTATCAGAATGTGCAGCAACCTGTCCACTTGCAACAAGTTCAAGGATTGCAGCGAGACCATGCGTCTGAATCATGGCAGGCCGGCACGTTGAAGTCCAGCTCTGAGGATGCCAGGCCCAAGGCATCGAGAATGCGCTGATCGACCTGATGTTTCCGAAGCTTCTTTGCAGAATTGCATAATATGAAAATTGATGCATCCTGCCTTTCCTGGCCGAATGTCAGGACTAATCGACACCTGCACACTCAACGAAGCACATCTCCTCGCCTCTGCAGCTCAGAGCCCGACAATTGGCCTCCGTACTCCTGGACAGCAACGACTTCGAACCTCAGAGAGAACGCGATTTTACATGATCACTGCGACTCTCACTGGGCACGCGCGGATGTGTCTTTCCAGAGTTGTTTTGTGCAAAGGCTCCAACTTGTCGCTGGTTTGTCCTCACCTGACAACAGCTGGTGCGACTTTGCTAACATAATGCTCGCACGATGAGTTTGGAATGGATCCACATGGTTGTTGAAGGAGTGTCCCTTGATGGCTGGACATTCTTGAACAAATTTTGCGCGGATTAAAAAAGAGCAGGGGTAGAGGGGTTCGAAGGTAGCCCCATTTGCAAACAAAAATGCTCGCACGATGGGCTTGGAAAGGTTCAATTGAAGGATTGCCATGCATTGCACATCTCATGGATGGCACGACGATTACGACATTCTTTGAAGCAACGACTTGAGAGCAGGATGGGAGGGTGGGGGGAGGCAGCTAGCCCGCATTTGCAAACAAATGGCTCGTATGATGCTTGTTGAAAATGATCCAATTCAATCTGTCAATGAGTTTTGAAGAAGAGTTCACCACAGGAAGGCAGTCTCTTGCTTTCTTTCACGTTCGTGTTGCAGCCCCTGACAACTCCCTGACATCTATTTCATGCCACTACCCGACGAACACGAAGAAGAGCGACACGCCTGCGTGAACCGAATGATCATCCTCAAGCGGCTCATCGTCCTTGGCGAACCACACTGCAACTCGATCTGCTCTGACTCCTGTGTTGGACAAAGGTGAAGTACCGCCAGGCGACAGCACTTTGGCTGCTTGATTCCGACGCAATGACCTTAGACGAACTTCAAGCCCACATGTGAAATCCCAAAACCTCATGCTTTCCGGCTTGGACAACTGCCGCATCCAGCAGCTGCTGGGTTGACAAAACCTCCAAGCTTTGCTTGAGAAGCATGTCGACGCATTGTTCAACTCGCCACACAAAGGCTGCTCTCATGGTGATGTAAATGATGTAAACAGGAGCATCGCTGCTCAACATCTTCCACTGTGGAAGCCTTCAGCTTTTCTAGCGTCTTCGCTTGCGTGCGCGATCCGGCACGCCGGGAACCTGGCGATGCTGTCTTTCAGGAGATGTGACTTCGGCATCTGACATCCTGTCGCATTGATGTCATGCACGTTGCACCTTCGCGATGGTGAGGAGACGACGCTGAAGCCTAATGTAAACAACAGATCGTTGCAGTGTCCCATCCCAAAGCCTCCTCACATGGAGCTTGCACCTGTCTGGTTTGAGGCTCCACATCCTGCCCCTGCGATGGCACCCATGGAAACACAGGCAACCAATAACTTGACCCAAGCTTGCTCAAACGGCTTCTCCTGGCTTCCAGCTGCTTTCTTTCGCCGTTCGCTTACCTCATCGAAAACTAAACTTTCAATTCGCATTCAAGCGTAGCTTTCCAGCAAAGCGCACAAGGGAAACCAAGCCACAAATGCACGGCACATGTTCACACTCTCGGCAAAACCAGCCCCACCTTCACGTAGGCAGCTTGGAAGGCATCATACCTGTACAGTAGAGTCAGTGGAGACTTGCCCAGGGCAAGCTGTTCATGAATTGTGCGGCTCACTTGGCCGTTGCCCATCGTTGCAAGGGCTTCCGGAACCAGCCCACGAAGAAGACGGCCAAAGCAATCTGAATCAGGCTCCGTGGAAATTCTTTTACGTGCCACAAACATTCTGGAGGGCTTGCGCCTGGATAATCAGGATGTTGAACTCTACCTGAAACCATGTCATCATGTGTGACTATTGATGTGATCAGTCTTCACAGCTGGAACATGCATCAGAAGCCTGGCGCATGATGCGATTTCACCATGACACACCGAAGGCCCAACAGAAGGGCAAGTTGCAGGTTGCGACCCTTGCGACTCTTGTCAGTTCACTGGGGTTTGCCTGACTACGCCTGTTTGCAGTGTCGCCGCCTGAGTTTAAACCTTTGAAGCTTTCCTTGCTAGTTCTGCTAGTTTCAGTCCGATGCATCAGCTGGCAAGAGGATCAGCAGGCGTCCGCTTTCGTCGGCAGCGCGCATGTCACTGCGGGAATGACACAGTAGCGCTCTCAAGAATCAGACCCAAGCCTCATCAGACCCAAGCCTCGCTCCTTTTTCCAGCATGTCCGAGTGGCCATTAAAACGATGGGAAAATCATCCAGTCATCCAGTGGCTAATCAGAGCCGCTGTGGACAGGCCGTGCTTGGCTGCACTAGTCTTCGTCATCCTCGTCTATGTCATATCGGATCTTCTTGAACTCCTTGACGAACTTCTTTGCAGCCTATCGGCTTACAATACGAGGGAAGCTCCAATCAAGAAGTGGGATCAGTCACCTGCGTCCGGGCCTTGGACTTGCTGGCTGGCCCTCTCCAGATGATGTCCGTGTCGCAGTTTTCCTGCCATGGGACAGGAAAGACCTGTTTTCATCATAGCACTTGCGTGGCACGAGCCACAGGTCAAGTGCCATGTTGCCGAACAAACAGCAGCAGCAGCAGTACAGCGGCAACAAGGAACCAACGCTAAGTGAGCAACGTTTATGGATTCAAACACTCTAAACATCCAACTGAGCACTGGTAGATCTTTCAACGCGAATGCCCGGCCAAGATGTTCTTCGTGATGCCATTCTCTTCGGTCATCCTCAGAAATTGAAATTTCGCAGTAGTTTAAGCATAGCTACTCACTACTAAGAAGCTTGGCATGAGGCGGACAAGGCGCATGAAGCCCATTGAGTTGCCACCGAAACCACCCTCGATATAATTGAACGAAAGCTTTGGCACCTTGCATGTTAGAGTGTGGCTGATCAGAATACCATCATCCACACTTCGTTCATTGAAGCAGGCTTCCAGTGAGTCGCAGTCACGGAACATCAGGCCGTACTGCATCATAAATGCCATCTGCTGCCGCATGCGATCGTTCAAGGCATTCTCATTTTTTAGCACCTTCCTCTCAACTTGCTTCAGCCCCCAACTGCCTGTGCCGACAACATCCATGGCGGCTGTGATGCTGCCGTCGCCACTGTCAAACGCAGGGCATGGTGGAAATGTCCGCTTCTTCTTCTTGGGAGGAGGCTTGCGGACAGACCGTGGATGCGGGGGGGTGTTAACAGCTTTGGGTGACGTTTTCGATGTCAAGCTCTTTGGCAATGGTCTGGGACAGGCAGGGTCCTGAACAATTACCTGGCAAGCGCGATAAGGCGTGGATGCCACCGCATAGAGATCTCCATCAGGCAAGTCAGAAAAAATCAGCACTTCCGTTTCGGAGCCCGGTAGACAAACGAAGAGCTCCTTCCCCCCCGCGAGGCGCAGACGAATCTCCACATTGGTGGGTTTCCTAGCCTTGTCCTCCTCGACATCAATCTCCTCCACTTCGTGGCCGTCATGTCTGGCTGTAAAGGTGCTTTGGTCCCGAGAAAAGCACAGGGCCCAGCTCTCACCTACCAGGGACATCCTATTCATGGAGCAGACCGTGTGGGGATGCCAGAGCACGGATGATCACCTGTGGAGACTTGTGTTCCCGAACACCGCTACTACCTCTAGGAAGCCTAGAGCTTAGTGAGGCACCTTCCTCAGTTTCATCTCCGAAGACGTAATGATAACCTGCCATGCTGAGAGGTGCATCCTTAGTGGCAACTCCGACAGCTTGATGCGAGCCCAGCACCGAAAAGCGCACGGTCCACACCATGTCTTTCGGCAAGGGCTTCTCACTCCTCACACCACACGTCTCCCGTGCACCGCCCTTGACGAAAACCAAGCCATCATGGCAGTCACCATGGCCTCCATGCTCACCCCATCGAATGGGTTCGCTGGATCCCGCAGAAGCTTGGGGGGCTGCCTTTGCTGCTTGCTCCTCAGGCTGAGCTTCAGCACCGTCGGACTCGTTCTCTGCAGGATCCACGTAGCCTTTCTTGATCTTGCTTTTGACTTGTTTCTCCATGTACTTGACGGCAGCATCGTGGGTCTTGTGCGTCTTCTTGGAAACCCTGCCCGCCGTGTCAATCCTGCCATATTTCACAACCGTCTCGCACCCATGGACATCTATTTGCCAGAACTTGTGGTGATTGTCGGTGGTGCAAGTCAAGTAAACCATGGCCAAAGCTACAGATTCTGCCGAAGGATGCCAAACCTTTCAATCTGATTTACCAACATTTGGTGAGAACCTTCACAAGTCTGCAATGTGAAGACTGTCAAGATTCAAGATTCACTTCTTCACTTGAGCTTGTTGCGTGATGGAAACACATGTTTCAAGAAAGCGCAGCCATCATTGAGCCTCTCCTTTCACCCGTGCTCCGGCACTAGTTACGATATTCGGCAGAGTGCCCGTGACATCACAAAGGCAAATGCCCTTATATCAAGAATTGTACTACGACATCCGAACTGGAATCTGCGGTCCGTTCTTGCATGAGCACTGGCTGAAACTCTCAGCGGCAACGCAAGCATGCCAGATGCCACGGAACTGGCTACTACGGCAGCTGAAGAATCGGTCGAAGTTTTGCTCACTTTGCGCTGCTGGTTACACAGGAGCCGCAGTTCTCTACCATCCGGTTGCGCAATCACTCAGGGCATTGTGGGCAGCACATTCCGTTGTCGAAGGTGGGCATGATCTGCATTCCAAGCTCTAAGAGGAGCTTCACCATGAGTCATGCTTGCTGTCAGGCTTCCCACATTTCGCAGCCCCTCTTTCGCCTCCTTCTTGGTGCACATCGTTGGAAAGCACCAAACCTGCAAAGTGTTGCAAAGCCAGGCACGAAGCCGATGGAATGGTCGGAGACAAGCTAAATGCACGGTGCCACAAGCAGAAGGCCCCAGAGTTGCTTTGCAGTTGCATCGACCCCCAAGGCCCCACGTGGATAGGGGCAAGAGTGTGCTGCTGAACTGAACTCTCCAAACGTTGCGCACCTCGGGGCAGTGGGTGCTCTTCGTGCCGCCTGCTTTGCCAGTTGCGCCAGTCACCTTGTCCAGAGTCAGACAGCCGCCCCTAGTGGTGTGGTGGTGATTGAGATTCTTCCAGCCTCGGGCTCGATCTTGATGTCCGGATTGATGCAGTAAGGACCTCAAGCTCACTGCGTGTTCATGCTTGTTCTCTTGCACAGGCAGAAGCAACGTTGAGTTTTCGACAGCAGTGTCCATCAACCTGGCAAATCTGACACGATCTTCGAAGGAAACAGGATGAAATAGGATGGCTCTCGGCTGTTTCATACTGCTGGCACCTTGGTTTTCTGAAATCCCGGTGGGCACGTGAGGGGATCCGCACACTTGATCTTCTCCTTGGCGCAGGTAGAATGTCCAGGCAAGAGTGCGACCAAACGGCTCAGGTAACAGTGCTCATGCTCCCTGAATCTTCCCGCCAAGGCGCGCAAGCGGGTCCTGATCCAGCAGTTCCAACCTCGTGTTGGAGCATGTGAATCTGTGCGCTACTTTTGTGATGCATGGTGTCGCTCGTTTGGCTCTGCAGGAGCCTCGATGAGAATTGGAGTCTTCCCGTCGTTGTCCACGCCAGAAAACTGGCAGTTCACCACATGCGTAGGCGAAGCATCCAAATCTGTGGATCTGCGTCTGAAAGGACTACAAGTACTGCAGATGTGCACCTGCACCTGTTGAGGAGCTCTTCGCTTGAGGCGTGCGGCATCTCCCACAAAGACCTAACCAAAGCACTGATGATGTGCTCTTGTCCGCTCGCTTCAACACCGCGATGCACAACTGTGAGCCCCGAAGCGCGCGCCGCAGCAGCCACCAGCGCGACTCGAAGCATCAGAGGAGTGCAAGGCCTGATCGACACTCAACGCCGCCCACAAGCCAAGAACACGCTGCGAACATGGCATTCGGTACTGTGAGGCTGCAGCATGACTGCACAGCTGCAACCGACTTCGTTGTGGGACAGGTCTGGAGCTGTTGAGCCCACTGTCGCAGTGAGAATGTAGCCATGGCTTATGCTTGTTTGTGCCGTCAGCAACCGACTATGCTACGCATTGCTCTGCTGTGGCGCTCAGGCACTTGTGATTTTATCCTCGCCGCCACCAGCCCAAGGTTAAGGCCAGCGCTACAGGGAGAACCTTCACATACAGCATGATTCGCTGTGAAAGTGACGAGCGGGTGACCAGTCCCATTGTCGGAATGTAAATTCCTGCCTCCTGGGTGTTGAGATGCTGCATGAAGCGCATGTACTCCGTATGAATGTCTGCGGTCATGGGCCATCCGCTGTACCGGTCTGCCAGCGCGAGCAAGGATCTTCGACCGAAGCGGCGTGACTGGCATAGGTCCGTGATGTATGCAAGGGGCAGCATTGCAAATATTCCGGAGCAGCCCATAGTAAACGCCAAGAGCACGTAGCCTGTGGCAGCCCAGGGATCCAGCTGACAGGCGCGGGCAACCCACAACAGTAACAAGCTGGAGCCAGCCACGACGTTCTGAAACACAAGCACCGTTGTGGAGATTGCCAGGGACATTGACTTTAAGTCGCGGAGCAGAGCCTGGTGTCTCCGAAGAAGATACAGCCAGTGTCCTGGCTTCACATTGGCAAAGTCCCGGCCCTCAACCTTGACCATCCCAATCGAGTCCAACTCATGGTAGAAGCTCTCGACCTGGCTCATTGACAGAGCGGCCATCAAGCGAATGAAGGTCACCAGCTGAAGCAAGACCCAGGCGGGAAGGAAGGCCGGACTCCAGCCCAGGATAAAAGCGCAGGGATATGGAAGCCGTGACAGCCGACTGAGAAGCGCATAGATTACCACCACCGAACCGAGTAGCCCCATCGAGATTCTGTAGCTGTCGCGCAGAACACTGACAAAGTGGGCATGAGACCGGGCATCCTCCCAGGTTTCCTCAATGATCTTCGCTATGGCTTCAGAGCGAACAGCTTGACAGGCAAGCACAAGCATCACCAAGCATAGCAAGTTCAATGCTGCCAAGACCTTAGGATGAGATTCTGAAAATCAAGTAGCGTGCGTGGAGGTGGAACCTGCAAGTGTTTGTTGGCAGCCAGCAAAGCATGACTCAGCTTCCGGCGGTCACGGCCACCTTGATTGAATGAGCCACGCATCATTGCTACGACTACCAAGCAACTTTTGCTCTACCTGAGCAAGTCTCGTGATGTGAGTAGGAGCTGGAAAAGAGCGACCTGCAACATTGCATTCAAGGTGCTTGGAAGATCATCTGCTGCTTCGGAACTTCGTTTCCGATCCGTGCTGCTTCAGCGACGATGTTTTCTTCAAGCCAGTTGGGTGCCACCTTTGGCAGGGCCATGGCCTCATCAGGCACATTGCAACAGCTGCATTGCTAGGCTCAAGCGGTCAGAACATCATTAGAAGAGCACTTCTGTGCATCCCAGGTGCATACGCGCCAACGCCCAACAAGCCGATTGCGTGAACAACTTGCCTCACGACCCCAAAAAACAAAATCGGCTGCCCATGCTGCGAAGTAGTGTTGCGATACGGGGAGAAGCCAATGACGAGTTGCACGCGGCTGTTAGACGCCCAGGCCAAGCTGGCCGAGCAAGGACCAATAGCCTCTTTGCAGAGCTTGGCGACCTTGCAGGCAAGGCCCATCTGAGTGGGTGGTGATAAGTCAGCCATCTACGACCGTTTGCACCCTTCTGCATGTTTTCCATCTTCCTTTCGGTCAAGGCTTTGCCTACTGTGACTTGGGACCCCAGAACAGCCTTGAACCCCGCGCGGACGCCGAAAAACCGAGGTGCAAGCTCTCAGAACCTTGAATCCTCAGCCTCCCTTGCCCCTGACAAAGGGCTTCTACTTCCCCAAATCTTCCACAAATCTCCACGGCAATACAAAAATTTGAAGGCGGTTCCACGTGCAACCATGCCCAATTTCCGTGCCCAGAGTCAAAGTGCGCATTCCAAATTCAGGTGTGACAGTCACAAAACGGTCAACCCGCTAAGTAGATGAGCAGAACAGGCGCTTCATCTTAAGCTGATGTCAGAAAAGTGGCCATGTTCGGCGCATTCGTACGCCCACTTGTCAGAAACATGTGGAGGCTCCCCAAAAGAATACCTCGGACATCAACGGCGACATGTTGCCAGACTGATGCGCTTGAGCCCGGTCCAAGGTTAAGCCCAGTAACTGGAGTCAGCCATAAGAGGCGGAGCCATCAGCGCTGCTGCAATCTTTGGCAGATGTCTTCAGCGCTGCTTTTCGTGAGCTTAGCCATCACTGACTGGTCTGTGAGAAGCTCTCATGCTGGCCACGGTTCAAGGATGTCCTACAAGCGGCGCTCCTGAATCTGACTGAAGACTCAGATGTGACGAATGAACATGATGTGACAGATAGGCCTACTGGAGCCGGTGAGGAGTGCGTGCTCGAAGCATGCCTCTGGCGTTTCCAACTCACCTTCCACAATCCCTATCTCTTCGGATGGCCCAATCACTCAGAACCACCTTCGCTACGAAGCTTCTTTGGATTGCCAGCACATTGACAAGTCTTCACCGAGCCGTTTATCTTTTTCAGCTCTGGCTTGCCAAACAGCAAGACGTGTCGCCGTTCGACCAGTCTGGAAAACTTGCAGGGACAATTAGTTTGCAGACGATCTGCGCCAGCGTGTGAATATGAACAATGCTACCTTGCTGACCGAACCCAGCCGCCCATATGGAAGGGCACTCATCGTGCAGATTGCAGTTGCGACTTGCGAGGCTCTCCATTCTGCCAGGTGAGAGATGTGGTGCGCTTCTGACTCTGCGCCTTTCCGATTCGAAATACGCAACTGCGGGAGGAGCGGTTATTGCATCCAGCACGAGTCACTCGCTCTTTCACACGGTGGCTGGGGCAGGGTAGCTTCCTGACTACTGTACAAGGACGAAGGAGTCAAAGACAGCCTCCTCGTCGAAAGGCGCTAAGTCCGCATGCCTTCTTAAAACGCTTTACATCACAACGCACTTTGCTTTGTCGTAGTACTTCTGGTGGTAATCCTGGCATAAATGATACATTGAATGCATCCAAAACCGCAACTGAAAATACTATGCTGTGCTTCTTACTTCAAACCACAAAAGCAAATGAGCTCCGGTTCTTCCGGTCCTCGGCATCGTACCAGGGCTTGGCCTATCGGGAAGCCCCCCGATTGCCCAAAAGCTGTACGTGTCTCATGGGGACCTTGATAAGACGCTAACACAACAGGACCAAATCTAGAACCTCCAGCTACCAGCATTTCACGATGTTTCGTGCATTTCACCATGGGCACCTGGGTAAGATTGTTAACAAAGGCATCTTAGATGTCCGGGCAGCGGGGCGGAAGTGGCTCTGGATTGACTCTGGATAGCTCGTGTGTTTGGATCACGATTGCGTCGAACAGCCTCGTCCACATCGACAACAGGTCCAGCCCCAATCTCCTGCGCAGGATCATCAAGAAGTTGTCAAGAAGACTGACAGTCGAACATGGATTGGCTGACAGGCGGCTGCATCTGCAATGCACTCATTGTCATTCATGGTATGCATTCGTGGACCATGTACATGAAGCTTCCTCCATTCTGCGCTCTGCTTCCTTCCTTTGTTCCTCGTTGTGGTACCAGATCGCAGACTTGTACCTCAACATGGCTTCACCGCTGCACCTTGTGATCGTGAGGTTCCTAGTCCACAAATTCCGACATGCCTCGAACCATGCACTCAAGCAAGCCCGCCGACAAATTCAGTGCAGGTCACTGAGCTTTGGAACGCATAGGCTGGTGGCCTGCAAGGCTATCCAAAGACTTTGCCGAACAACATCGCAAGAGACCAAGATCATGCCGTCAAGGCTGCCCTCAACTGTAAAATGGCCTTTCAGGAAGGCATCCAGGAGCGCATCGTAGCTCACCTGTGGGCAGAAACACAAACGTTGTCCTGCTTCACATGACGCTGCGCATGCTGCCTTCTCTGGATCATACTCGATCTGGATTGCCTCGAGTGAGTTGTCAAGCGAGATCCAACGGTATGCCGTGAGGCCGACATGAGACCGTCGTGAGTCGGCGGGCCTCTGTGTGTCCGTCTCCAGCACAAACAGATTCATAAGAAGGATTCGCATTTCTCCCACCAGTGTAGCCAACAGTCCTGAGCAGCAGCACTGAAAATTCATGAAAAGACCAGGCGCAGCGGAGGAACGACTATGCGACCTGATCTTTACATTACTGCAAAGCCCCCCCTTGAACCTCCCGAGCTGGCTTTTCTGAGGTGCTGCGAAGCTTCGTTTTCAGCACACCAGGAACTTGGTCAAATTGGGCCTGCACCATTTTGTAAGCGATCGGCGGCCACAGTCAAGTTGTCAGAGCGTTGCTCTGCAATCTCAAAGAGACTCAGCGGATGCAGGATCTGTAGGCCTGTGGGCCCCAGAATCAGCCCATGGCGAAAGTTGCCACCTTCACGCAGTCAAGAAGCAAAGCCAAGTGAAGCTTCTTGCAGTTTGTGGTCACCCAGTTCTTGGGGATTTGCAGCCAGAGAGGAAAAAGGTACATGGGACACAAAAAAGCCCCTGCTGTGGCTGCCATGCTGCAGGGCTGTGTTGCGAACATCCATGAACATCCCAGATGTCACAAGCAAGGTTCACTTCACACGGTGTCTCCTAAACCGCCGTTCAAGTTGCGTGTTGCAGGAACACTCCTTACTCCTCCGCAGCTGCCCTTTAAAGTTCCTGCGACCTTTCGGGTGACATTATTAGTGCCGCGGCGTGCACCTTTGCTTTGCACTTCATAAGTTTCCACTGGCCCCAGGGCAGCGCCCAGTGAAGGGCGCATGGCTACGCTTGCTCTGCTCTGTGCTTGCTGAGGGTGCCCGCAACCCGTTGAGTTTCTCGTAATTTGAGGGGTCATACTGTCTCAGGACAATGCTTTGAGAGCTTGGCTTACGTACATTGACAACTTCCAAATTTCGGCACAGTGTAAAGAAATAATAAGACATCAAAGGCACCCACCTCAGCCTGAAGACCTCACCTCCCCAACCCCCTCAGACAAGAAATCCAGCTACTGCAAGCCCTCCTGCAACCCGAAGTGCTGAGTGCTACAAATTTGATGAACGATGACTGGTGCAACTTTGCCTGTGTCTGTTTGGTCGCGCTCGCTGTATTAACCTTGGCATGGGACGGTTGAGTAGTATGTCTCAAGAACACTGGCACGCATGAGCAGCAGACTCCGCCGAGAGGCGCCTGGGCATGTTCAAGGCAATTCCGTGTCTAACCCTAACCCCTAAACCCCTGAACCCCTAAACCCCTAAACCCCTAAACCCCTAAGCCCCTAAACCCCTAAGCCCCTAAACCCCTAAGCCCCTAAACCCCTAAGCCCCTAAACCCCCAAGCCCCTAAACCCTGGCGGGTCCACAACAGACCCGCGCAAAACTGTGGCCCCACCAGCAAACCTGAGATGCAGGACTTAGGTCACCGCCTTTAGTGTTGAGAAATGACGCCTTTCTGCTCCCCAGTGCGCCTAAAAGCAAGAACTTCCAGCCATTTCTGCCCAGAAGAAGGTTTAACCTTTCCGGAACGGATTAGACGATGTAAACCATGGACGTCATCGTGCTTGGGCCATGGATGCTCTCTTCTCATCAGAGCAGAATAGACCATGGACGTCATCATGCTTGGACTCTGGATGCTCTCTTCCCAGAACGGATTAGACTATGGACGTCATCATGGTTGGGCCATGGATGCTCTCTTCTAACTATGGTGAAGCAAACGTGTTATTTTGACCCAGGGCTGGGCAGAAGCGGATGCAAGCAAGACAGGGCTTAGTTTAGGACACGTCAAAAGTGCGAAGTAGTGCAAAAAAACCCACAAATGCCAGTGCAGTCTACGGATGCCCAAAAAATTGTTGGATAATTTTGGATGAAAATTGCGGGGATGAGGTGATGGGCGAAACCCAGGAAACATCGGTATTTGCAGGGGATTCTGAGGGCAACAGAGCTAAACTGCCGAAAACGCGTGGGTCTGTTATGGCCCCGCCTAGCCCTAAACCCCTAAGCCCCTAAGCCCCTAAGCCCTAAACCCTATACATCAAGGAATCGAGTTTCGTCGGCACCTTCTCTGACTCGGCTCTGCGACCCGATGCCAGGCCTCTTGAGGCAGCGGAGCAGAGCACTCAGAAGAGCTGCCACGCACAAGAGACGGGGGTTTACGAACATTTTTCAGTATAGATCCCCAAATAGTAGGATTCCCTGATAATAAGGGCCCCAATAAGGTACCCCTAATATCGTAAACCCCCCATATAAAGCATGTAGAATGGACACATCAAGGGTTCGAGGATGCCACCAGGCTTCTGAGGGCATGGCTTCGAGGCATTGTCTGTGCAGGCACGAAGGATGTAGCACCCGGCCACTGAATCGACCTGACAGTACTGTAGGATTCCGCAGCCGAGATCTTAACAACAAGCCTACGCCAAATGGACGCCCTTGCCTGGAGGCGACGGTGCCTGCGAGTGCTGCCGCGAGCGCAGGTCGGCGCCAGGATTTCGGCTTGCCTCTTTGCCTTATCGGCACGGTGACACTTCGTGACACTTCACAGGGGTGGTGTCCGCATGTGACTGAGGTTGCTGCATGGCACTGGCTTCACGAAGCGTGTGAAAAGCTGCAAATGCTGCAGTAGCAAAAAAGACTGAAAAGAGACAACGGGCTCGACCACATCAGGCGGAGAACATGCAGGAGATTTGGGGATGATGCGGCACACTTTTTCATTCGGCGGCACACTGAAGCTGCGGGTCAAGGCGGACTCAGTGTTCGTACTGTACCAGCTTCACCTGTTGCTTCGTGGGCTTGGACATAGTTCCGCTACAAGCCATGTAGCCAGAAGCCGTTTCTGCCTTTGCTTTGAGGATGGTAAGCTGCAGGGACAGAGCCGGGAGGTGCTCTTGTGCTTCCCCTGACACTCAAATGGCACAAAGCGACCAAGGTGCCGAGCTCCGAGACCATGAAATCCCTTAACCACCCCGATGCTCCTCGCAAGATCCAGGCGAGATGAAGGTCAGAAGGCACTGCCTGAGGAGAGGATAGGAGAGGCGAACAGAAAATCTTCCGCAAAGCCGACTGGTCTTTTGGCACTTCAAGGCCCGGGGCCCTGTTGTGGATTGGACATGGTCTGGCACATACACCGGAAGTTCTTTGCCGACCTCGTGCCATCGCTGTCTTGAATCTGAGCCTCTTCTGACTGATCCCCTGGGCACTTTTCCTGCCTGGTGTGCGCAACCTGCCTGGCATGGCATCTGATGTCAACATTTGAAGTAGCTTCTTACAAGAACTGCGAAGCGCCTCGCAGGGAAAGTGCTTCTTGAGGACGTTGCAGTCGTTCAAGAAGTATATCCTGCCACATCCAGTCTGCTGCTTCAAGCATTGACCTGAAGCAGCCTGAAGCATTCGGAAGCTGAGCTTCGAGCTGCTTCGAGTCGCACTTGCTATTCCTCAATGATTCGTGGTATTGGTTACTATTGGTGATTGGGCTGAAGGCTTGGCATGCTGGGACTGAAATGACCAAATCTCACACTGAGAAAACATGGGCCAATGTGACTGTCCAGGAACAGAGTGTGCAAGCCATCTGGCAAAAGCTGTCCTTGACTGGCAAACTTCCACGCAGGACCTCGGGCGTCGCCACCAATTCTCGGCAGTTTGGCAGTTGGGCTTCTTGAGATGTCCACCTACCCTGGCTGCCAGGAACAACCTCATAGTCCTCGCTGAACCTGCACATGTTGGTCCACGTCTGGGGCATCGTACATCAATGTACATGTGTTGCGAATAGCTTCGATGGCAGGCGTTGCCTGAGCTGCTCCTCCGGACGCAGGAACCCCAACTTACTCCTCGCGGCACATGTAGATCGTGCATTGTACGAACATGATGTGTAAGATGTCGCTAAGCACTTGGAACCAGATTCCTGGCGGCGCGTATGTATTCACCAGGCGGCGGTGGCTTCAATGCTACTCAGGCCTGTAAATTTATGATGTTGGGCGCGCTTCAGTGGCGGGGGGTTGTTTAAAGTCAACCTTGCCGGGCTAATGTTGCTCTGGCTTTAATAAATAGGACCCACCCCCCACCAAATCTGGGACCCTCTATAAAGAAATGCAACCGGGAGCCCCGCAAACAAATCTAAAGCCTCAGACTCTGCTTGGACTCAATTGTGCGACTTCAGAGCATTCGGCCTGCAGCACGGTTTGCGACTCCCCTCAGCCCTCGACTCTTTAAGATTCCTTGAGGGCCTCAAACCTCAAGGGCCTGAAAACCTGAAGCTTTCCGGGCCCCTTGCCGGATTGATGGAGACAGTTTATATATATATATATGGTTTTTTAGTAGGGAATTCTCGATTTCGTGTCAGTTTTGATTTCGGGTTTTCCGTGTCTTGGAAAGAAGGCTCGCCTTTGAGATTCGGAGTGGCTTTAGTAAAGCTAGGGTCAAACTTCACACGTATTCAAGAATCATTTTGCGAACTATATCATCAAATTTTCTTAGTTTTTCTTCAAGGGTTTGTGTTAAGGTTTGTCGTTAGGGCTGAGGGTTAAGGGTGTAGGGTCTTTCTGACTCCTGAGGCGGCCCAAAGCCCGGAAAATGCAGGCAGCTAAGCTTGGCCAGTTCCATCTAAATTTCAAGCCTTGTTGAGTTTCATTACGAAACCAGGCCCCAAGCAAATTTCGTGCCCACGGTCCGACTGTCTCTTTGTTTGGGTCACCCTCTATATTATGGTCCAGGATCCAGCCTAACCTGGTACAGTGGGCATTGTTCCGGGACACGCTTTAATGCCCTGGCCCGGGCCCGGGGCTTTGGATTTCGATGCCCTGGCCTCTTGGCTTAAAAGGCCGGGCCTTCGAATCTGACAGGCAGGCCTCCTTCCAACACCCCGAAAGGCCGTAATCCCGACTGAGTAAAACCAAAAACCACATGAAAAATTGAAATGATCCATCCGGCACAGGGGTGGTCCGGGAGGCAGCCCGATCTTCCTATGATGGGCACTGTTTCCCGACCCGGTTTCATGTCCTGGCCCCAGGGATCTGGATTTCGATGTCCTTCCTGGCTTGAGGGGGAGGGGGGGGGGGGGGGGGGGGGGCGGAACCGTATTTCTTCCAAGGTGGGGGGGGGGGGGGGGATCCCTCAGCCTTCAGCCCCTCTTCTTTTCTAATCCATTTTACATGTCAATAAACTCCTCCCTATGAAATCACATAAAACCCGTGGACGGTTTCAAGAGTGCAAAAACCAGTTTCGACTGTTCGGGGGGGGGGGGGGGGGAACACACTCATGCAGGTGCAACACTACGAGGCACCTGCAAGACATTGGATTCCCTTCTTTACTAGTAGGCAACTCAAAGCCAAGCGTTGGCTCGTCCCTTCGCTACAAGCAGCTCAAAGCCAAGCGTTGGCTCCTCTTGTCCACCAGTAACAAGGGAATGCGCCTGAGTTCCAGACTTTGCCCACCATGATGAATGCCATGCGGGGGTTTACGAAAATAGGGTTACCTTATTGGAGTCCTTATTATAAGGAGATCCCACTATTTGGGGGTCTTGCTTAGGGGTCCCCTATTTTCGTAAGCCCCCAGGTTGCGTCTGAGGGAGATGAAACGAGTGCCAAGCTGGCTCACAATGCGCCCAACCTCCGAGCCGATCGAACCAACACAAGGGCTGCTGCTGTCTCTGGCTTTCTTTCCTCTCGCAATGTGCGAAGGATCTGCATCTTGCTGGGGGCCCAACCATGATGCCATAATGCTCAGATCGCACATCTGCTGGTATCGAGCCCTTTGTGTTCCTGTAACACCGAAGGCAGGTTCAAGCCATGTCAAGCCACGCCTTCACTCTTGTTACGCCTTTGCTCTTTTTACACCGAACTGAAGCTGCGCCGGCAACTGACGGTCCTGGGAGACAGGCCAGCCGGCTCTGCCAGTTGAGGGAACTCTTCGCGCCTAAGGCATATCATATTCTCCACTGAGGTGCCGCGCTACCGTACTCTATACCTCTTTGCATTATAGACAACCAATCACTCCGTTCCGACCCTGAGAGCTGTGCACGTATGGCACCACGTGGAGAACCCTCGGCCTGAGAACTCTGAGTCATTCTAGTCTTGGGGGGGGGGGCAGCGAGATTCGTTCTTCGTGTGTAAGGAGTGCGCAGCTTCTTCGTCGGTTTCGCCGAGGTTTGTGCCTTGAGCTCCTCCACCACCCAAGAATCAACTTCACGTCACATCCTTCTGCATCCTTCTATGGCCGAAGAGAGCACTTGCTGGAGGATGTCCTTCAAATCCAATCTGGGTGCGTTGGCAATTGCTTTCCGGTGCCAGGCATTGTATTCCTGCAATGCATGTGTCATGGCACCGACCTAATCTCCAGTGCATGTTTTCGATCCATGCTAGTCCTCCTCCAGAAGGTAGGACACATTGCCTGCCAGAAATGTGGTCCAGTCGCCGCTGGTGACGGTTCAATGCACAACTTCTTTGAACACATCTCCGAGTTCCAAACCAAAATGCGCGCAGGGCTCTGTGACCTTGAATGCTTGCAATCACATGGAAAAAACTAGAATAGTAGTGCTATCTCCCCACGCGCAGCACCATTGAATTTCGCTTGGCAGTTATGCTATTATGCTGTCCAAGCCCTAGCAAGGCCCGATGGGCCACAAGACCTCCTGAGCAATCGCCAAAGAATGACCATGAACAAAGAATGACTATGAACACTGATGAAACCTCATGAACTAAAGTAGTTCATCTACATATTCGCATGGACTTTAAAGACGAAGTCCTACTCAAAGCAACACCCCAGCGGGCGGTGTGGTTTGATTGCTTTTCTTTTTGTCCAAACAAGACCCCTCATCCACAGGCAGGACCCCTAGCTGGCCCTGGCTTCTCTAATCAGTCGGCATCCGTTGCGCTCAAGAGGTAAGCTAGACAATTACTGAGAACGTAACCTAAGAATGCATATCTGCTAGTGAGCCCTTTTGGTCCTTGGCTTAGCGCAGCATTCCCTTCGGGAATCTGGCCATCTCGGATATCTTTGCGTCTCGGCCCAGCCTTGGATCGGATCCTCCTAAAGCGGCCATCAGCGTGGAGTTTCTGACAACTTTGAACTCCAGGCTAATTAGGCTTCTGGCATCGGTTCTCGTGCCATTACCAAAGCCTGAACAGCAGACACGCAAGCACACCAAGCGTCAGTCCAACAAGTGCGCTGTGTCATCTTCCCGCCCATCCCATTCTTCAGTATTCTTGTCAACATTCTTGTCAGCATTTGTGCCCCAAAGCTTGTCATCCAGGAAGGTGGGGTCACCGCCATGAAACAGGACGTCTTCTTCGTCATCCTCTTCGTCGTCGTCTTCTTCGACGACCGGCGAATAACCCTTTGTTTGACTCGCTTTCTGCTTCTCGGCAGGTCTCAGACTGCTTGACCACTTGTCGTCGTTCAGGAAGCTTGGATCACCTCCCGAGACCAACACCTCATCAGACTCATCGATGTCCACATCCTCACCTGCTGAAATCGCCATCAGCACCGATGGATCCACTTCTGGGGCTTGATTCAATGCATCTAAGTCTGCACGGCTGCGGATACCACCTCCGAAGGCCTTGTCCACTATCTCCCGCGCTCGCACCTTTTGCTCAGGAGCGCTCGGCAACGACGATGAATCATCTTCTGCTGTCGACAGCTCATGCTGATGCGATGGTGAGCTGCACACCGTGTACTGGGTGGTGCTGTGCCTGGTTTCCTCCATTCCAGGTTGCCCCAACCAGGTCTCGCACTCTGCCTGAGATGCCCACTCCAGCGCTGCGATGTACTGTCCACCCTTGCGCAGGAGACTCCCAGACAATGCTCTTGCAGGCACCTGCCAGCTTGCTTCGAATGCCTTGCTCCAAGGCTGGTGGACTTGCAACGTTGTGTGGCTCACGACTTTGGTCAGGCGAGGTTGTGAGAACACCAAGCTCCTTGAGCATAGTCCCAACATCGAAGCACAAACCAACAAACGGAAGCGTCTCCTGCCCGTATCCATGGCAATAGAAGCAGAATGCGAAGACATCCACACACCCTCAGCTAAAATGCCTTCGATTCGGCATCAGAGAGTGCGGGGGGGAGGGAGAGAGAGTGAGCGAGAGAGAGAGAGAGAGAGGTACAGAGAGAAAGGGTGAGAAGTAGAGGAAAAGGAAGACTCCAACCGAGCAGATGATATACCCGACCTGCAAGAAAGCCTTTGTAGCTTGCATGCGGCCATGCCCTTGCACTTCTGGGAACATGGGCATGAAGGTGTGCTTGCTGCTCATGTTTTTTTGGCACAGCCTGCTGCCTCCTTCGAATGCAGAAATCCATAGAAATCCGACTTCTTGGAGTACAGACATAAAAATGCAGCCGCATGCAAATGGTACTTCGTAGCTTTGCAGCGGTGAGTAGGGGGGGCTGAGCTTGTCGCAGCTCTGCTGGCTGGCCCCGACTGCTCCGAATTTCCGATGCTACCCCTGAGCTTCCACTCCTGGGAAGCTAAGCCTGAGTACAACTCTTCCCTAGTAATCCGTAACCCGAATCCAACGTCGAAACGTTTGTACCACGCCTTGGACGCCCACTCCTCGTTTCTGGAGTGGCTGCGCGCCTATGTCCAAGAACTTGCATCGTTTCGTAGACAAACATAGCTGTCTCACTCGACTCCAGCGGTGGTAGCCGTGCTCATGTACTCAACATACTCCTGCGCGGTGCGGCTGACAAGGTGCGAGACTGAAACAACAGTTCGGTGGGGAAAGGCTGCAAAGTCCTGGAGCCGAGCTACGCAGGAGTACTTGCCATCCATGTACCCAATCCAGCCCTCCAGAGCCTACAACTCGGGATTCTCACAGGCCTTCATCCTTCGCTGCTCTTGCCCCTGCCTTCCATTCTTCAGGGCATAGATCCTGAAAGCGCATGCTGTTGATCAGCGACTTGTCGTATGACCTGAGGATACCGTCAGCTAGGTCCCTCACCAAACCAAATTTCAGACCCTGAAATGAAAAGCCTGGTCTGATATGTGGCCTAGAAAACAAAGCCTGGAAGTTTTTGGTGGAGTGTTCTGTGGGAAGGCTCGGAGAGCAATGGCCTATGTGGTATATCATCGTACGTCCGCATATCTATCCTTTGGATCATTGCAAGCTGTTGCGGGTCACGTTGACGGCTTCAGCGCTGGGGGCATTGACTTGGTGCCTGTATCTCTCTCCGGCCTTGATAGAGCCCTCTCGCACTGCAAGTACCAGTGCGAACGGAAAGGAACATCTGCATCAATCTTTCTTGATTGGAGGGATCTGCTCGAATACGCACAACATTCACTGATGACAAGGAGCAACCATGGCTCTACAAGGTCTCAAACCCTGAACTCGCATTCGCCTACGCCTAGACGATGCTGGGATGCTGCCCACTATCTGCCCAACCCAGATGTCAGACTCTGGCCCTCGGTCTTCACAAGTCAAGATCCCCAAAAGTCTCCAAGCAGAGGTGAGCTTTGCAGGCTTTGCAACAGCATCCCGCAGACCTTGATTTGCTCCGCTCCACAGTGCGATCGAGCCGCATCTTCGCTAGGGCAACGGTGGCATCTGCGCCAGCTAGAAAGCTGTAGGATGCACCAGGCTGAAAGTTCGCCGAACTAGAGACATCATAAACACCTCGGTCAATCTCGGCGAGCGCTTGCAAAAACAACCAAGCTTAAGGGCTTCTAGATCCCACAGCGCGTAAGCCGCACCCACACCGAAACATTCAGATACCGTGTCGCCAGCAAAGCCAGGGTGCGACCTCTGACGCAGCAGTAGATCAGTGGCGATTGCTGGCCATCAAAGAGGTTCCTGGGACAATGATGGTGCAGACATTGACAAAAGCAGACGCAGTTTGTTGGAGCTTTTAGCTTGTCCGGCTGACCTTGCATAGCACAGCCAAGTGTCAGCGACTTCAGGCACAACAGTGGCAGCTCAGATTCGTTCAGCACAGAGTTCTGTTGCGCTTGCTTGCGCTGCTGGAAGAGCTCAAGCAGCCTTACAAAACAGTTTCGGAGAGGGCATACCTCTGAAGTCTTTGAGGTGCAGCTGCGAGGCCCGGTGAAGACAAGAGCCGAGAGAACCTTGCGATGAGTGCTGGTTCGGATCGGTCGGAACTCAGCACAAGATGCACTAGAACCCGAATTCTTCCAAGGTGCTGCAAGGAAACCAATGGCGTCAAGGTTTTGCCAGAGGAAGCTGGGAAATTCCCAGATCATGCTGCTGGCTTCCATGGCGGGACAGCTTGTGCGGCTTAGGTTGAAGATTCGGAACCAACTTGTGTATCCGATATCTTGATAGATCTTGTGATGTGTGCAATATTTTCATGCTTCATGCTCAGTTGACTTATACTTCTATGCTTGAAGCTGCCAGGGTCGCGAGCGTGACACAACACATCGACACATCAAGTGACGTCAGGCTGCTTTAAAGCTGCTCTCTACCAGGACCCAAGCAAGCAGTAGTCTCTGAAAATCAGCGTGCCGGCCGCTTGCAGGACAGACGATACGCATCTATATGCGCACGGGCTTGTATCAAGAGTATCCTACTTCTGAAAGATGCCTCGAACAATTTGTACTACCGATTGTATGTAGAGGCCTCTTCAGAATGAAGCAAAAAATTACACGTGACAGTTGCGATGGTTGTTGCAAGTCCCAATGCGCTACCTAGCCTACTCCGGCATCAAGATATGCACGTATGAGTCTGAGAGCGAAGCATCACATGTCGAGGGCACATCAGCAAAGGCCATGGCCCTGCAGTTGCACAAGGCCCTCCAGGCTAGCAATATCGCAGCAAACTCAGCGCCAGGCTCAAAAAGGCGAACTTGCTTTGCCTTAGGTGGCCAATGCTGAGCTGGTGGGCACTCCAACTCCTGGTCCAGCCAGGCAGCCGTCGACACGGAGGAGCCTTTTGCAGCTGCATGGTGGCTTCTGGAAACCTGCACGCGAGACCTAGGAATGAGGAATGCAGCATGGGCCCAGCATGGGCCCAGCGTGGCCAAGCCTGTGGGATGACGCACTCCTTGCCAGCTGCTCGGAAAGCAACCTGGCAAGAAGAGACGGCGAAAAGCTTGCAGCATCCTGCAGTTTTTCCACGAGTCTCGGACCCGCATCCAGTAGTCCCAGCCTGAAGCACAAGATTCTTCCTGTCGCAGCTCCCGTCACTGCATATAAGCGTTCAGGGTGTGTTGGCCCAACAGATCCAACTCTTGCTGCGAGTGAAGAAAGATGATGCATGACTCCTGAAAAGTCACAAGCTCAGTTGCGCAAAGGAATCAAAGTGGCGTGCCCATAGTTGGTGCGACGGGCCACTCCTTGCAGCAACATTCAGGAGCTCAGCAAAGCCCAGCAACGCACATCGAGTCTTGGAGCCTTTCGGACTGCCAGCCAGGCTCTCCGCAACAGCATAAAGCCCAAGCCTTCGCTTCAGCAACTTTGGCGCTTAAAAGGCTGTGATGCAAAGTGCGGGGGCCTGGGAAATAGGAGGTGCGCTGCAGGCTGCAGCTGTCCATCACCGTGCCCTGCGCTCGCTGCTTGTAGCTTCACCCAGTCAAGCAGAACGAACAACAGGCAGTCCTTGAAGCCAAAGTCATTCCAAGCACCAATGCACCAAAGACTTGCGTCCTGCCCAGGGCAGGAGATACCGCCACCCCTGCTGCCAGGAACTTAAAGGCATGCCTGATCCATAAGGCCGGCTGTACCTTAGCGTTCATACCACTTTGCATGCGTGCGCGTACGCATTCCAAGCGCCTGTGCACCTAATGGAGCTTCTTTCCCAGAACCAGCCATGATGCTGCGGAATAGCGCAACGAAGTCCGGGGAGAACAGAAGGTCTTCTTCTACCTTTACATCTAGTGCAACGGCAGATCTGCACTGTGTCTGGTGGCTCTTTGCAAACTGATGCTGCAGGACTGAGTCTTGCACGAAGATAACGTGCTCATGCATTTTCTCCATGAAAGCCCTGCCAGAAAAAGCTTCACTAAGCGCACAGCACAGTCCCGAACGCGCATCAATTGCATGCAAGCCATCTTGGTCACAGACTTCTCAAATACAACCCAGTAGTGATGTGCAATCTTTCCAGTGTTTGTCGTCGTCCACTTCTCCGTCTCCTGAATACAACAAGCTGACACAAATTTGGGCCTTCTTTTCGGGCATGTCACTTCAGACATCTTTGCTCAGTCCTCATTGTACTTTTTTGCAGGATCAAGCACTCGCGGCCCGACCTGTCATGTCCCGTGACGCTTCTGGAGAATGCCCGTGCATTCAGTTCCGGCGGACCTGCCACACCTCAATGCTGATACCTTTGGCCGCTGCCACCTCACATCATGTCACTTCCGACCATGTCCGTTGCTGCTTCTCAACATTCCTAGTACTTGAAGTGGAAGCCTCGTTTTCGCGCATTTCCCATTGGGCTGCTGTCGAGCATCGGGCCCAGTAAGCACATCCGGTGAGAGGGATAGCGAATTCAGAACCGAAGCAGCTCACGAAACGACCCAAAGGAGAGAGCTACCTCCTGCCGTGGCCCCTTGGCTCTCCAGCTAATTGCCGGAGCGGGCTACTAGTTTGGAGGGTTCGTACGACGCAATGGTGAGTTTGACTTCAGACAGAGTCACAGAACATTCCGTGACTCTGCCTGAAGTGCCGGGCCCAGACTCACTGCCAGTGATGCGGCGCCTCTCCCCGAGCTGCACACAGGTGATGCTCCATGAGCTCCCTCTTGCAGTGCAGCCGACGCACGGTCAAGGCAGCTGTGTGAGTCTCCTTTGGTGGAAGTTTGGTGGACCTCTCGCGTTGCGGCGGGACACCGACATGAGGACACTGGCCCGTGCACTCTGCGGGGTCGGTTGGCCGCCCACCGGGCTTGTGGTTCCCAGTTCCCGCCATGCCAGGCTGCATGATGCTACGAGTAGATGCCCCTCTTTGAGCTCTCTGAGCAGGTGGCCTCAACTGCTTTCGGATCTCAACTTCTGCCCGCTTGCTTGAGCCATTTGCAGCAATGAGATGAGAACGATTCGTGTTCCACGGATCAGCCCTGTCTCAACAGTCCTCGAAGCAGCGAAGGCCGATGCCTGCTTGGCGGCCGCTGTCATTGATGCCCAAGCTGCTGGGTCATCGAGCGAAATATACACTGTGAGCAGGGCCACCTGAGGAAGCCATGGTACAGTGGCGTGCACTATGCCACTATGCACCCGTCCTCCTATCAGATTATCAAAAGGCTGACGCTTGCAGATTGCAGGCTCGCCACCTCTGGTATCGCGAATAGCGACTCCAGGCACTTCCTGGCGCGCAGAGACTCTCTCACACACACACACTCTCTCTCTCTCTCTCTCTCTCTCTCTCTCTTTCTCTCTCTTTCTCTCTCTTCTTCTTCTTCTTCTTCTTTTTCTTCTTCTTCTTCTACGGGGCATGAGGGGAGCAGAACCCCCCCCCCCCCGCGCGCGAAGCGCGCCCAGATGGTCTCCAAGGTCTGTGTGACACCAACTCGACTGAGGCCGCGGGTATTCAATGCTCAGAGACTCCCCCGTAAACAGGATTTCCCCCCAGGACCCCTAATATCAGGTTCACTGCCCCGCGTTGCCCCGCTTTACGAGTTGTTCGGGATTGTTTGCTTTGCTTTGCTTTGCTTAGGGGCATAGGGACGGACCCTGCGCCAAGGCGCGCCCCGCTCCCGCGTCTCGTGAGACTTTTGTATCGTCTCCGGCTGCCCTTTGGCAGCCGCCCGGCACCCCCAGTGGTGCCCTAGTGGGTGTCCTTAGTGTTCCTAGTGTGCCAGCCCCCAAGGTTCGGGATTGTCTCTCTCTCTCTCTCTCCACACGCTTAGCCCCCCCCGAAGGGGAAGCTGCCCCGAAGGGCGCGCCAGTCCCAAGCGTCATGCGGTTCGAGGCTGCGGTTTTCGCAGCCGTGCCAGGCTGGGGTTTCTGTCTGAAAATGGGGTGTATCCAGGCCAAGTAAGATAAGGGAGTACCAGGGATTTAATCGGGCAGTCAGTCCCCCCTCTGTGCTCCTGGCCAAAGGTGAATCCCCTATCTTTCATTCTTTGGGGTGTGTGGTTGACCCCCGCAAGGAAATGTCTTTCACCCTCTTTGGGGTGTTGTTGGTTGTCTAATCGCTGCTGGCCCCTTCATGCGTACGCCTTCTCCTGGAGTCCACGTTGTCCCTTTCTTGTAGCCGGCGTCGTTGGCGATGTAGTCCCCATCCCTTCGGCCTTTTTTCCTCCCCCCAATCTTCCTCCTCCGACTGCGACGACGTGAACTCTTCTGTGGGTTCCCGTGAGTGTGTGTGGGTGTGGGGTTGTGGTGGCAGTGGTGAGTGTGTGTGCAGTGGGTGCAGGTGTAATGTGTCGACGTGCGCCTCATCTAGGGCGTTGGACTGGAGCTGGTTGTCTGCTGGCTGTGCTTGGGCTGTGGGAGGTGGTGGTTCCCACGGGATGGTCTCCTGTGTGCTCCCCCCTCCTCCTCCTCCTCCTCTTGTTTGCTCTGTGCTTGCTTCTGCTGTTGCCGCTGCTACAGTTGCTGCTGCCATGGCGCTGTTCCTTCCTCCAGTTGGGGGTGGCTCGGGTGCGTGTTGGGGGGGCACGTGTGTGCAGCCGCCGGGGCGTGAGGTGGTGTCCTGTGTGCCCCCTTCCGCTCCTCCCCCCCCTTGTGTTGGGTTGGGGTCCGTGAATGCCCCTGGTCCTCCCCCTTCCAGTTGTGATTCCAGCAGCACGATGGGTTCGCCCCATTGTGTATTTTGCCAGTCGTCCAGTGCGCTGATGGCTTGTGCTGCCATCGTTGCCTCTTCCTGGACGGCATCAGCTTGGCTAGGAGCTCCCTGGCTGTAGCGACCCACCGTGTTGTTGGGTCTGTGGTCCGACTTGGGTCTGTTGCTATGGCTCTCTGTCCCCCCTTTAGCCAGGCCTATGACATCCACGGGGTGTGTGTCTGTGGTTCCCTCCACTTTGGCGTGTTGTATTGGGGGTTGTGCCGGTTCGCTGCTGGTTGGCTCCATCCATTGTGCTGCCACCACCACTTCATGGGCTGCTATGGCTTGGTGGATGTGGGTGAGGATCTCTCTCATTGATGCTTGCAGGTGGTGTTGCTGTTGTCTGTCTGCGTCTTGCCCCCCCGCGTCGCACGCAGTGTTTAGCTCGTGCAGCAGTTGTTGCGTGAGCTCCAGGCTGACTTGCCCCGCTATCTCCCCTCCCCCCCACACTTGCCAGTCAGACACCTTCTGGACTGCCTCCATTTTTTGCACCCCCCTCATGATGAGCTCCTGGATCGTGGCAAGGTGCTGTGCCGTGTGTTTGGTGGGCACGCCTGGCTCTTGTTCCAGCAGGTGCTGTGCTTGTCTTGCTGCTTCGTCGAGTTCCAGGGCTCCTCGGTGCTGTCCGCCTGCATCACCCCCCTTGTTCTGGCTGCTTGGCTCCCGGCTCTGCTGTGCATTGGGTGGCTGCTGGTTTGGTGGCGGATGCTGGGGCTGTGGTTTGGGCGGGTGTTCCCCGTTCCCCAGGTCGCTCCCTGCTGTTTGAAGTATGGTTCTGCATGCGTGCAGGTGGGCTGCCGTGTCGGTGCCGTTGCTGGGGTTGACGTCAGCGAGCGCCGCGTCAATATGGTAGAGGGCCCGTTCTCTCTCCGCCATGGCTTCCAGGTGGGATTGTCTCTCTCTCTCTCTCTCTCTCCACACGCTAGGCCCCCCAGAGGGGATTGTCTCTCTCTCTCTCTCTCTCTCTCTCTCTCTTCTTCTTAATCTTCATCTTCAGCTTCGTCTTCTTCACGATCTTCTTCTTATCATTCTTGCTCTTCTCATTCTTCTTCTGCCGTGCGCTGAGGATGCTCTCTCGCTCTCCCTCGCACTCTTGGCGGCAGGTGAATAACTTACAAGAATATTTCCTGCTCTCACTAGTGTACATGTGACGAAGACGGCACCTGAAGTCTGCTTCTCGATTGTGCGCAAGAACAACCTGGTCCACATCAGCGGATGTGAGGATTTATCGAGAAGCATGTATGAGTTACGAGGCCAGAGCGATTGCCGAGCCCTTCAGATCTTTGCCGAATGGGTTGGTTCGAACTTCTGCAGGCTGCTCCTGTCAGACATGCTCGCAACTTCATAGCTTCCCCAACTGAAGCATGGGCCGGCAAGCGTTGGCCTCGTCACAAACTGAGTCAGACATGCATGTCCTCAAAAACCTTGGACGTCCGAATCAGGCTCGTGTTGTCGGGGTCCAATCACCGTACGCTACCCTACTTGGAGGTTCATGGTACTTGCAGTCATAAGTACAGTTCTAGTTGGTTCATAAGTGCCCCCTGAACCTCCAAGTAAGATCACCAGACTCAGACCCGCCCGAGTCTCTTGCGAGACTTCCTCGCTTGGAGACGTTTTCGTCTGCGCTGAGGCCCTGGGAGCTGCCGAACGCTGAGGAGTACTGTAGTCCAGTTGTTTCCGAAATTTTGGGGGTACCTTATTGGGGTCCCTTTTTTAAGGGAAACCTAGTTAATTATTCGGGTGTCTATACTGGGGGTGCCTATTTTTGTAAACCCCCACAGAGTTTTTTAAAGGTCGCAAAGGTTCAGCCCCGAGCCTCGCCGTGCACCGACTTGCCTGTGAAGAAAGGCCATTTTGCATCTAAAGGTTCTGGTGCTTCTGGTGGGTTTAGGGTTTAGGGTTTAGGGTTTAGGGTTTAGGGTTTAGGGTTTAGGGTTTAGGGTTTAGGGTTTAGGGTTTAGGGTTTAGGGTTTAAGTTTAGGGTTTAGGGTTTTGGGTTGCTTCTGGTGTATGGAGGTTCTGAGGTTCTGTACAATCTGCCTCTTCGAGGTTGGTGCCACGATTCTCGCAGGTTACTCCGCCACATGAGCTTCCTGTCGTTGGTGGTTCAATATCTCTGCACGCGAGCACGCTCCACCACTCCAAAAACATCTATCCAAGCTTGTTCTCAAATGCGCCAGACTTGCCGATGCTGATGCAAAGGTCTTTGGCATCAGACAGCCTGCAACAGGAACATCGTCACAGAAACTTACACAGCACAAATAAACGCGATAAGTCGTAAACAATGTGAAAGTATGTCGCAAAAACGTGAGAAGCTGAGGAACCCTTTCAGCTGTCCATCGTCAGCAGTTTCTGCAAGGAAGGACTTAGGCACTTCCTCCCAAGTGCAGCCTTGGTGCATGAGTGAGACATATATGGGGCTTTACACAAATCTTGGACCCCTCTTATACTCCCAAATAGTAGGATTCCAGTATAACAAGGACCCCAAATAAAGCACCCACAATTTCGGAAACCCCCACATTCAGGGCAAGCATGAGCAAGTACTTTCCACGTCTCTCTCCTTTGCTGGGCATGTGGCGAAGTCCCGCTTGATGGTTTGTCGTTAGCCTGGAAGATAAACTTGACACAAAAACGCCTAAGCCCCCGCTATGTTGGTTTCATGTAAGGCTCCGGCACGGGGCCCTCCACCCGTTCACCACAGACTGGACCTACCAGGTCTTCTTGCCATAAACCGAGAATGCATCTGGGGCTACTCGTCTAAGATGCAGGCACTTAGATGTCATTTTCTGGAAAAGAATCGGAGGTGGAGGCGGAGGTGCTGGAGGTGGCGTTGCCTTTGGCACTGGAGATGAGCAGGAGGTATCGAAGACATTGCTAAGAGTCCAGCCTGTGTTTTGGCAGGGGGTGCTGGTGGCTTGCGTTGTGGAGATGTAGCTGTAGGTTGCTGCCTCATTGGAAACACAGAGAACAGCTGACACATTTGGCGCATGCCCTTTGCTCATCGTATCTGGCCGCGGGATTATTTGGCTATGCCTCTGCAAGGCAGAAGCAGCAGCACCACACGAGACGAGGGCAAGGCGTTTTGGTTTGGAGTGTTGTGGCGACTGCCTGCAGAAGGCATCCAGTCGTCAGCAGGTCACCCAAGAAAGCAAGAACGGCAACGGCTGTAACATCACATGATGCTGCGATCCTGTCCAGGGGCCAGCCCGCTGCTCTTTCTGAGCTGCACGGGCTTTGAGGACGAAACTTCCTGACATCATGTCGCAGATACAGGTGCTGGCATACATATAGATATACCAGACACATACACTGGTGCTGCAGCAACTGAAAGATCATGCTCTCACGAAGGCCGTGACAAAGCCGTGCTTGGATTCGTATCCTGGCTTCAAGTTGCAGAAGCATCTGTCAGTCGTCAGGCAACGCAGGCAGGCCTGGAGGCACATCATAAAGTTTTGAGAGGTCGAGCTCTGGAATGTCCTCTGCCAAGGACAGATCACAACTTGCTCTGAGCTCGGGTCGGAAACACAAGGTGGGCAATCGCAACTGGCACCTTGTAAGAAGCTTCTTCTGCTTCCCAAAGCCGCTTCAGGTAGCCTCGGGCAAGCAAAAGGCAAGATCATCCCCACGAAGCTGCCACATGAAGATCGTCAGCGCCGCAGCACTGGTAGAAGGGCTCGAACAAACGCTGATGAAGCACACTACCAGGTTGGCCTTGGCATCAGCTGCCAGAGCTACTAGAGGCGACCGATCATGGTCACAAGAAGCAGAACCCCACATATGAGCCATCCTGACTCAATCACAAGCGCGAGATTCGTTGCCGTTGCAAAAGACATACTACTAATCTTACTGTGAGCGACCGCACCAAGCATCACTAGTTTCACCGTGTCATGTGCCCATTTTCGCAGTCATGCATAAGAAAGTAGGAATTGAACCTGCAACACCCAAGACAAAACGCGTCTCTCGATCTCCCATGCCTTCCACCCTCGTCCTACACTTCTGATGTCAGTTCTGCTGGTTCATACGCGAGACGGAGCCGCAGCTAGTCCAAGCTCCAGAGCCTTTGGCTTAGGGACATCACCTGTTAAGAAAAACTGTGAGAGGTTCAGGTGCTTAGAGTTTAGGATGTGGGCGGTTCACAAGAAGGACTGCAGGGTCTCGGCGTCACGCGAGAACCAGGGAGATCAACGCCCAGCGCTGGCAGGTCGAGGATATGTTCGCCTGGGTGCGAACGAAAAAACTCTCATGGCTCTGGTCTGGCTCGGGTACAAACCTCAGAGAAAGCGAATTCAATGAATTGTTCCAGCATTTTTTGGCGAAAGGCTTTAGCAATCCCAGCAGTACTCACCCTTCATTGTGAAGGAGACATGCCTTTGCAAACTCTCAGTGCAAGGCATGAGCAGCTTTAGCTGCACCTCGTTGAGCTTTCCTGACGCACGAGGCATCCATGCTTCTGCCCATGCTTCCTCGAAGAGGTGACCATGGTAAAACGATGTAGTGTGGCCTCCAGCTGCGACGACATTTCCTCAGAATCACAAGGCCCATGTGGACATGCTAAAGGAGCCCAGGGCATGGCATCGTTCCCGTGTGGGCCAACCCCATACGTCCAAACCCAGACACATCAAGGGCACAAGCCAGCGCACAGCTTTGTTGACATGAAGCCCACAGCACCCCATTAATGGCTTACATTTCACGGCTTCAAGGGCCTAGGGCCTAGGGTTACTGTTGACATCTCATGGTCATCCCTCTCTAAATACCGAGTCGGTCTCTTGCTGGTATTTCCGAACAACCCTGAAAGCATGACCGGGGGATCAGTGCTGCCACTGATGGCCAGTGGCGAAGCATTTGGCACTCCGAGGTTGGCACAGGGCACGCAACTTCGGCTGTGCCCAGCCCACATACACGAGAAAACTTCTTAGACTGCAAGTAAGCCCACTGCCAGACAGTCCACATCTTCTCAGTGAAGCCATGGCGTGTCTGTCAAAATGCCCCCGCGCGTTAAGCCTTGTCTGCTGTCACGTGGCTCGACCGCCTGCCAGCGCTAAAGGAGGCTCTTGGTGAGTTGTGATTATGGCGGCGATGGTGGTCGGCAAATGGGGAAACGGATGTTGCTGTCGTGACTCTCGTTTGTGTGTGCTGCAAGCTCTGAGGCAGGATCGGCAGAATCACTTTCGGCTTGCAGATGTGCAGTCAAGGTGTCACTATCTTCTCAAGCCGAGTGGGACTGGACAAACGTGAGTAACAAGTTGCGGACTTTGCGCTGCCAGGCGTTTGCTCCCAACAAGCTTAAAATGAACCCGCACGGACAACATGCATGGGCATTCATGGTGTCTGTTTGTGATACAATGGGACACTATGGCTACTCAAAACTTGTCGCTACCATTGACCTCAAACAAACACCACCACACTCCGAAGTGTGAGCCTTTGACATGTCGGGGCGCTAGCATGGCGCATGGCTGGGGCCGCAAGATGTGCGACATTCCATTCAGGAGCCAAGCATGGAGAGTTGGAGCCTCGGCGCAGATTTTTACTGTATCGAGCCACGATTGGGCTTGCATTCTCTTGCACTGGGGCGTGTCAGCAACCCTGTGCCAGATGTGCCATGCGAGCGGCACTCCCTCGCTTGGATCGACATACTTCACGCGAACCTGCGCCGCGAGTTCTTTGGTGCAGCAAGGCGGTAAGGCAAATGAGAGCTGCGGCATGCTGCGCCGCAATCTGCAAGCTGCACGCAGCTGCATGCCTGAACCTCATCGTCCACTGAAAGCTCCTCCTGTTCACAGTGGTGCAGTGGTGCTACAATCCATGAGACAGAGATCTCTTCACGGTTCACCGAAGTAGTCTTCCGACATGTCCTCCAGATTGCTGACAAAACCATCGCGTATGTCGTTGATGTGAATGAGACCTCCAAACAATGGCGCCAATAGATGACAGACTGTCCATGCTGCCTTTATGTAGTGTTGAAGGAAAAGACAATAATTAAAGCATCTTACGGCATATGTGCAGAACACCGCCAATGTGGGTCCATGCCTTGAGCTGGTTGCCCGCCAGTTGGCGGCTCCACCCGAATAAAAGCACCAAAATTCAGGAGCCGCGTGACGGTGCCTGGCAGTGGTTTCCGACAGAAGCGAACGTGGTGGAATGACGTCGGGGAGGGGACCTTTTAGCCACAGATCCGCCGACAGGTCAGTAAACCCGGACAGATCCACCTTCCTGGAAGGAGTTGCAGCTTCAGGCGTCGCTTTCTACGGCAGGAAAAACCAGTTCTCTGAAGCTCGGACTGCATGGGGCTCTTGCTCCCAATCTTGTCCTTGACCATTGCCTTGCGCCGCACCATGCCGTCGTAACACAAGGGCCACGTCCAAGCCAACTGGGCTTGCTGCCAGGAACAGCTTCTGTTGCCCATCCTGCCAGTGCGAAGACCGGAGGCAAAGAGTACAATATTGATGAAGGTGTGTCAGCGCATGCCTTGTCGGTCATTACAGACTCAACGAACACATTGACCTGGCAGGGGCTAGAAGGCCGGAAGTGGAAGTACCCTCGAGATGCTTGACACACTCTTCGCACCTGATTTGGCAGACGGGCCCTTTTAAACCATCAAGCAAGCAACAATACAAGTAGCATGCAGTTGCTCAGCGCAAGTAGGGCTGATTATCGTGCTGGACTTTGCAGCTGCCTAGGCATCTCGCCTCTATTCACTTGCCGCTTGGAACTCCGCGAAATGGCAGGTTCTGCGCACGGCCGAAAACCATTATCCTCTGGGTCTTGGCCTCCTTTCTGCAATGATTCTGCCTGAGCCGCTATGCACATGCATGCAGTCAGTATGCAGCTGGGGTGTGGACTTTCATTGATCGCGGCCTTGTTTTCGACAGAAAGTCATACCGGCTTCTGTCACAAGCCTGCCGGAGGGGTGGTGGCTCGGCTTACAGCGCTTTTACAAGCAGCTGATGGCGGTTCGCCTGGAAACCAGCGATCGCGAGTGCGGCATCGGAGGCAGAGCCTCGCAATTATAGTGAGACGCTTACAGAGAGATCTGAACAGTAAAGCATTGCAGCGTTCTGGCCACAAGGCAACATTTAAGGACTTGCAGGACATCTTCGACAAGCGCCCCATGGCCCTAAACGGGAGCAGCAAGCACGATGAAGCATGTTTCAGCGGAACAACGCGAAACAATACATTGACACAGATTGACAGAACTAGCCGTCGTGCGCGCCTCAGACCTTCCTCGGCAGAAGTCACGGAAGCGTGCACTCCGCTTCCAGCGCAAGCCCTGACAAAGAGATCTTTTGGTAAGCTACTTTGCGCCAGATTGCGTGGTGAGTTCGTGTTGCACAGGTGCTGGGGACTGTAGCTGGCCAATAATCATGTAACCATAGATCATAATGTATGCATATACGCATGCCTATAATTGGTAAATATTTTCTCAGGCTCGGGTTGGCTGAGTCCTTTGGACTTGTCCAAGGCTGTGATGCTGTGTAGCACACTTTGATTCAGCTTTCGTGCTGCAAGGTCATCGCGTTACCCCTTTTGGCCAGTTGCATCTTGGCAACAAAAACATAGAAAAAGGTGTTGCTTTAAGATTGTGTAAACGGCCCGAACCTCACGCAGAAGATCGCCTGCAAAGCCACGCAGGGAGCCCCCACCGCTGTCACCCAGCCATGGGGTCTGTCCATCCTGGTCATGGCACATGATAAACAACGGCCAGTCGAAATTGCAGTGACTTGTTCACAGGCCCGCAGCTCTACGGCGGACCGCTCAGCACCTCACCCTAATCTCCTGCCAGCGCTGTGCCACTTAGCTGCAACGCGCTGAGCATAATTACCCCTACGGCTCTGGTGTGCCGATACAACCCGTTACACCACGCGCCGGACATGTGCTCACAATGTGCTCGAATTCGTGAACTTTATGAGAGCCCTTTTCACAGCCTGCTGGCCAGAAGTACGGCGCATTTTGAGGGGGGATCAAAGATCGCGAAAACCTTTGTTGAGACAGATGGTTACACATGATTTTGCTTTCGAGTTTGCGAAAACCTTTGTTGAGACAGATGGTTACACATGATTTGCTTTCGAGTTTGTCAACATCCGAGCCCTTGAGATGCCGCTGTGCCTCCACCTTTTGCAGCAGGAACTGCGAGTTTACCCAAATGAGCTCCTCCACTTCCAAGTGCGATGCTGGGGGTTGCGAGGGCTGTGCTGACCCTGTAGGCCCTGTAGCCGTAGCCAAGACAGCCAAGGAAGCAGCAGCCAAAGCTCGGTGGCGCCGCTTTCTGAAGCTTTCGCGGACTGCATCTTGCTGCCCGTGAGACAAGCTGCCCAAGTTGACCATGCGAAGAACAGCCGGCTGTGGACTACGACGACCCTGCGATTGCCAGGGCCAGAAAGAAACCGGAGCTGAGGCTTCGGAGTCCAAACAGGCTTGGAGCTGATCTTGGCTTCCAAGAACCCCAAGGCTCTCCTCAAAAGCCTCTCGTGCCATAGCAGATGTCAGACCCCGGTCGTCTGGCTCCACGAAACCCCAAAGGGGGCCCACTTGCCGGGTCGGCCACCAAGGCCTGCTTTCAACGCCCAGCAGAAACTCGACTTCTCCTCTGTCCTGGACTTGGCACGCCGCCAGTACGCCAGCTGCCAGATTAGCATCCGCTCCCCACCAGTTTGGCACCTGCCGGACTTTGCCAAGCTGCTGACCCTGCAGGTGAGCAACACCGGCACCCACGTCCACTTCAACATCGCCAAATGGCTGCCACTGAACGGTGAGGAGGCCCTCACTCTGGAAAGCAGACAGCTGCGAGCTCGTCTCGGGAGGCATCCACTCCCAGCGGCTCTCTGAACTTGGTTGCCATTGCCATCTTCCCGGATGCACCGACATAAGATAAACTTAGATTGAAAAAAGCTCTGCGGACTCTGCAGCTCACCTCTCCATAGCTCTCCGGGTCTCAACCCTGAGCAGAAGATAGCAGAAGTACAAGACAGCAGTGCCGAGCTGCCTTCATTCCCTCCTCAAGTCCCGCAAGGCGCAGAAGCTCCATCTTCGACTTGTCCGCCCTCAGGTCACCCACAGCAACTGACACCTCAGGAAAATTCTGGGTCACCTCAGAACCGCACGTGTATTCCTCGTCGTCCTCCTCCCAAATTATGTCGTAGGTACCATCACCATTGTCCTTGTCTTCAGTGTTACATACCCCCAAGTGCTGCCGGTTGACTCTGCACATGTGTCAAAAGGGACTGAGAAACATCTGTACGAGGATTGAAGGCCGTGCCTTCTGGACGATTGCGTCGTAGTACTCCTCGTCCTCGTCATAGAATGCCTCAGCAATATCAGTATCTAGTCACTTCTTTTTATGCATACATCTGACCATATACACATACAAAACTCATGTACATACAACTCCGCCGACACCCCAAAGTTGGCGCCGGTGAAGCCTTCGTCATTTCCGCGTGCGAACATGCCCCGCTAATCACACTCTTACAAACCCCCCCCCTGGCCACTGCTCTCGTCACCTGTGTCAAAGAATTTCTCAAGGGCTCCAAACCCCTACCAGCCCCCTTGACCTCTACCGCTGCCAACCCCCAAACCCACCTCCAAAATCTCCCGCATCGCTACCCCGGCCGCCCCCACCGCTCTCCCCTCCCCCTCGGGTTTCCAGCTCCCCTTCAAGATTTGTTCAAGGGCGCTCTACATGGCTCCACAGCACGACACCCACCCCCGCCAACCCCTAGCCCACTTACTAAAGGGCTCCAGCGCAGCTCTGCGATCAAATCGGGCAGCGCCAGCGGCCCCTGGATGCAGTGGCTTAATTAACCCCTGGCAGGGCGCAAGCGCTTCGCGCTAGCAAAAGAACCGGGCGGTAGTGCCGCTGACCTGGCTTCGCGACACCCCCGTTTCTCCACGGGGCCGCGCGCGGGCGTGCATGGAGGGGCATGCAAAACATGCGCTTTTCTTCACAGCCGTCATCGGTCCTCGGGTGCGGTGTTTTTCTGGGGTCCCGGCGGGGATTTGGGGGAGCATCATGTGAGCACCCATGGCGCACAGCTCCCTATGGGGTCCTTGTGGTGTCGTGCCCATGTCTTGGAAAGGGTTGGGAGCGCCCGGCACCGGGGCGCACATCGTGAGCATCAGCGGCCCGGCCAAACCCGGTCGGCTTCAGAAGGCTGTGTGCTGTACATGCGCGTGGCGTTTTTGCAGCGCCGTGGCTACCCGCTGCCTGCCCATGGGCGCAGCCCCCTTCTAAGTCACATGATATCTATATTCGTGGATCTGAGCGACTGCACTCGAACTGCAAGATTCTGTGTAGATAAGAGTCACTGTGCAGCGTTTGCAAGTGACAGTGCTGTCAATCTGCCCAGCAGGCCTTGACCTTGTCACCCTTCTTGAAGGTAGGCTCTTTGCCCTCGAAAGTGAACCAAGGCTTCAGCAAACCTGGACAAATTCTGCTGTCAAACACGTGTGTATCTCTATATATATATGTATATATATACATAGACACCGACATAGACACATATCCGCCGACCCCAGCTGGAGCGGGGGCGGCGTCAGTGAAGACCCATAGTGCGCTCCATTCCCTGAGTTCCCATGGCCTCAGCACGCCCAAACCCTCGCCGGTACTCCATTCCCTGAGTTCGTTCCCGTGCATGCCCAAACCCCCGTCGCTCCACCCGTGCCACCCATGGCCTCAGCACGCCCCCTTCCAGCTCCGCCTACTCCCCTTTGGCCCATGCTCCCACTCTCCATCCCCTTGACCTACCCCTCATGGACCCAGCTCCCTACCCCTTACCCCTCACGCACCCTGCCCATGCCCCTCATGGACCCATGGCTCCTGGCCCCATGGCTCCCCTCCGCCCCTACCCCCACCACCCACGCACCCGCTCCCCGCCCATCCGCCCTTCCCGCTCCGCATACATTCCCCTTGCCCAAGCCCCCCACGCATCCCGCCATGCTTTTCATGGACCCATGGCTCCTGGTCCTATTCTTCATCCCTTGAGCTGCTCCACCCCCACCCGCAACCCCCACCCCCACCCTGCCCCGCCGCCCGTGCTTGTCATGGGCCCCTTGCTCCTGGCGTCATGGCTCCACCCCCACCCCCAACCCCCACCCCCAACACCCCACCCTTTCCACACTTCTAACCCCCACCCCCACCACCCACGCACCCCGCCCCCCCACTGGACCCATGGCTCCTGGCCCCATTGGTGTTGGTCACATTCTTCATCCCTCGACCTGCATGGCTGCCAACGCTGGTCCTATATATGGCCCCTGCTCCACCCCAACCCCCAACCCCCACCCCCATACCGTACGCATCCTGCCACCCCCAACCCCCAACCCCCACCCCCACCCACCCACACTTCCAACCCCTACCCCCACCCCCCACGCACCCCGCCCCCCACTGAACCCATGGCTCCTGGCCGCATTGGCTCATGGTCCACGGCCCATGGATGTGGCTTCTCAGCTGACGGGCCCCAGTGCATGCCCGGGCCCTCCGCCCGCTCCGCGTGAGGGGTAAGGGGTAGGGAGCTGGGTCTATGAGGGGTAGGTCAAGGGGATGGAGAGTGGGAGCATGGGCCAGAGGGGAGTAGGCGGAGCTGGAAGGACGCAAGGACGGAGCGGAGCGGGCGGAGCGGGCGGAGGGCCCGGCATGCACTGGGGCCCTTTTAGTCAGCTGAGTCGCCACATCCATGGGCCGTGGAGCATGAGCCAATGCGGCCAGGAGCCATGGGTTCAGTGGGGGGCGGGGTGCGTGGGGGGTGGGGGTAGGGGTTGGAAGTGTGGGTGGGTGGGGGTGGGGGTTGGGGGTTGGGGGTGGCAGGATGCGTACGGTATGGGGGTGGGGGTTGGGGGTTGGGGTGGAGCAGGGGCCATATATAGGACCAGCGTTGGCAGCCATGCAGGTCGAGGGATGAAGAATGTGACCAACACCAATGGGGCCAGGAGCCATGGGTCCAGTGGGGGGGCGGGGTGCGTGGGGGGTGGGGGTGGGGGTTGGAAGGGTGGGGTGTGTGGGGGTGGGGGTTGGGGGCGGGGGTGGAGCCATGACGCCAGGAGCAAAGGGCCCATGACAAGCACGTGCGGGGTGGTGGGGGTTGCGGGTGGGACAGCTCAAGGGATGAAGAATGCGACCAGGAGCCATGGGTCCATGAAAAGCATGGCGGGGTGCGTGGGGGGGCTTGGGCAAGAAGAAATGTGCGGAGCGGGAAGGCCGGATGGGCGGGGAGCGGGTGCGTGGGTGGTGGGGGTAGGAGCCATGGGGCCAGGAGCCATGGGTCCATGAGGGGCATGGGCGGTGGGGCAGGGCGTGAGGGGTGAGGGGTAGGGAGCTGGGCCTTGAAAGCAGGAGTCATGGGTCCGCGGGGTGCGTGGGGGGGTGGGGGTGCGTGGGGGTGGGGGTGGGGGTTGGAGCCATGGGTCCAGTGGGGGTCGGGGTGCGTGGGGTTGGAAGTGTGGAAAGGGTGGGGTGGGTGGAGCCATGACGCCAAGAGCAAGGGGCCCATGACAAGCACGGGCGTGGGGGTCGGAGTGGAGCAGCGAGGGATGAAGAATGGGACCAGGAGCCATGGGTCCATGAGAAGCATGGCGGGGTGCGTGGGGGGCTTGGGCAAGGGGGGAGTATGCTAGGACCAGCATGGGCAGCCATGCAGGTCGAGCAATAAAGAATGGGACCAGGAGCCAAGCCATGGGTCCATGAGAAGCATGGCGGGGTGCGTGGGGGGCTTGGGCAAGGGAGGGAGTATGCGGAGCGGGAAGGGTAGAGGTGGTGGGGGTAGGGGCGGAGAAGCCACCTGCTTGGGCCGTGGACCAAATGAATGGGGAGCCATGCACTCAGGAGCCATGGGTCCATGAGAGGCATGGGTGCGTGAGGGGTAAGGGGTAGGGAGCTGGGTCCATGAGACCTAGGGGATGGAGAGTGGGAGGATGGGCCAGAGGGGAGTAGGCGGAGCTGGAAGGGCGGAGGCCCGGGCATGCACTGGGGCCCTTTAGTGTCAGCTGAGAAGCCACATCCATGGGCCGTGGACCATGAGCCAATGCGGCCAGGAGCCATGGGTTCAGTGGGGGGCGGGGTGCGTGGGGGGTGGGGGTGGGGGTTGGAAGTGTGGGTGGGTGGGGGTGGGGGTTGGGGGTTGGGGGTGGCAGGGGGGTGGGGGTTGGGGGTTGGGGTGGAGCAGGGCCATATATAGGACCAGCGTTGGCAGCCATGCAGGTCGAGGTGAAGAATGGAACCAGGAGTGAATGAGGAGCCATGGGTCCAGTGGGGGGGCGGGGTGCGTGGGGGGTGGGGGTGGGGGTTGGAAGTGTGGAAAGGGTGGGGTGTGTGGGGGTGGGGGTTGGGGGTGGGGGTGGAGCCATGACGCCAGGAGCAAGGGGCCCATGACAAGCACGGGCGGCGGGGCAGGGTGCGTGCGGGGTGGGGGTGGGGGTTGCGGGTGGGAGTGGAGCAGCTCAAGGGATGAAGAATGGGACCAGGAGCCATGGGTCCATGAAAAGCATGGCGGGGTGCGTGGGGGGCTTGGGCAAGGGGAAAGTATGCGGAGCGGGAAGGGCGGATGGGCGGGGAGCGGGTGCGTGGGTGGTGGGGGTAGGGAGGGGAGCCATGGGGCCAGGAGCCATGGGTCCATTGAGGGGGATGCCTTGGGGCCAGGAGCCATGGGTCCAGCAGGGGGCGGGGTGCGTGGGGGGGTGTGTGGGGGTGGGGGTGGGGGTTGGAGTCATGGGTTCAGTGGGGGTCGGGGTGCGTGGGGGGTGGGGGTGGGGGTTGGTGGAGCCATGACGCCAAGAGCAAGGGGCCCATGACAAGCACGGGCGTGGGGGTGGGTGGGAGTGGAGCAGCGAGGGATGAAGAATGGGACCAGGAGCCATGGTTCCATGAGAAGGGCGGGGTGCGTGGGGGGCTTGGGCAAGGGGGGAGTCTGCTAGGACCAGCATGGGCAGCCATGCAGGTCGAGGGATAAAGAATGGGACCATGACCAAGCCATGGGTCCATGAGTGGTGGGGGGCGTGGGGGGCTTGGGCAAGGGAGGGAGTATGCGGAGCGGGAAGGGTAGAGGTGGTGGGGGTAGGGGCGGAGAAGCCACCTGCTTGGGCCCATTATGGTCCACGGCCCAAGCAGGTGGCTTCTCCGCCCCTACCCCCAACACCTCTACCCTTCCCGCTCCGCATACTCCCTCCTTGCCCAAGCCCCCCACGCACCCCGCCATGCTTCTCATGGACCCATGACTCCTGGTCCCATTCTTCATCGACCTGCATGGCTGCCAATGCTGGTCCGAAAAATGGCCCTCACCCCCAACCCCCCCCACCCCGCACGCACCCTGCCCCACCGCCCATGGCTCTTGGCCCCATGGCTCCACCCCCACCCCCAACCCCCACCCCCACCCCCCCACCCCCAACCCCCGCACCCCGCCCCCCACTGGACCCATGGCTCCTGGCCCCATTGGCTCATGGTCCACGGTGCATGGATGTGGCTTCTTAGCTGACTCTAAGAATCCCCATTGCATGCCCGCCCCCTCCGCCCACTGCCCGCTCCGCCCTCCGCCCTTCCAGCTCCGCCTACTCCCCCCTTGGCCCATGCTCCCACTCTCCATCCCCTCGACCTTGCCCGCTTGGCCCGCTTGCTCACCACCCACGCACCCCGCCCCCCGCCCATCCGCCCTTCCCGCTCTCCCCTTGCCCAAGCCCCCCACACACCCCGCCATGCGGGCTGCTGGTCCTGGCATACTCCCCCCCTTGCCCAAGCCCCCCACGCACCCCGCCATGCTTCTCATGGACCCATGGCGCCTGGTCCCATTCTTCATCCCTCGACCTGCATGGCTGCCAATGCTGGTCCGAAAAATGGCCCCTGCTCCACCCCCCACCCCCAACCTCCACCCCCACCCCGCACGCACCCTGCCACACTTCCAACCCCCACCCCCACCGCCACGCACCCCGCCCCCCACCGGACCCATGGCTCCTGGCCCCATTGGCTCATGGTCCACGGCCCATGGATGTGGCTTCTCAGCTGACTTTAAGGGCCCCAGTGCATGCCCGGGCCCTCCGCCCGCTCCGCCCGCTCCGCCCTCCGCCCTTCCAGCTCCGCCTACTCCACTCTGGCTCATGCTCCCACTCTCCATCCCCTTGACCTACCCCACATGGACCCAGCTCCCTACCCCTTACCCCTCACGCACCCTGCCCCGCCGCCTATGCCCCTCATGGACCCATGGCTCCTGGCCCCCTGCCTCCCCAGCCCAAGCAGGTGGCTTCTCCGCCCCTACCCCCACCACCCACGCACCCCGCCCCCCGCCCATCCGCCCTTCCCGCTCCGCATACTCCTACCCTTGCCCAAGCCCCCCACGCACCCCGCCATGCTTCTTATGGACCCATGGCTCCTGGTCCCCTTCTTCATCTTTTGAGCACCGCATTGGCTCCTGGTCCCATTCTTCATCCCTCGACCTGCATGGCTGCCAATGCTGGTCCTATATATGGCCCCTGCTCCACCCCAACCCCCAACCCCCATACCGTACGCACCCTGCCACCCCCAACCCCCAGCCCCCACACCCACCCCCACCCCCCACGCACCCCGCCCCCCACTGGACCCATGGCTCCTGGCTTCTCAGCTGACTTTAAAGGGCAGTACATGCCCAAACCCTCCGCCCGCTCCGCCCGCTCCCCTCCGCCCTTCCAGCTCCGCCTACTCCCCTCTGGCCCATGCTCCCACTCTCCATCCCCTTGACCTACCCCTCATGGACCCAGCTCCCTACCCCTTACCCCTCACGCACCCTGCCCCGCCGCCCATGCCCCTCATGGCTCCTAACCCCATGGCTCCTCATTGGTGATGGCCCAAGCAGGTGGCTTCTCCGCCCCTACCCCCACCACCCACGCACCCGCCCCCCGCCCCATGGCTCCTGGTCCCATTCTTCCTCCCTTGAGCTGCATGGCTGCCAATGCTGGTCCTTTTTCTGGCCCCTGCTACCCCCACCCCCAACCCCCACCCACCCCGCACGCCCCCTGCCCCGCCGCCCATGCTTGTCATGGGCCCCTTGCTCCTGGCCCCATGGCTCCACCCCCACCCCCAACCCCCACCCCCACACACCCCACCCTTTCCACACTTCCAACCCCCACCCCCACCCCCCACGCACCCCGCCCCCCCACTGGACCCATGGCTCCTGGCCCCATTGGCCACAGTGCCTTGGCCCCCCTTGGAGGGGGTCGGCGGCACTGGCGGTAGCCATTAATATATATATATATATATAGAGAGAGAGAGAGACAGACTCCTGGACCTGAGCAATGCTAAGCCATGCTGAGTCTCTGTCCATCTCGCTCAGCGCCAATGTCAACGAACGTTCCGAAAGTAAACGTCCTGTCATGGACTCCACGAGGCACACAAGGGTTTATGTGTGTAAGGCCAACTGAAACATTTCAGGCAACGTGTCTGTTCTTGTGCTCAGCGTCAACTAGCTCATGCTGGGCCATGTCCTTGCTGCTGTGCCCGTGAAATTCTGGTGGGGCCTAGATGGATCAGCACTTTACCAGGCATGATCCCACGAGTAGGAAGCTGGGCCCGCGCTTCAAGGCGGAGAGTGGTATTGGCGGTACGGAGGGCTTCATGTCCTTCTCCCTCGGAGAAAGCGAAGGCCACCAGGCCACTGATTTCAGAAGCAAACTCATCAAACCTGTACAAAGTGCGCGGCTCAAGCTCGTACTCCTCACCTCGGAACGTTCGAGCTGGTAACACTGTGTCGGGCAACATTGTCTTGCTGAATCATTCGATGGGCTGTGCAGCTAAGTCCGCTGCCGTCTTCGTCCCAGATCACGGTATAGGAGCCAGAATCGTTGACACACTTGATGCGAGCCTCAAGCTGTTGCTCTGTTGGCACTATCATAGCACATCACCCAAATGATTCAAGCGTTTCAAGTTCAATGCCTTTGCTGAGCCAGCAGCGGCATACCATCTGTCCTCTTCGTGGAATAGGCCTTCTACTTTGTCGCCTGCCTGCAGAGTTTGTACGATGTCCACTCAGCACAAGGCGCCCTCCTTTCATCTGAGCATTTTGCTGCGAAGCGAAAAGGCTTGTCCCTGCGCTTGAGGAGCCTGGCGCTGGCCGAAGATGGCTTCAGAAAAAAAAAGCAGGTTTTACTAAACAGCAGATAGACCAGAGTGCAGGACACTTGCCCCCTGCCTCATGCTACTACCCTTCTGAGTGTGTTCGTACCCGTCCTGTCTGAGCTCAGCATGTGCTCACAATTATATATACATATATATATATATGTTTATTATACTAATCTTTGCTCTTGTAATTAGTATTATGAATATTCACACTGTTATGATCACAAATAATGAATATTAATATTTCAAAGGCGTGACCTGTGCCCAGGTGATCAGGTAAGACTCGTCGCCGTTGTGGCACTGGACGGTGGCCTGCCCAAGAGCACCATGATTCAATGAGTCACAAAACTCTGAGAGTAGCCAAACGACCCTAAGCCCTAAACCCTGAACCCTGAAAAGACAATCTGCTGTCAAGCAAGAATAACTTGTGACACATTGGCTGCTGCCGTTGGTGTGGCGCAGCTGGAGGATGAAATCCTGCAGGACTGCCCCTCCTGGCCTCATACTCTTTTGCCTCTTCTTCGTACAAGGCCATGACCTCGTTGCGGTACTGCACGAAAAGAGCCGGGTGTTATCTGGATGGAGAGCTGCGAGAGGTTGCTAAAGGGCGAGAAGGTTTGAAGGACGCCGCGTGCCAAATCGAGAAAGACACCGTGCAGAACACAGTCACAGAAACACAGAAGCACAGACGATGCACAGAAGGAGAGCTGTTGGCCTTTCCTCCCACTCACATGACGCAGGTTATGTCTCAACAGAGCAACTGCAGCTGTGCACCGACAGAGACATGATAGGGTGTGGGGCCCTTGTGGAATCCACCTGCCTTGTCTCCCACCAAAAACTCGGAGCTGGAGGGTTTGTGGCTGGCCTCATGGCGGTTGTTGCTATGAAGTAGGGTTTATATTACTGTTCTTGGTGAGTGTATAAAAGGTTCCCTCTGAATCCTGGTGAGTGTATATATGGGGTGTCCTTTTGGGGGTACAAGAAATATATATACCCTACTTCAATATGAGGCAACATTATTTCTGAGGTGTCCGTGTCCCGGGGTGTCCGTGCCTGTGTAGCAACTTTGGCTTCCAAGCGAGCCTCGGAATCAGGGGGTTTAGCTGTATGGGGACTCGGAGATGTTTCGAGGTTTCGAGGAGGCCGAGACATGCCGAGTGCGCTGCCACCAGGTCGGCTTTGCGCCCTGACTTTGGTAAACCCAGATCCGAGCACTTTGCCTTAAGCTGAGCCACTGTCAGCTTCGCATAGCCTGCGCAGGATGCCATCGGATCTGCTAGCTTCTGCTGGTGATACAATCAGTGATACACGAGGGAACACGTCCAAAACCGGACTGAGGCCAGGCCTGTTGAAGGCTCACCTGTGGCCTTTGTGGCCTTTGTGGCCTTTGTGGCCTTTGTGACCTTTGTGGCCTTTGGGGCCGAAATGGTGCTTTGTTCGGCCTCACTCTTCAACATTCAAAGCCGGAATAAGAAATCAACGTGTGGTGCGATGCCGGGGAGAAGCCAAACCACTTGACTGAGCAAGTGGCCTGCTGCAGGCGCTCTACCAGTTCCTTCTTGAGACCTGATGTTGGCAGACCTAGGCCAGAGCAAACTCATGCCACAGCTTCCGCTTAGAAAACACGGTGCGATGGCCTCGTTCTCTTAGCTTCTCCTGCTTTGGGATGCATCTTCCGACCGTGCCGCGCCCGAGACTTCACATGACATTCCGGCCAAACCGCGCCTTGAGAACCGCAACGGTCAAGCCCTTTCCACCTGGACCTAGACGAGGGAACATGAGCCCGGAAGACTAGCTAAGCCATAACACGGTTGCATGCGCCGGCTGTTCCAAGTAAGGGCATGGGTGCAAGAGATGTAGGCCGACAAGTCACATCGCAAACTACGAATTGCGGAGACCACAGCGCAACATTAAGCGAACATGGGATCGCCAGGATTAAACCCTGCTCGAAGTCGTCAAGCCCGATATACGCGTGAAAGGAATGAAGGCCAGTGATGACATTAGGTCAGGCTTTCGGCCACACCTTTCAGGTTTCAGGGCTTCCAACCCAACATCTCCTGTTTGGGTCTAGGGTTCGCTATCTGCTTGTAGGGATGAAAGCTTCCCGCCCAACATCACCTTTAGCGCCCGAGGCCTTGGGCCCTGCGATGATGGACTCGCAACCACTTCTGCCCTTCAGAGTCCCCCACCCAAAACCCAAGACCTCCCAGCCCAAAAAAAAGGCACGCACGGGCGCAGGTTTCCAGAAGCCCGTGTGCATCCCGGACAGTCCCCGCGTGCACCGTCGACCCAAACTCCGTGTGCACCTTGAATCTGGCGCCCGCCCGCACAGTACAGAATTCGAGACATGATATACCAGCTCTTCTGAGCCATGCCTTGGCAGCTGATGTGAATACTTTCAGCATGTCCCCGCCCTTGAGATCCGGCCCGAAGTGTCAAGGCTTCATCAGACAGTGCAAGACGACGCGAGATAGCACAATGAGGAAGGCCAGCGGACTGTCTGCTGCAGGTTTCGGCTTGGAATATTTGTGGGGGTGTCGGGGCACTTTGGGCTTTTCAGGCTAATTAGGGGACTGCCTTACAACTGGCTGCGTCGCACAGCAAACCCTGAACTCTGAGATCTCTAACGCCACAAATCCTAATCCTGAGCTCAGGGCCAGCCAACACGGCCGATCGCGCCTGGAGTCTAGGGGCGCGATGTCCAAAATCTCACCCCATGAAAGGTTACTGTTCTTTTCTTGAACCGTGCAGAACATTGAGAAGCAGTAACATTAGTTCACAACAAGCACAAAGGGCCCACCTTGCGGGAAGTGACTTGGCTGCTCTGGATGCCATGCACGAAGGCAGCCTTCGTTCTCAGGCGCAATTTCTGGGGGATGCTCTTCTGGGATGCTCCCTTCTGGGATGCTGGGCTCTGAGCCAGGCCACAGGTGCCCACTAGTAAGACAGCCACGAGTGGTGAAGCCTGCAGCGCACTGGCTCGTGAGCCCAGAGTCCACACTTGAACCTGGCGCTTTGTCGCGCAGCCTTCCAGCAACGCCTGCGCACAGAAAGCCGCCTTTGCATGGCGACTCCCGAGGGCGCATTTAAGGATCAAGTATGAAGTTCTTTGCTGCACGATGCTGCAACCGCTAGCAAAAAGCCTAGTGGCGAGCGCCCCTGCTATTTTCATGAAAATGACAGCTGGCTCTTCGGACTACGGTCATTCATGCTGGTAGCGAACTCCGGTCCTGTTGGACTAAGCCTTTCCGAAAGATTACTCTGAATATCCCGTACTATGCTATGTGAATACTACCCCTCCCGAAAGATTACTCTGAAAATCCTGTACTATGCCATGTGAATACTACCAGTACCAGCCCAGAGCCGAACTTGCCAGGAAGATGTTGTTTGTGACATGTTTTTACCGGCTTTAGACTTGCTTTTGGCTTGACCTGCGCACGTCAGATGTTCTAGATACGGGCCTTTTTTTCCACAGATGTGACACCGCCAGGTATCCCGCACTCCTTCACAGCGCTCCTCCGCAGGCTCCTTCACAGTTCGCATTTGCGCACAGCCTCTGATTCTCTCCAAGGTCGCCTTCTCACTGGGTACTGCCCGATTAGTTCGGGGGGGGGGGGGGGGTTCTTCTTTTCTCGTCCAACAGCACGTAGGAGAGAATGGAGCAACATGCAAATATCCGGGCAAGGCTGAAGCTGTCTTTCAAGGGGCTTCGGCCAAGATGCTGAGACAATCTTCCGAATCCGAAGGTCTTCTGCTTCTCTTTCTTTCTTGGGGGCATGCTCTTCTCCTCTCTTTCTTTCTTCTTCTTCTTCTTCTCCACGCTTTTGAGGGTCCGCTAGTAGGATGTCTTTCTGTCTTTCTTTCTTTCTTGGGGCTTGGGGCCTCTCTCTCTCTCTCCTGCACGCTTAGCCCCCCCCGAAGGGAAGGCTGCCCCAAAGGGCGCGCGATGGGACCTCTCTCTCTCTCTCTGTCTCTCGCTCTGTCTCCGTGTAACATACTCCCTCTTCTGGTCTTCAGCTTACGACCCTGGACTGGCCAGCCTTCATTCTGTTTAGGGGCTCGGGCCGTAGGGGGTCGGTGAGACGGTATGTCGCTGCATCAGGCACGAGTGTTTCTTCCGTTGGGCATACTGTTGCCACTTCCTCTCCGTGATATGAAGTAGGGTATATATTTCTTGTACCCCCAAAACTATAAATATAAACCCTGCTTCATATCGGGCAGAGTCTCTTTTTCTTGTGGGAGCGTGGGCACATTCTATCTGCACGTGGAGGGGAAAGGGGTATTCTTTGCTGCGTAGGCTAGGGGGTGGCATATGTTATGTGATTCCTGCATTCTAGACCTGAGCTAAAGATTCCTCGGAGATTCCAAACTCATGATGGTGCTCCCTCCAGACTCTAGCCTATGCACCTTCACGGCACGTTCCTGCAGCTGAATATTCATGTCAGGTCCAGGTTTGATTGGGCCCACTGCGGAGTGGGGATAGTGAGGAGGACTAGCTTGGGAGTGCAGGTAAATTTTCACAACACGACAGCAGCGACTAGAAGGACGAGAAGGACAGAAACGACATGGATGGCATGCCCTTCACAGATTGATCTACTTTCGGCCCTCCTGTGACTGTGGTGCCCGTGCCGTCGCCATCACGTTCAGTTTCCTCAGATGAAGGTGCAGCAAACATAAATCAAAAGGCAAAGGTGCGAGCAAGCCGGCAACATACCGACACCGAGATTGGCAATCGGCCATCGAAAATGGACGTCTTCAGCTGCAGAGTCTCCTGCTGGAAGCTGCTTTGTGATTGAACGGACATGGATGGACATGGACTGGCTTATTCGTGCCTGGCCTGTTCTCGGAAGAGCTTCGAGAAGAACCTCTGGAACATCTATTGCCACAAGCCTCCGAAAAGGATTTGTGATGACAGAGCAACCCCGTGTGGCAAAGTTCCCGATGAAGTGCCGCATTTGGCAGATTGGAAGGCCTTCTGGTGCCCAAAAGAGCGGCAGCTGGCGAATCTGTCACGCATTGGATGCTCTGACTAACATATGCAACTCTACTCGCTACACCTCCCAGCGGGGCTTCTCCTGCTGCATTTCGAGAACCTCGGCAACTTGGAACACAACACTTGCCACAGCCACCAATCTGATCCATCTGCCTGCATGCGCAACCTCAGCACTGCACGCGCAGAACACCCTCGTATGGAGAACACGCTGGATCCGAGGAATAGTAGTCGAACCAACAAGCCTGGGCTGTCACCGTCGCCGCACGCTCATCAAACACGACTCACAGTACTGAGCATCTGGCATTCTCCCATAAACTCTCCTGCCGTGGTTCCGAGATGCTCGGATGATTCTAAAATATGTCCTACACCCTAAACCCTAAACTCCCTAAACCCTAAACCCCAATCATCTCCCAGTTCGTCCTGCATCTGGTCGACCCTTGCTGCTGGCATCGTCCGCAGCAGGCGGACAGCCCGGCCCACATCGTCTCACGTGAATTCGGGGCTTTGAAAGGAAACCCTGTGAAGCTTCCGACTCAGCTTCCGATTTGAGGCTAAGGCCCATGGGAAGCTTGATGCTGAAGTCTGGCCATGGAAGGAACCTCACAAGAAATCTCGGACATATTTTATCAAAAGTCACGGAAAAGCCACAGAGTAGCAGCTTTGAAGGGGCACCCTCTGAGAGACCCCGGCCCTTGGAAAGGCACCACCATGGCATCCGACAAGATGACAGGGATGCAGCCTAAACAGAAAGGCTCAATGGCCCAATGGCTCAATTGATTGGGGCTTTCAACGGAATGCTTAGAGGGTTCGTAAGTGCTTTCAAGGGAATGCTGATTCTAGGGTGTATTGCGGGCCTTGGGATCATGAGCTTACCGGCTGTGAGGGCTTTGAGATGCTTTGAGGGGTACAGCTGGCCTGCAAAGAAGGCCTCAAAAAGGCGTCCGTTGGTGTAGCCAACGCCTGTCACAAAACATCCTACCGCAGGCACCTTTCAAAGTTAACATGTTGTGCCTTTTGGCACCAAGCAAAAACTGCAATCCCCCACGCGCTCATAGTAGTCCTGCATGTTGAAACTTTACCAGAGGGTGCTTGCTGCTTGCTGGTCTCTTCATGGGCACTTGCAAGGCATGCCGGAAGCAAAGGGCCGGTCCAGAAGTGGAGTGATGTGCGGTCCAATGCTCGCATCTGACCTTTGGCTTATGCGGCTTAGAAGCTGAGCAGGCTGAGCAGCTTGTCAAAGCACCCACACAGCATCCATTGGCATCCATCATCCCACACGAGCCAACACCGGGCGCAGTCAAGGTGCTCGCTGGCCAACCTCTGTATTTGCCTCCGTGTATCCGCGGCGCGGCTCCCGTTGAACAGTCTGCCTGCAACTCAACTCATGTGCTCAACATGTGTGCTCAACGTGCACGCTCAACATGCGTGTTCAGCGTGTGCGCTCAACGTCAGCTCGGGCTTTGTGCCTTGAGCGTGCGTCCTCTCGTAGAGTTCATGCCGCATCGCCCCATGGAAACCTCTCATGCGTCAGAGGCAGCAAGATACCGGCTTTCAGTTTCGAGCTCTATGCTACATGTGGGTCTGCGAACGGTAGGGAGATGCGAAGAATGACTTAACTTAAGGAATGCCCCAAGGAGCAGAAGCGATAGCGGCGCGCGCTGCTCAGCTTCCGCCCACGCTCACGAAGTTTGCGCATGGCCCAGGCATCTGTATGGCCAGGGACAGCCACGTCTTTCCAGGCATCGAAGCAAGAGACACCTCACGCGCACAAGGCTCTTCGATTTCCGTCTACTTCGTCCGCCGCAAAGCACCCAACGACTCGTGAAGTTTGAGATGGAACCCCTGTGAGTCCGAGTCGGCTGAAGGCTACGCAGCTGTGCCTTTTGGATTTAGGGGTTTAGGATTTGAAGATGCGGGGGTCGGAGCAAACTAAGCACAGCAAGATTGATCCTGATGATTCCGCAAGCAGGTTGCAGTGGCGATAGTTTTCGACGTCGATCAGTGGGTTTGCTTCCACCGCAAAGATCTTGGACCTGGCCACGTAAGCCTCCCAGGATGGGAAGTCCCAGAACTCATGGGCGAAGTGGAAGATGTGCTGCCTCTGGACAATTTGAGATTTTCTGGCATCGTGTGAAAACTTGAGACCGACGGTGACTATAGCGACTCTTTCAACTCGCCTTCTGCGGTATACGTCAAAGTAGTCCAGGGATTTGACTACTGCGATGTTGTGTTTGTCCAGCTCCTCAGTCTCCGTGCCGGGCTTGATGTGCAAGTTCCTGTGCTCTCTTCTCCCGCTACAAAGGCTCACTGTTCATGGTTGCACGATGCGCGCGAGATTCTGCTAGATGCAAGCTGAGGAGCTGGAAGCAAAAGGAGTAGAATGGCACGTAAAAGAAGTCAGCGTCGTCTGGGCTTAGGGTTCGACACCGGCTTCGGAGCAGGAATCGGTGAAGCATCACCTCTGAACCTTCCATCCCGGAGGCACAGCTTAAGAGCGGTCGCGCGTAGTCGCCAGTGTCGTAGACGTAGAAGCTGGGTCGCTTGCTTGCCGTGCTTGAATCGGTGCAGCTTTGAGCATCTGGCAAAGGCTCCAGGCCAAGAAGCTTGGGTGCGGCTTCGTGCCAAGTCAGATTCACGATCCACCTGTCGCTCGTGTCACTCCATCCTGTGGGCAGGGGAGAACACTCCCAGGAGAAACGAATACTTGGCAAGCAACGTCGCGCCTGTGGAAAGTGCCAAGCGTTCAGCCTGGCGGTAGACCTCCGCGGCGACCGCCTCGCCTTCGTCCCGGTCGATGAAGGGCAATGAGTGGAGCATGATTGCGGCCATGCCTCAGTCAAGGAGGGCGCCGTGACAGTGTGACAGGACCTGCAGCGACCTTTCAATGTCCATCGTATTTCATCTTCGCTTCGGCCTGGTGCACACTTCGCTATGTTTTCGGCACGGTCGGCAGGGCTCCCTCCCAGCGATCGCCAGAGCTGATACAAGAGCTCGCGGCCCTCGCGAGGCAAGGGGCTCACTGCCTGCGCCAGTCTGAATGTGTAACGCGTGCCGCATGTCATTTAAGGCAAATTCTTGTCGCATGCCTCTTCATTGCGGCCAAGACACAGAAATGTCTTGGTCTAGGTAGCGAACGTATTCCCATGTCTCTTGCGGCGAGGAGCAATGGAGGGCACCGACTCCCGCGGCGAACCCCAAGACCTTGTCCACCATTCCCAACTGTGTGTTCACAACGTGCCTATATAACACGCTATCGCTGCATCTCGCTTTTCAAGAAATCACAAGATTAAATTGACAAGGGCAAGGCCTTGTTGACCCACATGTCTTGAAGAGGCTGCCATGGCGAGCCAAGGCCACGCTAATTGTCTTCTGTCTCAGTACGTCGCAATGACAAAGTGACAGCTGGGCATGGTTTCAAGGTTAGAAATGTGCCCCGAAGCCGGCTGCCATTGTTAAATGAAGTCTGGGCTCTGAGGTATGCACATCAGCGTGACACATGTGAGTGAATTTATTGGGGTGCAACATGCACACGCTCGGACTACATCGTAGGGGCAGAGGCAGATACCTGGGCAGTTGCCAATCCAGCGCAGTTCCAGACGCAGCGGTGTCGGCTTCATGCATGTTACCACACGTCCGTGCTACAACGAGCTCATGCTCGATGTTGGAAGCGACGCTGTTGGAACTCTTGTTGCAAATAGCTGTCTTCACCGGCTTCTACAATACGGACCCCTGGCCCGTTCCTTCCACCTCGGGGCCTAAGTCTCGAACAATTCTAGCACGGTGCTGGGTTACACCGAGGTCTGGTCCAATATCTGTTTAACACATGTTTAAAGTTGAAGGGGTGTAGTGTTAGGGGAAGGGGATTAAGACATTGTGAACACTGACGTGATGGCATCTCCAGAAGCGCTTTCACATCGCAAGAGGCTCGGCTCGAGTTGCCAGCAACGAAACTTAGGCGCCTCACTCTACGTTTTCTCTGTTGACGGGAGCGCTCCCGCTATCGTCGTCACCCAAGAACCAGTACAAACAAACTCACGTTAAAAAAACACAAGAACCAGGTAACTGCAGCTGTCACAGTACTGATGGCTCTAAAGCTGTTGGATCAGAGCATGGGCCACGACTCCACAGGGTGACAATTCCGGCCGCACAGCAAAGCAACGCTCCACCGAAATCAACCCTCTAATATTTCAACACATTGGTTGAAAGCCGATGCACGAAGCTCGCTCGAAACCTGAGTTGCATGTAGACCTATCGACCACCTGGCTTACAAGGATCAGTGATTCGGCAGCAGCAGAAACACCCTTAGCATTTATTGCGCGAGTTGAAGTTGCAGCCAAGTTGCAGCAAAACGTGGAACAAGTTGGCGCAGGATGCACATCTCTCGCTGAAACAATGGGGCCGTGAAAAGCGAGTTGAAGAGGTCATCGCCACGGCGGGCGCCTCGCGAAAACAGTAAACTGAACCGTACAGACAAGCCAGACAGCTGCTACGTAGCTCCCGACATTCGCCATGGCAAAACATGACATCACCGCATGGCATCCGGGCCTCTCGGCACATCCCGCTGGCTTGTTGCCACCTGATCAGTTTTTGGAGGCACTTCACCATGAAAAAGTCACGGATGGCGAGGCCTCGGGATTGCATGTGCCGAGTCGCCAGCCTCGCGACTGCGATAACAACACGCGCACACAGCAGAGCTTCACAGGGAAACTTTCAAAAGCACTGCGCGACAAGGAAAAATCACAACGCACCGGCTCCTTGCCAAAAACACTTGACAGGCTCAAAGTGTACCTTGTTGGCCGGCGGCGGCGGGGCGGCTCATGAACTGTTTCGAGCCGCTGTCCGCCTGGCGAACAGAGCACACCAAACCCCAGTTGACAGTAAAGGGGGCGCACCTCCACTTCATATAAGGAGCCTCTTTATCCCGAGATCCCTTGTTGTGTTAGAACATATCTGCGCGCAAGCATGCCGTCAGAGGGCTACAACCTCTTCTTTCGTTTGAAAATGGCTGAAACAAGCACGTTAAACTAGGACTTCCAGCACTGTTCCACACTTAAAGAGGAGGGGAGCACGCAATGGAATGCACAGTGGCACGTGGAGTGAGGAGGTAACCAGGTAGGCGCGGAGAGGAGAGCGGAGTGGCCCCACACACCCAAGACAGTTAACATGGTGAGAGTTTGAATTTGCGCCGCGCACCCCGCCCAAAAAAACACATCGCTGGCACCCCACAGAAACCAGAGGCCTCACTGCTCTTACTAGTACAACTACATAAGCTTCAACGCTGGACCTATGCACCACTTGCTTTCGCGACGGTACTGCAAGCTGAAACCCCAGGATCCGAGGCCTTGAGAGCGCGGCATCCGTTTGGGACCTGAGGTGCCGTCTCTGCTTGGGGGTTGGGGTTTAGCGTCGGCCCCCTCCTGCAAATGATGCAGATGGTCCAGCTTACCGGTTCAAACCCAGCAGGCCCTGAACATCGACTGCCGGGTCTCCTCCCCGAGCCCGAAGGGCCGAAGGACAGCAAAGACAAGCCAACATCAGGGTGAGCGCAGCTCGGCAAGTGAACATGCAATGCAGCTCCACACATTCAAGAGCACGTGTGCATGTGTGGGTGTGTGTCATCGAAGTCTTTCCATGAACTCTGCTCTCGGTGCTGGCACTTGGTGAGATGGTGTTAACGTTAGCATTGAACATTGGGCTGCGGCAAGGATCCGGCAGTCGCGCGGTGATATGCTTGCCGTTGGGAAGCAAGATGATCTCCAGGCAGATAGGTGAGGTGACAGGAACAAGTCATGCGCAGTCAAGCAGCAAGCATCTACCAGCCAGGAACCGTTCGATCTACAGAAGGCTCGCCATCAACGATCACGAGACATTCTTGCTCAGCTGAAGTCGCAGTGTAAACCCTCCCAGCTTTGAGGTCACCGAAGTCCATCGTGTGGGCTCAGCTGCGTCAACGCAAATCACACGAGTGCATACGAGTGCTGGCCGTCGATCCAAATTCCGGAAGCTATGTACCTGCAGCCTTGTCATGGTGTGTTTGTCGTTGTTGTTGGCGGATATGCTTCTTCTACCGAACATGGATGAAGCTTTGATCCAACTGGCACGGCAACAAATCATGCCCAACAAGTGTGATGTGATCGACCAGCTCCCGAGCAGTTCACTCGTGCCTTCATCCAGGTCCCGATAGTTAAAGACACGCACCCTCCAGGCCCTGGAGGCTAGGGGCGAACCGCGAACCTTCAAATGCCCGAACCAAAGCGGAAATCAAGTCAATCTGCCCAAGCGGGAACCGAAAGGAACCGAAAGGAACCCGAAAAGTACCGAAAGTGAAAGTAGCCGCTGCGGACAAACAAATGCGAGCAATCTGTGCAGTGCCCCCTGGCACGCGGCAAATGTGCTGTGGCCTGTCGGCTCATGGACATCCAAAGAGTCTCATCCCTTCTCGCTTTCATGATCCTGAGGCTTCTTCTAAGTCGGACCCGGAGTGGACGAAAGACCAGCCTCTCAATATGTAGGGCGAATGAGGCTACTCGTACAACACCGTACACCGGGTTCTGCTTTGCTGCATCTTTCATCATCTTTCCGTCCACTGTTGCGTGAAACGATTTTGCGCATTGGCATATTCCCCATGCCTGATGCCTGTCTTGGACAGGATCAAACGAAAACCAACAATGCTGAGCAAGCCTCGAGCCTGCCCGTGACTCGCCAGGTCACTACGACCAACGGGCGGCGCCCCGCCCTGCGGTTGTTCAAGGCCAGAGAGAGGTGTTCCGGAGCTCATCAGGGAGTCGTGCAACGCACACTTCCCTTGTCGTGATCAACTTCTCTAACCCCTCCATGCTGTCGACCTCTTTTGGGAAAAGAGTCCCATAGCACTTCACAGGCCTTTCAAACGGATCACTGAAATGCTGACCTTGCATGGCAACGCCATGGTGCAATACCTTCTGAAAGTGACGAGCCAGATACATGCCTCCAGGGTCCATTTTAGCATGAGCTCCATCCAGCAATTTGAGCTTGAAGCCAGGGCCGCTCTGGTTGCATTTGGAGGCTTTGTATGCATGTTGGTCATCAAAGTCTGGGCAGACCAGCCTGTGGTAATCCAGGATGGACACCAGCAAGCGCTGCTGAACTGAGTCCTGGCAGGCCATTGATGACACCACTTCAGAATAGATATCTCTCTGGAAAAGTGCCAGGTTCGCCATGGTCTCATTAGAGCCTTGAGGACGAAACCTGAAGCCAATATGCGGGGCGACAGTGGCGAGGAAGACATGCTTTGCCCCGTGCTGTGCCGAAAAAGATAGCATGTTCTTCAATGCCTCCCGAAGGTATGGCTCCATGCCACAGTAGTCCGACATCTGCAGTCTACATTCCTTCCAAGGCCGAAAGTAGTGGCTGTCCAGCACGAAGATGTATGGCGCGCGTGCCTGCTCCACATTCTGCCTCGCCGGGCTTTTGGTCTCCCTGGATCTTTGGACATTGCGCTTGCACAACGTGCAGCCTGTTGATCCAAAAGCTTGGATCGCCCCCTCACCACCTTTTGCCCCATTGATGACTCTTGGCCCCCATGGTTGCCCTTTCAAGTAGCCGCAGCTTTCATTTGCCTCAGCTCCTTCGATCACTCCCTTCAATGTGTTGGCCAAGTGATACGCCTGGCTATCGCCGATGAAGAGCATATCTATGGGAGCGAAACGATTCTGCAGTTGCTCCACAATGGAAACCGTTGCTCCAGGCTCACCTACACTTCCGATGACTGTGTTCACCAGCGCCATGACCAAAGCCATGGAGACCAGAGCAGCCATGATAACCATGCTTGGGGATCGGCTCGCAGCCAGGCGCATTAAAGGCAACTCATAGAATTGAAAGGACAGTCCTGCTATCGCTATCGATGCAGATGCAATGACGAGATCACGAACCAGAGCTGTCGTGCCAGGTTCTCGTCCCTGCCACATGGTCGAAGAGGAATCTCCATTGCCGGCTGGGCTCCCAAACCAGATTATCAGTGGCCAATGAACTAGGTACAAACCATATGAGATGGTGCCGAAATAGACGAGTGTGCGGCTGCTTGCAAGCCTCGTGAAAAGGGCCCATGATGGTAAGGGCTCACTGGTTTGCAAGGCCTGAAGGCCCAGCAAAAAATTGCACACTAAGGCCAGAAAGAGCCTGAACCACCGAAAGTAAATGCGCATCATATCTGCCTTTGGTAAGGGCAATGATGAGCTGCCGAGAATTGCCACGAAAAGTGCCGCAGAGGCTACCTCGAGACCGACTCTCTGGCACGTTGTCAGAGAGGGTCTATTGGGTGCGCGCGTGAGCAGATCGTAGCTC